AGAGCAGCGCGAGCTGACTGGGGCCGCCAGGGCCCATGGCCCCAACCCTGGCCAGCAGGCCCCGCCCCGCCCTCCCTGGGCCGGGGAGCACCACTCACCTTCCGGAGCCGGGTGGCGGGCGATGCTGTCGTGGAGCAAACACCTTCTGTAGATCAAACTCTGGCAGGACTGGTAGGTTAAGAAGCACCTGAAAGTAAGAGGACAGATGGTCTCGCCAGTCCCAGCAGCACCTGGAGAGTGCACGGCACTGAAGGTAACGCCCCACAGTTACCCTAAAAGCAGATGTTAACCAAGCAAAGGGCAAAAACTGCCCGCAGCTTCATGACAACACCACCTCCCTGGCGCCGGCTGGACCGCACTGAGTCAAGGCGAAGCGTCTTGTGACGGGTCACTAGGAGGGAGAGAATGAAATTCTAATGCAGACAGTGAGTGACGCGCAGCCTCACAGCCTCTGTTCCGCCTGCTGCAGCCCTGGGAAGGAGTTCAGTCTGTTCGTGCCTTGTGGCATTCGAAATGTTTAGTGTGTTTAGAAAATCGACCACGTATTGTATTGAAAATTCTTCTTCTTAGTGATTTTCAAGTTAGGTCCCAGCACTGTACTCACAAATCTGACAGTACAGTGGGGAAAACCCGGAGGATGCAGGAGACAAAATTAATGGTGTAAACAAAGAAGGGACAGGAATGAATGTTCACAGGCTGCATCCTACCCAATGACTGTTCACTGGGCATCTCCCAGGACCAGGCAAGTGAGGGGAGGTGGGGTGCAAGGAGATGAAAAAGAGTGCATTTGGGGTCTGCAGGGCATGTTTCCCCCGCAGCCAAGGAGCAGGAAAATACCAAGAGGAAAGAGGCTGGAGGGCGAGAGCCCACAGAGGTCCTGGGCGCACAGACCTGGGTGCACAGAAGGACGACCCCACCTGAGTGGGCGCACCCACATTCAGACGGAGAAAGGGCACGGGGGTGTTCTGGCACTAATCTCCGTCAGCAAAAGTGAGGCTATAAGGTGTGGTGGGGACACCTGTGAACTCTGGATGGAGCCGGAATACTGGGTTCTGCCTGCCATCCAGGACCTGTGTGACTCCGAGCGCACTGTTCCAGGTCCCCAGGTGCCAGTTTCTTCATCTGCAAACATGGGGATAATCGCAGGGTCCCTGGGCAGGGCTGTGGTGAGGACCAGTGTGCTGCTCGGAAGAGTGCCTGCCAGTGACAGCGCTCGAGAGGTGTCAGTGGTTGGTGACGTTACGAGCCAAGCGCTACTCAAGCTTGTACAGAAAAACGGGTCCAAAGTCAGAATCAAGGAGGTGACATGGACGGCTGAGAATGAAGGGCCAGAGGCAGGGAGGAAGCCAGGTAATAAGAGCGCATGCAAGATGAGGAGGGAGTGACTGGCTGTACCCCAAAAATGAGGACACGCGAAGGTTCCCCCTCGGAGCGAGACTGAGGGCAGAGAGGGAGGGGAACTTCCCCCTTCACTGTAAGGTTAAACAGGAAGTACAAAAGCACTTCTATATTCCACTAAATTCAAGAGGTGTTAATTACTTTTGTAATCATTTCATTTGCAAAAAGATTTTATTTATTTATTTTTACAGAGAGGAAGGGAGGGGAAAAAGGAAGGAAGAGAAACAAAAATGTGTGGTTGCTTCTTGCACGCCCCTAAGTGGGGGCCTGACCCACCACCCAGGCATGAGCCCCGACTTGGAATCGAACCTGTGATCCTTTGGTGCTCAATCCACTGAGCCACATGAGCCAAGGCCGTAATAACACGTTAAAAAAATGTAATGCTACTTCAAAAGAATACAGCAATCCCCAAAGAAAGCAATTCCTCTCTCTGTCAAGCAGTGAACAGCTATCGTTAAAGGGTCATGTTGGGTTAGCCAGGTCTGATAACAGAAGCTGTTCCCCAACCTCACGCCTGGGCCACGTCCCTTTGGGAAGAACAATTCAGTGCTCTGAGCTGCGTGGAACTGGAAACGCCGTGGGAGCAGGACCTGGCTGCAAACGGCTTACCGGAGCCAAATGTGGCCGTTGGAGCAGACCGCCTGTTTGCGGTCCGTGAACGGCAGGATCTCTTTACACAGACTGCAGTGCTCGGGGAAAGTCTGCTTGTTCATCTTCTTCGAGATGTGGCCAATCAGCACCTGTGAGACAGAGCAGTCGGCGGCATTTAGAGCGCGGGGCTTGCGGACACAGACGAAATGAGAACTACGCGGCCTGTGCACGGGACAGGAGATCTGCATTCCCGCCACTCGGTCTGTGGGGTGGGAAGGCCAGACTCTCAGCTGTGTCAGCTGGTGAGTGAAATCAACTTGTTCAGGAGCCTGTGACCACAGGGCGAGCCATAACCACCGAAGGCAGACTGTTCTCGAAACCACAATCTGGTTCCTTGCCTTATTTTCGTTACTTCTGAAACAAGGACTTCAGAGTTCTATTAGCAGACAAAGTATTTAGCTATTACTGACAATATTCTAATTTTAAGAAGGAAAAACATAATCTCTATGGGCCAAATACTGTATTATATGAAATACTAACTTGGCAGAGTTGTACACGTCTATTCATCAGTATTAAAAATAGTAATTTCCCCTCCTACAGCCCCAAGCCCCCTAAACAATCCAGCCTAGCAGCCCACAGTGTGGGATCCGTTGACCCAGCAGTGGAAGCAGGGCAGGCAGGACCCACTGTGAGTGGGAGCGGGGAGAGGTCCGCAGGGCTGGCGCAAGGCTTGGTCCCAATTTCAGCCTCCACTTTGGTCTTCGGGGTTACACTACTTTAACAACCCACTTTGTTGGAAAAGCCTTCAGAGGCTCTCATCACCGGTATAGGACAACCCTGCCCCCAGAACCATCTTGTCCTACTGGTAGATGATGTCCTGTGAATTGTTTACTGCATTCACACCAGGGCTCCCAGGGAAGGACCCTCTACACTTGCCGTTCACTAACACTAGTTCACCGAAGGGTTGAAAGGTGTATGAGTTACAGATTTAAAGCCCATTAACTTCTGGCCTTTTTTTTGGACCTTCAGAGTTCTAATTATGGTCCCTTACAGCAAGGACAAGCCCCCCCCGAAACGCACACTTCTAGACAGGCCAAACATCCCAGCAGTGACAAAACCGGCTCAGCATTCTTGCGGTGGTGATGTGTGCTCCGAGTCTACACCAGGAGGGACGGCTTCTATTTGCTCTCGAGAGCCTTGCACACGCGTCACTGTCTGCTAGTTTAACGACCGGCTTCTCAACAGGGTGACATTCCTCCCGAAGGGCAGAGAGTGCTTCTTGGGAGACAGAAGTTCTCCTGTGTGAGCTACAGACACCCACTCGGCACAGAAATGGACACACTGTGTCCAAGGCATGACGTTTCACGGGTGATGACGGCCAGAAAAAACATCTAAATGCTGGGGGTGGCGCCAATGAAAGAAAAAGGCTCAGAAATGCTGGTCTCGTCACGCCCGTGCACCGGGCTGGGACACTCAGGATTTACACCTGCTACTCAATCAACACACACAGCTTGAAGACTCATTTATGCACGTAGTGGGGTTTCTAAGACGCGAAACGCACGTTCGCAATCAAAGCTCAGCTGCTGTAGGTGGCAGGGACAGGACCACCTCTCCGTTCAGCCGCTGTCAGAGCCACGTCACCGGGGTGAAAGCGGCCGCCGCGCTCACGCGGCAGCAAGTGCAGCCTTGTCGCCTCCCAGCACACGAACCAGTTACCAGAGCTCGGTGGCACGTCACAGAATATATTTTCTGCTGATATGACAAGAAGGTGTAACTGTGATTCATCCACACCGAGCAGCCATGGTTGTGCTGGCCACGGTCAGTTTTTATTCGACAGTCTGAGGAAAGAGAGGCCAGCACCTCCGGCAAACGGGTAGCACAGGCGGGAAACGCCCTGGCGGACCGGCGCCGGCTGCACCGCAATGGCCGAAAACCACTGCTCTCCACTGGCACCAACCAACCTCCCTGCACGGTTTCTAAAGAGGCTTTGTTGGTATCCCACTGGCTGTAAGACTCCTGCTGGGTCCGAGAAACGATGACAACCAGAGTGCTCCTCCGCACAATTAGACCACGATGAAACCGTGCTTCCAAGTGGACTTTCAAAAATAAAGTCAGCTTCAGGAACAGTGCACCTTAACTACCCTTGAGATGGTTGCAACCACCCTACGAGGAGGAACGTTGGGAGCGTGCATGCATACGCACACACACAGCACAACAAGTGGCCGTGACGGTTCAACACCAGGATGACGACACTGGAATTTCTCGCCTTCGACGAGTACTGTCGGTCAGGCTGTAAGCCGCGAGAGTGGGTGTCAACCGTGAACGAGAGCGGCAGCACTGTGGCGGTTCCGGTCGTCCCAGCAGACAGCGCCATGAGCTTTCCAGCCCAGACCATGACTGCGCCACGCCAGGGACGTGCCCACACGCCCACCGGAGGGCCACGCGGTGCCGCCCCGTGCCGGGAGCCCCGACGCTATCAGGGAGCTTGGGTTCGGTGGGATGTGTTTGGCATAGCACCGTACGACGGTGACAATAACAAAATAAAGATGATTCCCAGTTTTCCTAAAAACAACATGAGTGACCTGCTTATTTATATGCCCTTCTTCACTGAATCAGGAAACCCTCAAGTTCTTTCAAATGGAAACATCCCCCCTCCAAAAAAAAGCCACCAAACAAACAAAAACCTTTAGCCAACAGCAAGGGACAGGCACACAGGTGCCACGCTTCCACGTCTGGGACTGCCCCGTCACCTACGACTTTCCCAGGGACGGCCTCGGATCTCACCCTCAGCCTGAAAATCTCATCTTGCATCTGAGTATCACATACAGTCACGGAGGGGACGAGCTGAACTAGTATTTTGTGTGATACGAACGTGCCTATTTACCCCCCGGCACCGTGTGCCAATCAACTACCTAAAATACTTCAAAGCGAAATCTGGGCTTACAGACTCAACTGGGGCCACAGAGACGGCAGACTCCTCAGTCCCGGCGCCCTGGCCAACCGCCACCTACCCTCGCCGTGCGGTCGTCATACTCTTCGTCGGACATCAGGAAGTTGCAGAGGCCCCTGGTGGGGACGCTGGTGTTCTCCGTGATCCAGGTGTGCAGGTACACTTCTCCCAGCACCCGCTTCATGTGCTCCCGCGTCAGGTGCATCTCCACGGCTTCGATCTTCCCCTGGATCTCAAGGAGCTTCTCCTCCATTGGCTCACGGCCTCCGGCATCTCCAGACTGGGCGAGGGAGTCGTCTGTGGGGTCCTCTGGGTCCCCTTCTTTGACACTCTCCTGAAGGCCTTGCTTTGAAACCTGTTTGGAGGAAGTGCCTTCCTCTTGCTGTTCTTCCTCAGCATTGCCTGTCGCAGGGGAGTCACCCAGTAAGATTTTTGAGTCTTCGTGGCTAGGTTTCCACAAGGCTTCTGAAGGGGTTTTCTGCATCGACTGATATAAAATCCGCAGGAGGAAAAGTTTGAAACGCCAAAAATAAGTGGCCCCACTGCTTTCAATCTTTCTCTCCAAAGCTTCTTGTAAAAACTGCGGGATATGTTTATCTTTTAGAATCTTCCAGCGTACAATGTCTATTAAATCCACCTGCTTAAAGAGATTCTGAACCGAGGACTCCAGGAGCTGGGCAGCCGCCTCCTCAAAGGTTTTTAGGGTGACAAACTGGACCTGGTAGTTTTTGGTCACGGGGTGGAGGCCGTTGACCATGCCCTCAGTGGTAATGATGGCCAGGTACGCACCGCAGGGGCTCACCGCTATCCCGTGTGTCCTCACGGAGCCGAACACGTCGGAGAGTCTAATCAGCTGGTGCTCAAACTTCAGGGCGACGTCCGTGAAAATGGGAATCAGCTGCCTCACTTTGCCGTCACTGGAGCAAGTGTACACTGTCCCGTTCTGCTTGTCCGCAGTCATGGAGACGATGGGCAGTGAGTGGAGGCCCGTGACGTGGGAGTTGTGAACATTCAGGCCAGCTTTGGAGATCAGCAGGAGACACCAAAACACATAGGGCCCTCTGGCAGCCACCACCAAGCTGCAGCTACATTTCTGGTAAGGGTGGTAGAGCGGGACACACTTGATGCTGTGCACGGGCAGCTGGTCCATTTCCTTCCACAAGACCACAGGCTGCCTCAGAGTGAAGTAGCCTTTCACTGCCTTCAGATTGACAGGGAGAATTTTCACAGGTCCAAAGGCACTGCCCACAATAAGGCCGCTCATCTTGCGATTGCTGTGCTCATATTCCCACCAAAACAAGACACTGGGAGAGCTGATGCCCGACTCAATCGTGCTACAGGAAGAGATGGACTCCTTGCCCACAAAAGGGAGCTGGAACTGCCACACCGCGATGTTGCCGTTTTCAAAGAGGACCGCCAGGAGCACGCTGCCCACGTCCCGGCACTCGTTGTTGTGCTTGACCTGCTGGGTGGTGCAGATGCCGGACCACTCCATTCTGACCGGCGTCTGCATGCTGTGTCTGCGCTGGAACTCTGCGAAGTCCGCCAGGCTCCCCGCGGGGGCCTCGTTCTTAGAGAGCCTGTAGCTGGCCTCATGGAGACGCTCCCCATAGATCTCAGTCAGGTCGACCAGCTGGACCCACTGGAGTCTGTTGAGGTTAGCCTGGATGGTCAGGCGGTTGTCCATGGTCAGTGCTGCCAAAAGGCACCTGCCATTGGCATCACAGCCCACGGGGGACCAGCTAGTGTACTTGAACCCTCTCAGTGGTGGCAAAGCCTTCCCCTCGGGGTTGAACACCCGGTCCAACATGAAAGTCTGGCTGATGGTGGGGTCCGTGGAGGTGGCAAACCTCTGCTTACACTCAGCGACTTCTGCTTTTGAGCCGACCTGAAATGAGACATTAAAAACTATCAGATAAGTATCTCACTCTAAAAATATATTACTTAGGGATATCAACTGAGTCACATTAACATATACAGTAATTCTGTATCAATTCTGTTAATTTTGGTATAATATGCATTTAAAAAATTAAGTACAGGTCTAAAACTAAATAAGCATATATTCAGAAAATGGTGATTTTTAAAAAGGATCAAAATAAACGTCACTGTTATTTACAGCTTGGTTTCCACCTTTTTCTTAGAATTGATATAAGCAATAAGGATGAGAGAGATGTACTTTAAAAAAAATGTATTTTATTGACTATGTTATTACAGTTGGCCCATTTTTTCTCCCCATTATTCCCCTCCACCCTGCACGCCCGGGTCCCAGCACTTATTTCATGTCCGTGGATTGTATATATAAGTTCTTTGGCTTCTCCATTGCCTATATACTATTCTTAACCTCCCTATTTTGTACCTGCCATTTATACTTATTTCCTGTAACTTTCCCCCCATTCTCCCCCTCCCTGCTGACAACCCTCCGTGTGATCTCTAATTCTGTGAATCTTTCCTATTCTAGTTGTTTGCTTAGTTCGTTTTTGATTTTTTTAAGGTTGGGTTATTGATAGTTGTGAGTTTGTCGTCGTTTTACTGTTCATATTTTTTATCTTCTTTTTTTTCCTTAAATTCCTTTAACATTTCATATAAGGCCTTGGTGATGATGAACTCCTTGAACTTGACCTTACAATGGAAGCACTTTATCTGCCCTTCCATTGTAAATGAAAGCCTTGCTGGATAGAGCAATCTTGGATATAGGTCCTTGGCTTTCATGACTTTGAATACTTCTTTCCAACCCCTTTTGCCTATAAGGTTTGAGAAATCAGTTGACAGTCTAATGGGAACTCCTTTATAGGTAACTGTCTCCTTTTGTCTTGCTGCTTTTAAGATTCTTTCCGTATCTTTAATCTTGAGTAATGTGATTATGATGTGCCTTGGTGTGTACTTCCATGGGTCCCACTTCTTTGGGACTCTCTGGGATTCCCGGACTTCCTGGAAGTCTATTTTCTTTGCCAGACTGGGGAAGTTTACCTTCGTTATGTTTTCAAATAACTTTTCCATTTGTTACTCTTCCTCTTCTCCTTCTGGCACCCCTATGATTCCAATGTTGGAACGTTTAAAGTTGCCCTGGAGGTTCCTAAGCCTCTCCTCATTTTTTTGGATTCTTGTTTCTTCATTCTGCTCTGATTGAATGTTTATTTCTTCCTTCCGGTCCAAACTGTTGACTTGAGTCCTGGTTTCCTTCCCGTCACTGTTGGTTCCCAGTACATTTTCCTTTATTTAACTTTTCATAGCCTTCACTTTTCTCTTCTATTTTGTGACCATACTCAACCATTTCTGCGAGCATCCTGATTAATAGTGTTTGGAACTCTGCATCTGATAGGTTGGATCTCTCTTCATCACTTAGTTGTATTTTTTCTGGAGCTCTGATTTGTTTTTTTCATTTGGGCCATATTTTTTGGTCACAGCACACCTGTTATGCAGTGAGGGGCGGAGCCTTAGGTGCTCACCAGGGCCGGACAACCCACATCAATGCACTGTAGTGCTGTGTGTGGTCAACAGAGCACTTAACTAAACTACTTGCAAAGCAATAAAGGTGTTAAAATTCATAAAAAGACTCAAATATATCTTCGATACAATATTTGGATTTTTATCATATCTTTGCAATACAAATGGGAACTTCAAATTTTCTTGCTGAAATTTCATTTATAAATGATGCTGAAAGCCAACTCACACAACTTTCCACCATTTATACAGAATAACATCCCCTACGATTACCGGCTGCTCCCCGAACACTCCCACCCTGGCCTTCCCTGGCCCCTGCACCTAGAATGCTCTTTCTTCCCAGTGAAACCCCACCCATCCTACCAGACCCCCCCAGGTCACTCTAGCTTGCGTCCACCTCTCCCTCCTTCAGTTACTACATTTGCAGTGCCTAGCTGTATGATGGCGTCTCTTTAAAAAGATTTTAAAGGGACGTTAAAAACGAAGGAAGAGCCAAATGTCCAAAAGAAAGTGGTCCACAGCTCTTAGAAATAGCCAGGAAGACTAAGGCGGGGGGGAGGCAGAGGTTAAATAAGACATGGTTTCTGTCATGTCAGAAGCATGAAGAAAGGACTTGACTCACTGTGTTAGGGAAATGGTTAACAGAGAAAGTAGCGTCCATTCTGTTAGTGACAATTTTCTTTTGCATAGAGGCTGATTTTCAAACTGCAAAGGGTAGAAAGACATGATTAAAAAGAAATTCAAGCCTGAGACATTTATAGATATAATAAAAGTCACTTCAAATGAGTTTAAGTCCCTAAGCCCAGAGGACTTATACTCCAGGACACAGAAAGAACTCGGAAGATGTTGAACTCAGAATCGCTAACTGAGACAGCTGGGAATGTGGTAAAACCAGAGTGCAAAAGGGAGAGAGAAAACAAAACACTCCAGACCATTAAGCCTAACAGGAAGCAAAATTCCTCAATGTATTAAGAAATGGATGGTGTGTGCAGTCAGCAATGACCAGTAGAAACCAGCACAGGATAACTGGAAAAATGTAAACTGTTTTCTGCTGAAACTGCTGGATGACCTAATAAATAATCGCGTAAAGTAAAAGGTAGATATAAAGTTGTCCAAGAAATGAATCAGCTAACTTTCCCTCAAGCGAGTCACGCAGGACACCACTCCCGTATAACCGTCCTGAGAGCGAGGCCTGCGGCGGCAATCCACCACTCCCTGTTGGAGACGTACTGGGGCACATTACGTGTCTTAACCAGGGCGCTCCGGCAGAGACTCAATATTCACCAGTTACCCAAACTTGAAAAAAAGAAAACAAAGAAGCTTTATGGGGGAGGGGCGTGGTCTGGAAATAGTGTCTTAATGTATCTTGATTTTAAAAAGACAATCGTTTGTCTCGCTGGAGAAAGAGTATAAACTGAAAACTTCAATTACAGGTGCCTGTATGGGTAGATAAAATTGAAAACGACATAACGAAGCCCAGCATAACTGAAAATCTGGTGCCAGACTCCCCAGGTTCCAATCCTGGCTCTCTCACATGACGGCCTTGGGCTGCTGCACCGACTGTTGAAACCCCTGGCCGCAGTGTCCTCACTGACAGAGAAAGCACAGCACCGCACACCTTGCGGACTCGGGAAGAGGAAACAAGTCCGAACACGCAGAGCGTCGGTCAGTGAGTGTCAGCCACGAGGACGCCGCTGCCGCCGCCCACTCTTGAGTGAGGGACTGTGAAGCAGGCCCCGATGAAAGTGAGTACAACGAAGGGAGACACAAATTGTTCACCAACTCCTGCAACACCATAAATTAGAATGGGTAAATTCAATATAAATAAAAGCTCCTACAGAACTAAAAATCAAAACTTACAGAACCCGTAGCCCAAATCGGTTGCACAGAGTGAAACACAGGAAGCTCATGCAGCCTTGGTCCCTCTCATGGCAGAAAGAAGTCTCCCCCTCTTTTTAATTTAATCTTTAAATTTTTAACTTATTTATTTATTTTAAAGAAGGTGGGGGAGGGAGAAAGAGAGGGAAAGACACATCAGTGTGTGGTTGTCTCATGTGGTATCCAGGGAGCAGACCCACAACCCAGGCACATGTCCTAACTGGGACTCGAACAGCGACCCCTTAGTTCGCAGGGTGGCTCTCAAGCCACTGAGTCACACCAGCTGGGGCTATTTAATCTTGATTATATTTTTTTCCATTACCATTTAGCCCCCCTGTACCCCACCCCCACCCCCTGCAATCACCAGGGAGGAAGAGCTCTTGACCTGGGGAGAGCAGCATGAGGAATCCCTCAGTTTTGTGTAGTAATTTTCTGCATATTAGCTTGAACAACCCTACTACACCTCTCCCAACTCTCCACATCACACAACTGGTTAAAAAAATTAAATACTCAGATGTCCAAGGAACATACCACTTAAGAGTCCAGCTCCCCAAGGCCTGCCCCCAGGCAACCATTTAATCATCTAATATCCCTTTCCCAGTTGGCCACTCTTACCACTAATCCCTACACACTTTCTAAGCACCCAACAAACAAAAACTGTGTGAAGCTCCTGGACAGCAGGCTCTTTGAGGGCAGGAACACGACTCCAAAGACAGGCCCTGGCTATGACCTTAAGCAGCAGACAGAGGTAGTGCTCCCAGATGCTCCTCCAGTGGACACTCAAAAGCTGTCAGCCATGCGTATACGGCATTCGAGCTTTGGACTGCGCACAACTACAGGATTCTCTAAACCAGCAGTCCGACGGGAAAGACTGTGACATTCTTAAGTCACTATTCTATTGCTTTTCAGATCTATGTCACATCCTAATGCTGAGGGTAGTGGTGGATATGTGCCACTTGAAAGTGGTGGATATGTGAATTATCATGTAACCGCACATTTTTTGGAAGAAATTCATGGCCTAAATAACACAATCACAGGGCAAAAGCTTCAGGGATGTTGCAGCTGGCCTCCCAGCCATGTCACACCCACGAACGCCCAGACCCGCTTTTGTGTTCGGAAGGAGAGAAGCCGGAAAAGATTTAAAGCCCTGGGGTGGTGCACAGGCAAAGCCGCCAGAGCACTGGCCCAGACTTTCTCACAGTCCCACCTTTCGCTGTACCCGGGGGTCTCTCTTAGAGCTGCAGGGCCCATTCAGTTGCACTCAGCAGGTGGTCCCTGGCTACTGATTCTGCTCACTGCATCCCAAAGACCAGTGCAGAAGTGGAAAATGACCTGACTTTACGCAAGCTACCTACCAATTATCAGCAGGAATAAAGGCTTCCTGACACTGCTTAGGGCGCTGGGATCAATGATGAAGTCAAACGCTCACAACCACGGCTTCGATCCAAACCTTCATCCCTTCTTTTTTTTTTTTTATAGAAGAAGAAGAGAAACATCACTATAAACAGGTTCATCCCTTCTTACCTGCATGGTCGAGCTTTTTACCGTGGTGTTTAGAGTGTGCCCGGAACTGTGCTGATTTGTGTATGTTTACATGTGTACATACACAAATACCCACCCATGCGTTTAATTTAACCTTCCAAAACGTCTAAACGAGGTATGTTTCATTATCCCCTCTTACAGACAGGCCTACCTTGCTACCTTGTGCCAAAGCCCCATCTCTTAACCCCTGTTTATACGGACCCCAACATTCACCTCCTTGCCTGCAGTCCAGCCAGATTCACTTTTCTGGGCCGAGCAAGGTCAAGTCATGCTTGTGAAAGTTGAACAGCACCTTAGGGCTTCCTAGGTTGGAATCAGCCTCCTCAGACTGAGCTTCAGTGCCACTGAGTCGACCTCACCCTCCTTTCTCTGACTCCCTAGAGGGCTCATGCACAACTCGCACTGTATCTTCATATGCGTGCGCCTGAGATGGGCACCTCATCCTGGCCACCTTCCCCTCTTCCTCCAGGACTGCTATAGATTCTCCAGGAGAGGACCTTCCCTGATGCTGGTCCCGCCCCTCCCCCCACTATTGTTTCTTTAGTCTCTCTGTGAAGGTGTAAAACCTCTACTGCACTGACACACACACACACACTCTCTCAAACTCTTCTCTAGCTGATGTGCACGTATACATCCTTAGAAACAGTGAGTTCCTTTCCAGCAGAGGACACACCTTTTAAAACCCTGTCCTGCCTCCCTCTGTCAGTGCCCCTCAATTCCTGAGCATCGCTGGCACCTGTCCACCTGATTTGTTTTATTTGGACCAATCTGTTCATACGTCCTCCAAGAAAACCGTCGAGGGCTCCATCTCACAAGTTCTCCAGTGATCTACTTCAACACCAAATTGTCCCTTTAACACCTGCATTCCATATGCTAAAAAGTGGTGTGGGCTTGCTGCACTTAACAAGGCTGTGCAGAGTCAAGTTCACTTTCACACAAACACATTCTCTGCATACAGATACATCACTCCACAGCATTTAACACTGCTTGGTAAGACATTTGTCTCTGTTCACACCTGCTAGACTATAAGCTCCATGAAGGCAGGGACTGACTCCTCGCACTGCGCTGCCTCCAGAACCCAGACAACGCCTGGCTGAGATGCAGCGTTCAAATCCGCTGAGTGAGTATGCACTATGGGAGACTACGTACAGACGTAGACGCCTAATGGAAACAGCGAAAGCCCTTTTTATGCCACACTTCTAAACCACAAAAATGAACGATATGCCTTACTACTTCAAAGAAATGAATTCGGCCCTGACTGGTGTGGCTCAGTGGACTGACCGCAGGCCTGCGAGCCAAAGGGTTGTTGGTTGGATTCCCAGTCCCGGCACATGCCTGGGTTGCAGGCCATGTCCCTAGTTGGGGGTGTCTGAAAGGCAATCACACACTGATGTTTCTCTTTCTCCTTCCCTTCCCTCTAAAAATAAATATATAAAATCTTTTCAAAAAGTGACCTTGAAAGTATTAACAAAATAAAACGTGGAAACCCTAGAGTTCTGAAGGCAAACTTAGTTTATACGAAGCTTAAAACACTGAATCCAAAGAACTCTGGACTCGAAGTTTAAGAACTGCATTTACTGCCAGGGGCTTTATTTTTTTCATTCCACAGCCCGAAGATTTTTAGTTGTTAAAGAAAAAGTGGAGTACAAACTCCAAGACCCAGAATTTGTGCCTAGGCTGAGAGCCCTGCATAATAAAGTCGCTGGAACAATCACGACGACGGAAAGGACCAGCTTTTCCTCTCCAGAGAAGGAGAAGAGCAAGAGGAAGGCACCTCACCGCGAACAAAGCCAGCCCAAAGCCAGCCAGGGCCCCCAGGAGTCCGCCCAGACAATGGGAGCCGCGGCCGAGGCGAGTCGGGGGCTGGGTCACAGGGGGTGGAGTCTCAGAAAAAACGCTGCAGAGAGCACGTCTGCGCCGGACGCATTCGAGAGGGAGCCTTGGCTCCGAGGGGACCTCCCGGGACGCGTGTGTGCGGGGAGGGGGTGCGTGACTCGGAACGCTGGGTACAAGTAGCCGCAAGGTTCTGTGCTAATTTTGTCAGCTACGGCGACCCTAGCCAATTCACTCTAAGCACTGAGTGGGAGGGGGAAGTCCCCGACCTAGGCGCGGGCCGAGACTGCCCGGGGACCGGTGACGCAGCTGAGGGAGGGCCCGGGACGGCTTACTTTGAGGAGGCAGCTGTTGAGAGGGGCGGGCACTGAGGTGCGGTGGATAACCAGGTCCTGGCCTGGGTTGTGCACGTCGCAGATGAGCTCCAGGACAGCGATGCTGCGGGCCGTGGACACGGATACGCGGTGGTCTTCCGACCAGGTCAGCGGCTCCAGGCCGCTCACTGCATACTGCAGCCTCACGGCTGGCTCCCGCCGAGTCACCAGGAGGCGGAACGCGTCGCTGGGCCCGGGGGTCGCGTCCGCCGTCTGCTCCTTCCTACCCGCCTCGCCTCCCTGCCCCTCGGGCGGCGCCGGCCCGTCGGCCCCGGGCCCCAGCCGGGCCTTGTCGGCCGTGTTCATCTCCCGTTAGGTGCTGCGGCCGGACCCCTGGGCGCGCCAATACCGCGTCGCCGTCCCGTTACCGCCTCCCGCGCCGCCAACACCGGCCCCCAGCGCCCTCCGCGGCTGTATTCTCCCCTCAGGCCCAAAGCGCCGCCGAGCCAGGAAGGACCCCGCCGTTGCTAGGCGACCCAGCCCTGCCAGGTGGCCAAGGCACTGCCTGTCTAAAAAAACACGCCACCTCGGCGGGCGGGGTCGAAACGCCGGGGTTCGGTCGTGGGTCCGGGAGGACCCCTTCTGCGGGTGACCAAGTCACAGGCCCTTTTAGTGACTTCTCGGGTGGGGGTGGGGGGCCGGCACTAAACTGCTGAGGAAATGGTATCCCGCTGGCAAACGGCCGAAATGTCGGTTAGGTGGCGCACGGCCTGTTGTTGCTCAGAGAAATCCAAAGAACTTCACAAATATGAACTCTAGTGTTGCGTGTCACTTGGCATCCGCTGCCACAGGCCATGACACGAGGGATGTCAAGTAAGACAGTCACCCCGCCCCGTGGCTCCAATCAACAGTGGGGCAGGCCGTGTGCTCACGCGTCCTGCGAGACCCGGAAGGGGCACGGCGGCAGGACCAGGCGGGGCAGCTACGCGGGGTCCTCGCGCGCGTCCCACGTGGCCCGAGCGGAGTTGCGGTCGGGGTTCGCGAGGTGCAGACGCGCTCCGCTTGCCAGCGTGTGGCCGCGCCTCCTCGCCAGCCATGGCAGCCACCGACGGAGTGCTCCTGCAGCTTTCCGCCGCCCCCGGGACGTCCTCCAGACCCCGCGCGGCCCAGGCGAGGCGGGTGAGTTCTGGGCGCCTGCAGGTCTGTCGGCACCGGGCGGGGCCCGGCCCGCGCGCGGCAAGCGGACCGCTGCCGCTTTGCCTCACGGGTTTGGAATTATCTACGGAGTTTGGGGGGTGAGGGGGTCAGGCTTCTGGCAGCTTGTGGAGGTGTCGCTGAGCAACATGAGTGGAAGACCAGAACCCAACTCTTCGGGGATGATTTTGGAGGGGCGAGAGCTAGCTGGGGCTGCTACTTGGAGGACTTGGAAGGAAGGGATTGGAGGCTGGCGCCCATAGAAGTTACATAGAAGTGACGCGTAGGCCTGAGTCTTAGAGCTGTCACCACCCACATCTCTCAGCCACCGTTTTCTCGACTTCGGGGGTCGATTGTTTCAGGAATAAGGACTATATTATATTATAGAAGTTTATTCTGACTGCTTTAAAAAATGCACAGATTTCATCCACGCGCAGTGGAGGGGCAAAAGAAAAAAAAAGACTCAACAATAGGATTCTCTTACTAGGGAGGGGAAAGAAGCCTTAAACTTAGCCCAAGCGAGAGCTGAAAACTGTTTTTCGGGATGATAGACTTATCTCCTAGAAAAGGGGAGGGATATAGGGCAGATAATCTGTTGTAAAATCACGTTCCTTCAACCATCAGGAAGGGTGCAATCTCTTGCCGAGGAAGTTGTGTGTGTGTCTCTGTGTGTGTGTGTGTGTGTCTGTGTGTGTGTGTGTGTGTTTTCTGGAAAAAGCAACGGATAATTCCATTGAAAAGTTAATTGCCAAAGTTCGTGCATCCAGTCTGTTAAAGCTGAAATTCCTTGAGTTCTTACAAACTATCACCCAGTGTCTGGAGTCGTTTTGGTGATTTGTATTTGTACTTTATTTTACTTGTTTGTTTAGTTACTTTAACAAGCTTTGGGATTTAGAGGCTTGGGCGGAAGTTTTCAGCTAGCCGACCGTGGGGCCCCATCCCTGTGGGAGGGGGAGGGAAAGTACGGAAGAGCCACTGCGTGCCTGGGGTTTGCGTAGGACAGGCCTGGGACCAGACGCCGGCCTGGCGCCACGCTAGCTCTGTGACCTGGAAGAGGTTGCCTCACTGCTGACCCTTACATAGGGCCTAACAGGAGAACAGTACTTTCTACTTCGCGTGTGTTTATTATGGCGATTAAAAGAGATAATAAACATAAAGACTGTATTTTCTGACTCATAGAGGCACACACTAAATGCTAATAAAAAAATAAGTACCGTATTTTGCAGCGTATATTGCTCTCCCATGTATAATGTGCACCCATGTTTTTGGCCCAAACTTTCAGGAAAAAATCTTTGGTTTTAATTTTTTAATTCAATTTCTATTTGTATTTAGATACTCATTTTTTGTATTATAAAGGAATTTTAGCATCTATTTTTGGACATATTGTGACATATTTCAGGGTTTATTTTTGAGCATAATTAAAAACATTTATATAGATATGGAATTAGCACTGTACACGTATAATGCACACCCTTATTTTTCCCTCAAAAATTTGGGCCAAAAAAGTACTTGTCCACTGCAGAATGTGGTGTGTTGCTCTTGGCTGCATTCTTGTGTGATAGAATTGCTGCGTCGTGTCGGTGGGCACTTCCCTGGTGGCGGACACGGAGGGGGAGAGTTGACTGGACCTTTGAGTGTAAACGTAGGGTGTCTGGTTTGTGAGCATTTGCACTGCCGTGTGGAAGGGTGTTAATGAGGTGAGGACAAGTGTCTGTAGTGGCCTCATCTGCATCTGCATTTCCATTTGTGTCTTGAATGAGGATTGCGGGTGTGCTGAACTTGGATGGGTAGCCAGTGTACTGGGTTTCAAAAGACTTCGATGGCCTAAGTTATGCTAACACTGTGAAGAATGTGTTCTTATTATTAAGTTAATACAAATTTATTGTAGAAAATTTGGGAAGTTTTTTTTTTAATACACTCTTAACTCTGGTTAATATTTTGGTGCATATCCTTGTAGAAAACAACTCAAAACAAAATAGGGACCAGCTGGCCATGATGCTTTCTGACCAAACGGGATACAGTTCATAAAAGGCATTGCAGCATTATCTTCAGGGCTGTGGTGTTGATGACTGAGCAAAGCCTGGGCCCCTTGGTGATCCGGGGGTGGTGCGTGCGTGTCCCACCAGCAGCATCCTCTGAAAGTGCGGTGACATCGGCAGCTGTATGATAAATGAGACCATTCATGCAAGCATGTAGCATGCTACTTACACGTACTGAGCGTAAGAACTACTCAGTATGTTTACTTGACATCAAAGACATAGCATCTGGACTTCTGGAGCTAGTTGGGTCCCAGAGGTCACTGCTGTGACCCCCCCATTTTACAGGGTGGACACGGAGACTTAGAAGTGACTTGCCTAATATGTAACCGTTTTTCAGCAGCTCTAGATCTGTCCTTGCTCCTCTGTGCGCCGATGCCACCTCATGAAGCCTTCCTGTCCCCTGGCCGTAGGCCGTGGCGGTCTTTCTTATTGTGTGTTCTCGTGGCCCTTTGTGCGCACCTCTTCTCCAGGGTAGGCATCAGTTTGGGTTTCTGGTTTACCCTTTCTCTCTGCCTCGTGGGAGCCTGCGGCTCCCTCAAGGGCTCGGCTAACTTTCCAGCTTGTACCTTCAGGACCCAGCTGCCTGGCAGCTGCTGAGTGGTCAGTGTTTTAAATGACTGCACAGTGGAGCCTCGGTTCTCCAACTTGGTTTGTTCTGGAAGGCTGTTCAAGAAGTGAATTGTTTGAAAACTGATTCTCTTTTGTCGCCTGTGAGACACGTGACTGATCTTACAGGTATCAGCATGAAAGGGTTGGTGGGTCAAGATCCAAAGTTTGTTTGACAGCCAGGACGTTTTTACTGTGACCAGCATGGTGGAGAACCAAGTTGTTGGAGACAGGAGGCGTTTGAGAACCGAGGGTGGACTGTACATGCGTGGGGGGAGCTGATGAGCAGGAGGAAAGCATCCCCACTGTGGAAAGGAATAACCCCATTGTGTGTGATTAGTTCCCCTGACAAGTATTTATTGAGCACTTACTTTGTGTGAGATGCGGGCCAATGCAGGGGATGGCTGGGTGGACAAGTATTTATTGAGCACTTTACTTTGTGTGAGATGTGGGCCAATGCAGGGGATGGCTGGGTGGAGAGAAGAGGTCAGGGAAGGCTCTCCTGAGGGCCCAGGCCTCCTGGATCTGGAGGATTGGGACGAGGTAGCGAGCCAGAGGGAGGGTGGGAGACGTGGGGTGGGAACAGCATGAGCAGAGGCCCTGAGGAAGGAGGGAGAGTGTATAGGCTGGGGATTAAGGACTAGGACAGCAGAGGGTCCAGCTGAGAACAGTGAGGTGGGAGGAGCGAGATTCTAGAGGGCTTTGTAGGTCAAATTTCAGATTTTCGATTTCAGCCTGGTGGCTATAGGAAGCCTATTTCATACTGTGCTTGACTCTGAACAATCACTTTTAGAGAGAGATGTTGTCACAGTAAAGGGTGAGCTGGATGGTACAAGGTCTGAGGTCTGTGTCCTGGGTGGAGTATTGGGCCCAAGGAGGAAGGAGGAGAGGGATCATGAAATGCGAAGGAGAGTTATGCGGAGGAGGCTTATTCCTCGTGGCTGCAGAAAGCAAACCTCAGGCTCCCAGGTTCAAGGTGGCAGATCCTGAATGTCGGAAACAGTTTCCACACCACTAGAATTTAGTCAGCCTTGGGGGAGGGAGAACAGGAAGAGGAGGTGCGTGGGCAGCAACTGCAGGGCTGCCTGCGTGGGAAGCCTGTGCAAGGTGGGCGGGGCCTCTTGGCCCCTCTGCTCCCAGCCTCCGTGCTTCTGGGGGCAAAATCTGCACAGTTCACTCCGCCTTGCAGATGAGTCCGCAGACCTGAAATTTGACCTCATCTCTCACTTGAATCTGAAAATTTATGAATTTGGAACTTTGTAAAAATACACTCGCAAAAAGAAGTAGGTCAGTACTTTATTTAGTATGAATATTAAATATTGGAGGTTGTGTTTATTGGATTCCCCAGATACAGAAGATCTCATGGCTGCCGGGAACAAAGAACTGCTGTTCCTGGCAGGTCAGTCCGAAGCTGGCCGTCATGGCTGGAGCAGGCCCGTGTGTGAATGAAAGTTACATTTTATGATAAGAGGAAAAAAACATATCCCCAGAGAAACCCAAATTCCAGAATAACAAGCACTGGCTACTCACAGGGTGTTTTTATTTTCCGGTATAAATTGGAAGAGAAGGCCAAAGAAAATAGAGGAATTGGATGTTTCTTCTTCTGGGGGGAGTTTTGACAGCCTGTGCTGGACCACATTTGTGTTACGGAGATAAGCAACAGGCAGGAAAACACCTGGTGCTGTAGCCTGAAGTCAGCTATCGGGTGGGGAATCGAAAGGCCATTGGGGTGGGAAATAATGGCAGTAGAAGTGATGGATGGAGCGAGTTTCTCATTTGGAGTGGAAACGGCAGGCAGGGATTGTGTCCCGAGTCCGGGGGAGCATCTTGAGGGGAGAACGACAGAGATCCACGCACTCTGGGGTGGGGCAGTGCTGAAGGTTTCTGCTTCCTGGGTGTGAGCTGGGACTGGGCGTCACATGTCCCACATGCGGTCACCCACTGGCTTTGTTAAGGGGGAGGACAGATTGTTTGTCCAGCCCCCATTCTCATGTAAATGTTCCTGGCAGTACCCACTGACTTAGCGCACACACGTCACAGGTTGGCCTCTCTCTTCTATTAAGAGACTCGTTTGTTAACATTCAGCCCCAGAGTGTTTCTCCCTGTGTGACCCCCCCCCCCCATCTTGGTGGAGTTACAGTTAAAATGGATGGTGAGGTCTAGCAGATGAGTGAGCTGAGCTTTTGTGGGTGTTTTGGTTTTTCTTTTTTCGCTGTTGAAGGAAGAAAAACTGAGTCAAAGAGTCTGCTTGCAGACCAGCCGTAAACTGTTGCTTGACATATGTGGGGTAATGATCTCGGTGGGGAAGGCGCAGTTCGCGGGCAGTCAGGCTTCACTGAGGTCTGTCTTCACGGACTGATGCGTCTTTTCCTGCTCTTTCCTTTGGGGGTCATTGCAGCAAGCACAGGCCACGAAAAGAAAACGCCAGGCGTCCAGGCAGGCTCCCCCAGCAAAACGGAGGAATGAGGCGTCCTCTCTCCCAGCCAAGAAAACCGCTGTTAAAGAGACGCCAAGGACTTTGAAGGGAAAAGCAAAGAAGGTGTTTTCGCCAAAGAAGTCTTCAGCCAGTTCGAGTGGTAGAAACCAGGAGCAGAAGCCGGGCGTCAAGACCTCATCGTTGTTTAAAAACAACCCTGAGATCCCTCAGCTCCGCAGGTACGCCCAGGTGCAGGCGCCCCTCGGGAGTAAAAGGAGCTGAGTGTACTCTGCCTCCTTCTTGGTACATTGGAACTGATGCCGGGTTTTGTTCATCATTTGCAGACCCTTGGTCAAGCAGATGCAAGAAAATGTGTTTTCTTCAGAAGCTTTTCACGAGCTGGACCTCCACCCGCATTTGGTAAGTGTGCGCACCTGCGCATTGCGCTGTCGAGGGCCGTGCACACTCACCCACTCGGGGGTCTGAAAAGGCAGCTCTAGGGAGAAAAACCGGAGCATGGTGGTTTCTGCTCCAATGTACCCGCCCAAGCTCAGATCCATAAGACAGACGCTCTCCGGGGACCATCCCACGGAGCTCACGATGCTGTTCGCTGTGTCCCCACCCTCGCCCCTCTGTGGATAGAACGTGAGCCTCTCCTCACCCAGTTCAGTTCAGGACTGGGATCCACTTAGCGGGCTTTCAGTCGGCTGTGTCATTGCTGGCAGATGTGACAGGGAGGCTCTTCTGGTGGCAGGTGTCATAGTGACAGCAGGAGGGAACTGAGCTGCTTCTTGCTGTAAAGGGACGTCTGTAGTTACAAAGAATTGAAGGAAAACAACTATTTTAATGTGTATTTTCTGCAAACAAACGGTCACTTTTCTTTAACCACGAGTGAGTTTCTGGGCCCATTCAGGAGTAAGTAGAGGGAGGCACGTGCTCGGAGGGATTTCCTTTGCGCCAGTGGTCGCGGCCGCCCTCCCCCTTCGCGGCGGGCTACACGAGCCTCGTGCTACGCACGGCTTCTCGGCCCTGGTGCCAAGGACGTTCGGGGACGGCCTCTTGTTGTAGGATGTCGAGCAGCATCCCGAGACCCGACACACTCGTTGACAGTGACCAGCCCTCCCACACTGACGGCCGGAGCTTGTCCCCGGGTCACTGTGTTGGGCGACCCAGCTCTCGGACCCAGCGGAGAGCTGTTGGGTCCCAGTGATCAGTTCTCTCCCGTGGGGGCTGTTGGCACCGAGTACAGCTGTTCCAGAAAAGTGGTGCAGAACAGCATTTACGTTCTTCGTCTTCTCTTTCAGATTTCCACAATCAATGCGGTCTTGAACATATCTCATATGACCAGGTAAGAGGTCCGGGCCAGTCCTGGTTCTTTCTAGGATTGAAGTGGGTAAAAGCGTATGAGGTCTGAATTGCCTGTGGCGGATGGAGCCAAGCTGTCTGTTAATGGTAGGGAGCAGTGAGCAGTGCTGGGTGATGGCCGTCAAGGGCTTCACGCGCCCTCAGCCGCTCCCCCGCCCTCCCGCCCCAGCTTCAAGTGGGGAGACTGGTCCCGTGTAACTCCGCTTTCGGTGACCGGCTGTTCGAGGTGTCTGTACGGAGGCTGGTCCTCCTGGGATCTCACAGTGGTCGTGCTTCCTGGGAAGGCTCCGTTACAGACATTACAGACACGGGACTCACTGTGCCATTTCTTAGTGGTGAGGGTCAGCAGCAGAACAGGAGTAAATACTTGGAAGTAAAAAATACGAATATTGAAGAATAGAGCAAGCCCCCCTTCCCGTGTTTTTGTTCAGTTCTGTCACCCAGGCTTCAGTGATTTCTGTCCCTCCGTTGTTGGGTTTTGCGTGCACATGTAGACACACGCCCCAGCACGTCCCTCCAGGGACCCCGTGGTTTTCTGGAGAGGAAGCATCAGTTCCGGCTCTCCAGGGGGCCCCCAGCTTCCTTTTACTCTTCTGCTTGGGAAGCTTCCTGGAACGTTGGTGCAGCGTTTCCTGGTCCCTCTCATGGAAGGCAGGAGAGAGTCACGTGCTTTCGCTGTAGTTCCAGGTTGTCGTCATGCCTGTCCAGTCTTTGTTTATCATGAGCATAGTGGAGTGGCCAATCTCGGGTTTGCCTCGATATTTTCAGCGAAGTCCCCGGACTTTAACTGAGGTTTTAGTCCTGGTCATCAGAAGTTTCTCAGCATCTTCCCTTGCGTGTTTAGGCAACTTCTGAGGGGGCATTTGGGGCCCCTCAGAAGACCGAAGCATGGGGCCGTCGCCCTCTGTGCCCTGTGTCTGCCCGTACACGTGAGTGCGTGCTGCGTTACAGATAATCATGTGTGTGTTCTCTCCCGTGCGTGGCCCCAGCGTTCAGAAGCAGAGCATTCCCATGTTGCTGGAAGGCAGAGATGCTCTCGTGAGATCCCAGACCGGCTCAGGTCAGTCGTCACTGAGTTTCTGCGTTCCCGCAAGGGGGGCTCAGGCCACGGCTGTGCAGCAGACCATGTAGTAAGGTGGCTGTTCAGGGTGGGGGGCAGAGGCCACGCTTGCTTTTGCTGAGAGCCCAGACCTGGTTCACATGGGGACAGGAAGGGGGCCACGGCAGGAGCCATGGCAGGAAGCATCTGGAAGAGGTCAGGTTCTGTTCTCCTTCCTTGGAACCCGTCTTGGGGCCGTCCACGGCAATGAACATTTTCTGGGCGCTAACCCCAGCCCCGACATTAGCACACGCCACTTGGACGCCCATCGCTTGTTCTGGCATGGGACCCCGAGCAGCCTGCCGTGCTCTTCTGGTCCTCGTGTGCCCCCCTGGCCTCACAGTGCCACCCCCGTACCCCCCCTCTCCACTCCTCAGCCTCCACTCAGGTGGGTGGGGCTGGGGCTCAGACAACTCCTCCCCACAGTAGCTCCACAGAGCACCTCGTCAGCTTGACCCCCGTGCTCCTCTGAGAGGTCAGGACCCTTCACGGGAGTACATGTTGCTCTGGAGACAGCCCCCAGGTGGCCCTGTGGTGTAGCTTAGGGAGCGTGTCCCTGTTAGAGAGAGGAGTGGTGGAAGCTGCTGGTCTCGTAGAGGTGGGGCTGAGTGACGAGGAGTGTGGCAGAGGGGTGAGCCCCATCCCGCCCGTCCTGGGCGAGTGCCTTCGCTCCCCTCCCCAGATGGAGCGCCGCCCACGAGGAGCAGGCTGCTTTCCCGCACCGTCGCCCACAGGGGCTCTGCCTTTACTTACTTTTGTACTTTTTTAAAAGGTAAAACTCTTGCCTATTGCATCCCGGTGGTCCAGTCCCTTCAAGCGATGAAAACAAAGATACAGGTGAGTGTCCAGTGTGTGTTTCTGCTGTTCATTAGTGCGGGAGAGGCCGTCCACCTGAAGCCCGGCGGTAGCCTTTGGGTCCAAAAGAAGCCGTTGCCATGGAGCAGGAACCACTCCTCTTTTTAATTGATTCGTTACACAGGTGGCGCTGCCTCTGCAGGTGGGCCCGGAGCGCGTTTCACTGCCGTCACAGTGGGTCTGATGGCACCGGGTGTCCACCTTGGCGCCAGGTGCTATGCCTGTGTGCTCTTCTCGAATCTGTAACCGCCTTGGTGCTGCAGAGGTGGTGGTGCCACAGTTGCCCCAGGTGGGGGTTGGGGAAGTGCAGTGGCCTGGCCAGACCCGGTGGCAAGCTCGGGGAGCCGTGTCCCCGCATCACTCTCTGAGGAAGGCGGCCCCTCCTGAAGCGCAGACGTGGGACTAAGCTCCCAGTTAGCAAGTCTGACAGCGGGGCCACCTGGTACCAGCATTTCTAGAACTTGTTTTTAGTCGTGAAACATGCAGTTGGCCCCTGGGCTCTTTGCATCCCTGGAGGGCCAGTCGCCCGCCACGCTCCATCGCGTAGGTGTCATCTCTGAGCCTGGCCCAGAGTCCCCGGATGTATCCTGGTCAGTCTTGGGAGACAACGGCGAGGTCAGAACAGGGAGTGAGGTGGGCTCCCGGACAGATGCGACGAGCTCATTGGCTCCCTTTGTCTCAGTTTGGACAAACAGAATCAGACATGCATCGAGCCTGCCTGGTAATTTCAGTGCCAAAGTAAGTAATGAGAGTGTTGGGTTAGAGCCCATAACCTAAAACAAATATGCACGAGTCCAAAGTGGTAAGTGGAAATTACTGAACATGGGGGATCCCTTTCTCGTGGTGGGATTCCAAAGGGTGGGCATAGGACAAGTGATGGAAGCAGAACATCAGTGTTTGATAGACGCGGCGAACACGCAGGGGAGGGGGTGCCACAGACACGAGCCGTCACCGGCCGGGCCACGGGCGCAACTGTGCAACAGCATGGGGTGTTGGGCATGGTTCTGGAGCGTCTCCCCTCGAAGCACATCCTCGTCACACGGGGAAGCAGCGGGAAGTCGGCTGTCCCGCCCTACCTGGGCAGTCAGGGTCAGCGCCGCCAGATCAGGCGTCCTCCCGTGTCTCCTGCGAGTCTCACAGAGGACGCAGCTCCACCTGGGTGGTTTCCTGCCCAAAGCGCTGACACAGCCTGAGTTCAATCCCAGGCAAACAGCAGACACACCAAACCAAGGGACACTACAGTGCAGCCGGCCAGTGTGCTTCACAACCGTCAGGATCGCAGAAGACAAGGGGGTGCCGAGGGACTCCCCAGGTGCAGAGACAGCGGAGGTGCGCCAGGGCGGAGGTGCGCCAGGGCGGTGCCGCGCGTGGTCCTGCGCTGGGCCCGGTCCGGCGAGAGGGCCTGCCGGGCCAGCTGGGGGCGCGCCCGAGGCCTGCGGGCCGCTGGCCGGTGTTTGATCGGTGCTGGCCTCCCGGGGCTCGTCCTTGTCCTGTGATTTCGAGAATCAGTGCCATATAAGGAAGCTGGGGGAAGTGCTGAGGGCGGTTCTTTGTACCATTCGTAAAATTCTTTTGTAAGTCTAACTTATTTCAAAATGAGTAAATTCAAATTTTATTTAAACTTCATAGAAGTAATTTTAATTCAATAAAACAGAAATCCCGCACAGTGATCCGAACGGTAGAACCTTTGAGAGCCATACCAAAATGGTGTTTTATCCGGTTACTTGTGAACCTGTGTTCTTGCCCTGTGGACTCAGAAAAGGCAGGTGACAAAGCTGCATGGGCAGTGTGACACCAGCTCCATTGGGGATAATGATCAGGGTGTGTGTCTTCACCTGAAAAGGCGAGAAAGATTCTTGTCAAACTGTCAATGCTGGGTTTCTCTGAAGTGGACCTGTGAGGATTTGATTTCCTGCAGGGGCTGACCTTTCCTCCCCACTGGCCCTCACAGGGACAGAGCCCCTGCCCAGGGCTTCCTCGGCCGTGTACTTGGGACATGGAGGGGAAACAGTAGTACCCCAGCGATGCTGGGGGCGGGCGCTCACCCACTTAGAGACTCCAAGAGAAGTTGCTAGTGGGTTCTAGTTCATTCCGGGTCAGAGAGCTGGGAGGTTTGAGCTGCCGTGGGTCCTGCAGTGTGGCTGGTGACCTGAGGACGGGAGGAAGGCCATCACACTCCGAACGGAGCCCGAGTCTGGTGTGAGGCAACCCCCTCGGCCCTCTGTGCCTCTCTCCTGTGGGGAGGATAAAGGGCATCTAGTGACTGGTGGGCCTGCTCGGTGTTAGCTGTCACCGTCTGCGACACGCCCACATGGCCGGTGCGAAGGACAGCAGCTTGATTCACCGATAGAGCCCTTAACAAGCCAGATCGTTGTTTTCTGTGCTCAAGTGTCTTTTAATGTCGGTAACAGCCCATTCTATTGGAGAGTGAAATCATCTGTAGAAAGAGTTTTCCGAGCGCTAATTTAACTCACTCATTTCAAGTACTTGTCAATAGAGGTCCGTGGAGTTCATTGTAAAACGGTTTGGCTGTAAAACCACATGAGGAGGCGGCAGCAAACCCAGGGCACCCAGCAGAGTCTGCAGTGATTTCAGGTGGAAGGGGATGGGCCTTCCTGCTGTGTTTTCGCTTCCAGCTACTTTGGCTCTTATTTTTTTTAACGTCACGTCCATCCCCTCCCCTCACTACTGCCCTGCGAGGAGTTGGTTCTTCCTTCTTCCTGTCTGGGCGCCAGCACCATTTCAGAAACCCTGAAACGCCAGGGTCTCCTGACACTGTCCTGCGGCACGCTGACCCCAGCATGCTAACCTGTTTGCTGCTCCTCGCCGGGGCCTCGGCGCGGCCTTGCTGCACTGGTGGCGAGCACAGATGGCCCTGGTTTGAATTTCAGGTCCTTTTCTCCTTGTGGGCAGATGTCTCTGATGCAGAACATGAAAACCGTGCTTGTGATGGAGTTTGCTGCTGGGCCTGCCCCTTGCCTCCCCACCCATGGCGTTGTGAGCCACCCACTGTCCGCGAGCACTTGGAGGGGGAGGCACCGTGGATTTCAGGGCCTTCCTCAGATACCTTCTAGTTGTACTATTACTACTGTCCTGCTGCTACTGTTGTTTTCAGATGGAGTGTACGTGGTAAAAACTTAAACAGTACCGAAAAGTCGTCGTGAAGGGCACGTCCTTCCACCCCCCACCTGCCTGAGTGTGACGTCTCTGTCGAGATGCAGTAGTCCTTGTCACCGGTCTCTCGTCTGTCCTCCAGGGGTATTCTGTTCATAGGAAGCAGATATGAATATGTGTAGGTTCTCTTGCCCCTTTCATGGAAGTTTTTATTTCTTCGTTTGATACACAAACGATCCCTGCTATGCATGATGCCAGGGGCCCTGCTTTTGTTCACCTAGCATGTTTTGGGGACAGCTGCTCACAGTAAGCACCGCGTTGCGCTCCGCTGTGTTTAAAGGGCTGCCTGGCCCCAACAGCTATGGCTCAGTGGGTTGGGCGTCCATCCGCAGAGCAAAAGGTTGCCAGTTTGATCCTTGGTCACGGCACATGTCAGGGATTCAGGTTCGATCCCGGCCAGGGCACATACAAGAAGCAACCTATTGATGTTTCTCCCTCACATACCCTCCTCCCTCTCCTCCCTCCTTTCCCCTCTCTCTAAAAGTAAATAAAATCTTTTTGAAAAAATGAATAGAGGGCTGCCTTGTATCCTACCGTGTGTAAGTACAGTAAGTTACTGAGCCTTCCCCACGTTGGTGGGGTTTACAATTTGTTCAGTGTTTTGCTGCAAACCAGGGCTATATAAACATTCCACAGTCTGGAAAATACAACTTAATCGCACACAAGGCATCTCTTAGAGAAAGCCCTGAAAGTGGAACTTGCATTTTTATTTGATAGATAACGTCAAAGCTGGCCGTTTAAGGGGTTAGAGCAGGTTGCGTCTTCACCAGCAGTTGCAGGGCTCCTGCTTGCTCCTGCGGGGTCGGCGCCCAGCTGCCCAGGTGCGCTCGTCCAGTAGGGAGAACACGGGGTTGCAGTGCCGGCTGGACTTGCTCTTAGGGGGAGGTGAACATCCTTCCCGCGTGTAGAAGCTGCAGTTTGAGTCCTTCCATAAACTGGCTGCTTCCGGCCCCCCGCCGTGTGACCTGTCGGTGGTTCCATCTCCACGTGCAGTGGGATGCAGGCCCTTCCGTGTGTGGCACGGTTTCCCTGTTGTCATCTCACTCTTGGTCTCGTTCCACCCTGTAGTCTGAGCTCCTGTGTAGTAAAATGCATTGGTGCTTTACTGTTTCTGAGTCTTACATCGTCTGTAAAAAGGCCAACCTAATTCCAACTTAATTTTTTCTAAAATGACCATTGAATAAGCCATTTTCCCTGATATAAAGTGCTCCTTATTTCCTGAACTTTTCTCTGAATTTAATTCTGTTCTAGACTGTATTTGCCACTGTAATCTCTTATGTGCCAGAAGCAATCTTTAAAAACTACCGTCGATTTAAATTGTTTCAGCATCTGATGTTTTTCAGGAGTGTCTTATTTTAGCACATTTACTTTCCCGTATGAACTTTGAGGTCACCTTGTGTAATTACATGTTATATGCATGTATACGCACATACTTTGTTAAAATTGCATCACGTTTGATTTGGTTAGGGAGAATCACCTTGCATGTAATACTATCCAAGAGCAGGAAACATCTGTCCACTTACTCAAGTTTTGTTTTATGCTTCTCAGAGTTATTTTTAAATTCTCATTATGTGGATTTTGTACATTTGGTACTTTTAGGTTTTAGACATTTTTAAAGTTTATTCTTACCTATTTTTTAAAAAGATTTATTTATTTTTAGAAGGTAAGAAAGGGAGAGAAGCATCAGGTGGTTGCCTTTTGCAAACCTCCTTTTGGGGACCTGGTCTGTAACCCAGGCATGTGCCCTGACTGGGAATCAAACCAGCGACCCTTGGGTTCACAGGCTGGTGCTCAGTCCACTGAGCCACACCAGCCAGGGCTGTTCTTACCCTCTTTGTTACTGTTATAAGTGTGGTTTTTTTTCCTTTGTATTTTCTCACTTTCTACATTATGGAAAGCAGTTGAGTTTTATATATTCATTTTGCATTCAGTTAATTGTCTGTTTTGTAATAGACTTTCAAGTGATTTTTTAAAAGAATTTTGTTTTAGGATTACAGTATCTGCTAATGATGACAGTTTGATCTCCTGTTTTTCAGACTTACACACATTCCTTTCTCTTGTCTGATCGCATGAGCCAGAACCTCGGAACGGGGTTCTTGTCCCTTTCCTTCAAAGAGACTGCTTGTGACATTCCACCAGGGGCCACCCCCGAGTCCTGCCGTTGGGACTCCTGTGCCCTTCACTCAGGGTGTTTCTTCTCTCTGCCCACAGCGCAGCGACGGCCCCTACGCTCTGGTGCTCGTGCCCACGAGGGAGGTAAGCAGTCTGCGCTCGGATGGGCCGTGGGCAGGTGTTTTCAGGGGCGTCCTGCTGGGCCTGTGACATGGCGTTACCAGTATTTTTCTCTTGAGCACATAAACCACGGCGCCTTTTCCTTTGCCTGGGAACCACCCTTCTGGCTCCTGACGAGAAAACGGCAGGTGCTCTTTCAGAGTCGGGGGTCAGGTTCCGTTACCTAAAAACGAACCACGCTGCAGATGTTTGTCCTTCCGGAAGAAATTTAAATAATCACATTTTTGTACTTTCCCCTCAACTTAATTCAAAAATTAAAGCAGTTGACTCTGAAAATGAACTTTTCTTTTTAAGAAGCTACTTTATCAAAAAATGTTCCTAAGTGTTAAGCTCCTGGTAGTTTTCTTCTTTCTTGGTAGGAACCTTTTATCGGATGTATTTTATTTGCCTACAGAGGCAGTTTCAGACCAGAGTCCGTCTTCCTCCCGCAGACGCTAGCTTCCCTGCAGGGCCCCGCCCGCTCAGTCCCACAAAGAGGCCGGCAAGGCTCTTCAGACTGTCACAGCCGCCACGCAGCCACGTCCCGATGTGGCCATGTCCCGATGCGTCGTGCACGTGTCCTTGGGAGAAGGCGTCGTGGAGGGGCTTTTGGTGGTGGTTGACGGTCGAGCCCACATTTCTCCCATTTCCTCCGGGCTTGTGGTTTCGTTCCTCTCATAGGTGGAGGAACGGCCACCTCTTGGCCGTCAGCTGTCGCTCCCCCGCACGTCCCCGGGTGTCATCATGTCATCTTTGTCATTTCTGAAGGCAGACCTGGTCCGTGGCTGTTCTGGTGTCCCAATTGACCTGCAGTTGGTACCCGTCTCCTCCCGAAGGGAGCCGGGCTCAGGCCGAGGCTGCTGTGCTCCCCGTCTCGGCGGCGCTCGTGGGCGTCCGGGCCAGCAGGGGGCGCACAGCACACGGTTTTGGGGTCCGTCCGAGGGATGGTTGCTGCCACACACACACACACACACACTCACTCACTCACACCATGTGAGGGCCTCACATGGGACCTCACAGTGGGACGCCTGTCACGTCAGTTCCGTGATGGGATTTTTTTTTCTTAAAAATCTTGGACTTGTGGTACAACTTTAGATCCTGATCACTTTACACAGTCGAAATTTAACACAAAAGGAAGAAGAGATCTTGCTCATTCTAACTTTCTGATATTTGCAGCTGGCTCTACAAAGCTTCGACACTTTCCAGAAACTGCTCAAGGTAAGGCCTGCCGGGAGTTCAGCTTCATCTTTTTTCCCTGACTTTTTGAGGAAAGAGAAATATACTATAGTCTTTTCTTTATTGTCAGAGCTAGGAATTGTTCTGATTTCCCTTTTCTCCCTGGATGTCTCTGCTCTTCCCAAGTATGGTCTGTGGGCTTTTACTGATGTAAACTCTAGTAGCTACCTGTTCTTACTTTAGAAGATTGCTGGTATTTTCTGGTGCTTAAAGTTTCATCTACCTGTCACGGTCCCCAGCAAGTCACACACAGATGTCCCCCGTCGGGGTCTAGGGCAGAGCAGCCGGCAGCGCTGCCGGCGGAGTTTAAGGAGAGAGTGAGGCTGCGGAGCTGAAGCCGGCAGGCCACCCAGCGGGCTGGAGATGCGGCCTCTCCCTCCTGTCGTCAGGGTGGGGGCGGGGAGGGCGGTGCTAAATCATCTTAACCAGGACTGAGGAAAGGAAGGTGGCAGACTCTGTTCGACCCAGGCTCCTTGGACAAAGGCGGAGAAGCTGCTTGAATTGTTTCAAAAACTTCCATTTCTGCCTCTGCGTTGGAAGGTGGTCACATGGCCCCACTGCAGGTTCTTGCTGCTAGTGGCCTGGGGGTGACCGTGCCCGAGTCCCATCGGCACAGCGACACCTTGTGCGGTAGAGGCCTGAGGCCCCGCCCGGCGTCTCTGGGGACGGTGCAGAGGCAGTCTGCACGCGTGCGGCATGGGGGCGCCTGCTGACGCCGGTCTGATGTCTCTCTAGCCATTTACCTGGATTGTGCCTGGAGTGCTCATGGGCGGAGAGAAGAAGAAGTCCGAAAAGGCCAGGTACGGGAGGCCTGTCTGTCTGCCCCCACTGACTCTGTCTGTCCTGCCTTCCTGTGTGATACAACCTGGTCCCTCTAAACCTGCAGAGTGCCCCGCCTTAGACTGGGCCTGTCCTGTGTGCAGGGCAGAGTGGGGCGGCAGGGAGTAGTCCCCTCTAGCCAGAGCTGTTGTTAAAATAAGGTGAACCTACAGGGGCTCCTTTCTGATGTGCTCATGACCTTCTTAACTCCTCCCTGCCCCCGCAGGCCCCCTTGTTTGTTGTGTGTCCCCTTTAGTGGCTCCCTTTTGGGAACATTCTCAGTTTGGGGGCTTGTTGGTTTTTCATAAAAACAAGAGCATAAGTTTACATAATGCTTTGCACCTTGCTGCTTATACCGCAGAACCTGGATTCCTAATTCTATGATGGAGCTGGTAGTGGGTGTCAGGAGAAAATGCTTGCAGCAAGTCAATTCCCAGGCGTCCACACTCTCTAAAAACCTTTGCACTATAGAACAATGCTCAGGAGTAGCCTGCAGCCATGTGCAGAGTTCCTCAATGAGAAGTAGATCTTAAAGTTGGAGCCTAGATTCAGCTGTGAATAACAAGGGCAGCAAACAGCGGTACACCCAACACCAACATGTGCCCCCGTGTCAGGAGCCAGGCTCCCGCTGTCTCTCTGTCACTCAGTGAGGCTCCTGTTTTCAAGGTTAGCGTGTAGCACCAACCCAGCCGGGACGTCTAGTCTCCTGCAGCAGGAGCAAGCATGTGTCCTACCCCCGGAGGTGCTCATGGGGGTTCCCTGTTCTCTTTATCCTTTTTTAGGACACAGGCTTGTGATCACATTTAACTGCAAGGGAAGCTAGAAGATGTGCCGAGCTAAAAAATGGAGGCTTTTATTACCACAGAATAGCAGGATAAAGGATATTAGGGGGTCATAAAGTAAACTTTATTCCACCTAGCCTGCAGGGCAAAACGAGGCCCATGCGTGGAAGTGACAAGGATTCAGTATGAGGGGAAACATCCTGGGGTAGCTGATGCAGGTGAGAGGTTCCCCGTCGAAGCCTCCAGAAACAGGCTGGGCAACCGTGGAGTTGAAAATACTAGAAAGGACCTGTGGGCCCGGGAACGGGCATTGCTTACACAGTCGAGATTCTCGTCAAGGTGGTTTCGTGATTGTAGCGTAATCGCAGGTCTTAACAGGTCTGTTCTGTAGAAGAGGCGAACGCCAGAGAAAAACTAAAACTTCGTACTTTTGCATGCACTTGTCGTCACGTTGGTCCCGACTTCACGCTGTGGCACGCGGGTGCCAGACACAGTCTGTCCCCTCTGCCTTCTCCCGTGTTTTCTAGCCACCAAGCCCAGTCTGATTTACTTCCTCTCATGGTATGTAATTTTCACACAGACTCCGCAAAGGGATAAACATCCTCATCTCCACTCCTGGACGCCTGGTGGATCATATAAAATCCACAAAGAGCATCCATTTCAGTCGGATCCAGTGGCTGGTTCTGGATGAAGCCGACAGGTGAGGCGGGTCTGGAACCGTGAAAGTGGGAGGAAAGGGGTACTCGTGTCCTCCTTGCAACTCTGATGCCCCTTAGCGTTATCGTCAGGCTTCATGGAGATTGAAATTTCTTCTCTGGAAACCGCAGAATCTTGGACCTGGGTTTTGAGAAAGACATCACAGTGATACTCAACGCCATTAATGCTGAGAGCCAGAAGCGGCAGAACGTCCTGCTGTCGGCGACTCTCACCGAAGGTGAGTGGGAACGCTCTCTTCACTCTGAGTGAGGAGGGTGGGGGACACAGCTGCAGGGGCCCACGTCCCCCCCTGGGCCAGGGGGGCGGTCTTGGGCGCTGGCCCCCAGTCCTGCAGCAGCCACCCCCTCGGCATCTCGACTCTGCCACGGCCCCGAGTGACGGTGAGGGCGGGTCCCAGATCCAGAGTCACCAGTAAGGACGGTGCTGCTGGCGTTCCTGCCGGGGCGGGAGGAGGAAAAAGGCCGCCTGCCACTCACCGGTGCTTCTGTGAGGTTCTTACTGCTGGTGTGGCCCGTGCAGAGCGGGGCTTTTGTCCTGACGACAGTGACATCTCACTCAAGTGCTGTGTTCAGTGCTGTCACCCTGTTCTCCCCAGGCGATGTTGAACCTCAACACGCACTTGTTCTGTAAGCTCTTGGCTGCTGTTTCTCATCCTCACGAGGTGGGACACAGACGGGAACACCAGGGCTTGGAGCCGTGGCGGCCCCGCCCGCCCGCCCGCGGCTGATTTACAGCCGTCTCCGCCGTCACTCGCACAGACCGGTGCCGTCCGTGCAACGGATGGCGGTTTTGAGTGTCTCTGAAGAACATTAGTTTTAAGACATGGTCCATGTTAAAGGGGTTCTGTGCTTGGCAAGTTTGGGACATGCTGTGTTTTGCCTCCTCCTGGAGGTCCGCAGCGCACGCACACAGCAGAAGTCCTGGGCGGGCCTGGCGGGCCCTGCGAGAAGCTCGTGGAGCCTTTTTATGTCTTCCTTGGCCCCAGAGCCCTTTCTGGGGGTGACGAGACAGGTCTGTTAGTGTCCCTTTCTGGGGGTGACGAGACACGTCTGTTAGTGTCCCTTCGGAGGGGCTCCCACAGGTGCCCGCCGGTTGTCGGGCTGTTGGGCGCAACCAGTGGGTCCTGGCTCTTGGCGAACCCCCGGCGGGCTTTCCCAGGGCGCCGGACGTGGGGTGTGTCTGGGTGTGCCGTGGGACCCGTGCCACGGAGTGTGCCTGTCGTCACCTGTTTGCCTTTTTCACTGTTTCCAAGGTGTGGCACGGCTCGCTGATATCAGTTTGCACAACCCAGTCAGTATTTCTGTCCTGGATGAGAGCCACGGTCCGTCTAGCCCAGAGGACTATGCAGGTCTGGAGTTGTGTGCCCCACAGCCTAGTGACGAGCTGGACGGCTTTGCCATTCCGGAGGGTCTCGACCAGTATGTGACATTGGTTCCCAGCAAACTGAGGCTGGTCTGCCTGGCGGCCTTCCTCCTGCAGAAGTGCAAGGTAGGCCGGGTGCTCGAGCTGGCCCTCTCTCGGGGAGAAAGGCCTGTGTCACCCTCGTCGGCGTTACTGCGATGAGTTGGGGAGCCACGTGCACACAGGTTTCCAGCTGCTTGTGAGCATGGACGGTGGTTCGTGTTCATCAGTGGTCCTGGGGTTGTGGGGAAGATCGGGGGTCACTGGCAGCCGCTGCATTCACCTTGATATTGGTCTGAAGTACCCTTCCGGGGGCTGATCTGGGGGGTGTCGCAGGTGGCAGGCACGTGCTGGAGGTAAGCTGGAGCCAGGGGCCCGTGTTCACGTTTCTGAAAGCAGACTGGTGCTCGTGCACTGAATTGCTAGTTTCACGTCACCCTCTCTGGCGGTGGGGTGGTGTGAAAGGGACTGAGAACGAAGCTTCCAGACACTGTGCCCAGTCCGAGCCTGGCCATGGGCCTGCAAGGCCAAGCAGGTGAGGAGCAGTGCTGACACACAGCTTCTCTGAGTTCTGCTCTTCTCGTTCATTGTGGGGTCAAGGTCACAGCTGTCATCACCCTGGCCTTGCAGCCTTTGTAGCATGGGGTGTCGGTGTTATTTCTGAAAATAACTCAAAGCTGCCTGTCACCTGTCTCCAGATTGGGTCCAGCGTGACTGGGTGTTTTAGAGAAAGACTCACTTTGGTCTCACCTACAAAAACCTGCAGCGGTTCCTCCTCTTTTTGTCGACGTAGTTTGAAGCCGACCAGAAGGTGATCGTCTTCTTCTCGAGCTGCGAACTGGTGGAGTTCCACTACCACCTCTTCCTGCAGACCCTGCTGAGCAGCCCCGAGGTCCCGGTCCCCGGGCAGGTGCCGTCTGGCTGCACGCGGTTCAGATTTCTGCGTCTTCATGGCAGCATGGACCAGGAGGTGAGCACCCCAGGCCTGACCCACCGCACTCGTCCCCCAGGAGCCGGACACGGCCGCCCTACCTGGAGGTGCGGGGAGCAGGCCTGCTGTCCCGCCCGCGGGCTCCCAGGCCCACGAGGCCTGCCTCTGCCTCAGCCAGCTGTTGAGGCAACAGAGCGCCGCTAAGTAGCTGGCACCAGGGAAGGGTTTTGCCTTTTTAGTGCCCAGTGTGTAATTAGGGCTTGATGTCTTCAAATTAAGAGCATTAATGGAGCTAAACTGTGGCTCCCATATGGCGCTGCTGCGCCACTGCTGTCGCTGTCAGCAAGACGCAGCGCCCGCTCCTCAAGCTCGTTCTCGGCCGCGGCCGTGTGCCCTGCTCCACCTCCCGCCAAGCGCACTTTCCTTCAGGGAGGACAGCGCAGGCTCCGCATTTTAGGTTCTCAGCTGCCTAGAGACCATCACTGAGGGAGTCGGGCGGGCGAAGCCTCTGACCGTGCAGAGGGTCGGGCCGAGGGCAGGGCCGTCTTGTCCTAGAGGTTCAGTTGCCAGGCAGCGGCAGCCCAGGGTGGAAGGACTGGGGACGGAAGGCCAGACATCGGACGAGAGTCCGCAAGCGCCCCGGAGAGCCAGCTCGGAGACCGTGCCGCTCTCAGGGTGCCCGGAGACGGCAGAGGGCGTCCACTCCAGGCCCCTTTTGGTTTTGCTCTTTTGTTTTAATTCTTCAGGAAATGGAGGTTCAGAATTTGCTCAAGGTCATTCAAGGACACAGCTGCTTACTTGCTACAAGAAGATGTAGAATTTCCTTTGTGAATTTTTATAAGCTCTTGGTTTTTACCTTCTGCATTTGAGTCCATCATTTGTTCACTTCATAAGGCGATGCCGTTTATGGTGTTTCTTCTTCTTTTTATTAAATTAGTTCCCTAACCCTCTGGGTCTGTTTTCACCAGGGGCTTTCTGCTGGACAGTCTCGGGGAGGAGGAGCCGGGCGTGCACTCCACAGGGTCTGGGGCTTCGACCAGAGCAGAGCAGAGCAGAGAAGCGTCTGTAGTGAGTTCAGCTCCCGTCACAACAGGACACTAGTCTCTAGGGGGTTCGTAGCTGTGTGCCCCGGGGCAGACTGCCGTGTTCCAGGCCTGGCTGTGTGGCCTCTGGAGAGTGTTGAACCTCTCGGTGCCTCGGTGTCTGTGTCTCTGAAATGGAGCCAGTAGCAGTGCTTCCTGTTCAGGTTGGTGATGATTCCCTGGGTTAGTGCAGATGAAGTGCTTTAGAGCAGGCCGCCCGTGTAAGTCCTTAGTCAACGCTAGGTGCTCTTGTTGTTGTGAATTCTCCCTCAGGGACAGTTGAGGTTTTTTAGCTTAGTAATTGTTACCCTTTTGCTTACATTGCTGGTTCATATATTAAGTAGCCTTCGCAGCCTCCCCCTGAGCTGAGTGGAAGGTGGGAGGGAGTATCTGTATTCCATTTGGTGAACGTCTTAGAGCGAACCAGAGCAGTCCCCTCACATGGTCCTGGCCTTTTGTCTTGGCCGCCGTCCCACGGGACCTGCAGTCTCCCCGCATGCTTGATGGGGCCCCAGGCACGTGATCAAAGAGAAGCTCCGGTTTGCTGTGTGCTGGTCGTGATGGAAGAGTTGGGTTTGGTCCTCACTCTAGACCGGAGATGTCACAGACAGGCTTTAAGAAGTGTCCCCGGCTTTCCAGAACTTTTCTGACATTACAGTGCAGCCATTAAAAATGTCCCTTATGAAGCCATGTGGCAAACTGGACAAGTGCAGTCGCCCCTGTGAGGGCCAGAGCCCTCTGGCAGGTGGTCCCCAGGTTCAGACAGCGGTCCAGTCCTTTGCCGGGCGTGCCCCTCCCTTGGGCAGGTTACTTGGCCTCTTCACTGGCTCGGAGGGTGACGGGGCGGTAGGTGGGGGCACGTGTGTGAAGTGGAGGCCACTGTCTGGTTGGTGTGTGGTGGTGCTCGGTACACTTTGGCCGTCATTGTCCACTGTCCTCAGGTGTCCCTGGAGTCCCAGGTGTGTGACAGCACATGCATGTGCGGGACCGCAATGAGGTTCACTACAGTGATGTGCTTGCCGTGCCAGAGGGGAGGGAGAGACGGACTCGGTTTTTTCTCCAAATCCACGGTGGTTTGGTTACTGGTCCTTGCTGCTAACAGACGGCCGTGGCCAGGCCCGAGCTGCGTGCAGCTGTGACGGAAACACACTCTCGGGTGCACTTTGGAACTTTACACGGAAAGCCATTAGGTGTGCACACCTTTTGGTCCAGCAAGTCTACCCTTAGGGATTTTCCCAAAGGGAACCATTCCGTCCACGTGAGTCACCGGCACTGGGGTCCGTCACAGCACTGCTCTCGGCGGTTACCCACGGGCCACGGCAGCTAGCAGTGGTGGGGCACTGGCCACGGACACGGCAGCACACCGTCCAGCTGGACACTGATGTGTTGTCGCGAGAGGGGCGGGTCTGGGTCGTTCTCGTTGTGTCCTGGAGAGGCGTCCACGTTCTGCTGAGACACACACATACGTGTGTGTGCGTGTGTGCGTGCGCACACATAAATAAAGTGACAAGAGTGTTGGTAGTGTAAGTAGTGTGGGCCATTTTTCAAGAGTCCCTGCTGGTGATTTGGCCCAGGAAGGGCCCAGAGACAAGGGGCTACCAGTGGCGGCGGTGTGCTTCAAACCATAGGATATTGCATTTTTCCCTTCAGCTGAAATACAATTTTTCTACAGTTAAAACACACGGGGTTTATGACTTCTTAATCTTTTTACAAAATTGGTCTTGAACAAAATTGCCCCCCGGGAAAGGTGGTTCTCTGTTTGGTCCCTGTGGGTCTTCCTGCTCCCGGGTGGCTGTGCCTGAAGGACGTGCCCAGCCCGGTGCTCCGCTGCCCTGTCGTGGTCCGGAAGCCCAGTCCTGGCCGTGCGGGGTCTCGTGAGATGTGAATGCGCGAGGCCCCCCCCTTCTCGGCAAGGCTTCTCGGTCCTGCACCTCGGTGTATGGTTCCAGTAGGAGCAGATGGGGGAGTCGTGGGAATCGGCGCCCGTCCCACTGCAGTCAGCCTCAGAGCTGTGAGGTGTGTGTTCCCTTGTTTTTTAGGAGAGAACGGCAGTGTTTCAGGAGTTCGCACGTTCCGGCACAGGCGTCCTTTTCTGCACGGTACGTATCATTCCGAACTCCAGGTGAAGCTTGGGCATTTCTGTAGTTGGTGGTGCACTTTTTTTCTCTTGACAGTTTGCCTGAGGCCAGCCCCATGGAGAGCGGGACACCTCTTGGTGTGGCCGGCCCTCTGCACTTCTGCTTTATCACCTGACTTTGTCGCAGATAGCCGGCTGCCACCGTGTAGAAGACTCGACGATTTGCTCACTAATAGTGACAGCTGTTGGTCTGAAAATGTGTGAACCTTGGTGATTTCTAGCCACCAAAAACTTGTAAATTACAGCTATCGGGAGTAATTAGAGCTGAGAAGGTCTTTCCACGGTGAAGCGCTCCCCTTGCTCTGCTCGCCTTTCTGTGAGGGAAGCAGGTGTTCTCGGGCCGGTTTGTCTGCTGTTGTCCGAAGCTGGCACTTGCCCTCCAGTCCTCCAGCCCGATCCCTTGGCCACCGCCTTGGCAATCTGGGGCGCTGCCTCCCTGAGTATGTATCTCATGCTCTGTCGAGGCGGGAGCACCGTGCCTCCGATGGCCCCTCCTCGGGGGGTTCCCTGCACTGTTGCTGCTGCTCACCCCCGAGGTTAAAATGCCTTCTGGTCTGTGCCTTCTTGGGCAGTGTAGCCTAATCCCAGTGGGTGACTGAGAAATCCCTGTCTGTGTGGCAGTGAAGTGGCACCGTGAACTGAGCGACCAGGCAGCCAGGTGCTGGGCAGAAACGGGGGTTCAGCTCCTGGAACGCCTGGCGAGGCCTCTGTAATGCAGCTGCTGCCTAAGGAGCTCCGGCTCTGTGTTCAGTTTTAAAGGCCATCGGGGGTGTTTTCTCCCTTCAGGTAGGAGTGTGTGGCTGAGTGCTGCTGCTTTCTTGTGCACGGTCCTGTGCACGGCAGCCTGCCGGCCACCGTCACGGCAAACAGCGGCCGTGCCTACCGTGCCTGCCTGGAGCGGAGAATGGTTACTGTCAGAGCGCTGACCGTCGGCGGCGACCTGAGTCCACTCAGTGCCCTTCCCTTTATGGAGCCAGTCCCGTGGCAGGTGCTTGTGTTTACCCTAAAACCGAGTCGTGAAGATGAGTCCAAGTAATCTGCTTGGCAAAGAAATTTGTCAAAAGTCCTCATCACAGAACCAGACCCCTTCCTGTGTCCTCCGTCCCTACTGCTCCCTTCTTCCTTCCCCCACAGCCAGGTAGCACCGCTCTCCGCTCCTTGAATGTGTCGTTCTCCCTTTTTTTGGGCTCGGGGCCTTGGTACATGGGGTTCCTCCGCCTGGGACACTCCATCCTGATGCTGACTAACCCCTACTTAGGGTACTCAGCTTAAAGCTCGTTTGTTTAGGAAATGGATCCCGAGAGCCCCAGACCCAACCCCGCGTCCTCACCCCTCCCTACCCCCCATCAGGTGCTCCCACTGCACCTGCAGTTCCTGCCACGCCCATCATACCCGGGCTCAGTGTCTTCCTACCAGGTCATGGGCTCGTGAAGACAGGGACTGCATCTCGTTGGCTGTCCTGCCCCAGTGTCTGGCGCAGCAGAGCAGGTGTGCAGCAGGCACTCTGGTCTGTGGATGGCACGCGTGGGTAGGCACGGCCTGAGAACCTGGTGTGGAGACCCACCTATGCACGCCTTTCTCTAAAGACAGCTGAGGGTCCCCTTTCCATGCGTGTGGTGTTACGTGGGGAGTGAGGGCTCTGGGGAGTGTGTGGTCTTTATGGAGACAGAAGGCAGTGGGCACCTCGGTCTGGGGTTTGGGTTAGGGTCGGAACAAAATGTTCCGTCTTTGACACTCAGGATGCTGGATCCGTGCCTGGTGAGAAGGTGTCATGCTTCTCGGTGTGCAGACGCCGCCCTGTTTTACAGACGCAGTGTTACTGCGGGTCCCCAGGAAAGCTCCGGGTCTTTGAAGGTCCGTGGTTTTGGTTTGCTTTGGGTTTTTTTTGTAGTTCTTCAAGGAAGAAAAGACCCTTCTTTCTGAAATGGTATTCTCAGCCGAGTCAGAACACAGCATGGCTTCCCTGACTCTGTCCGGCTGCAGGCAAGCGGCTCCGGCCGGACAAAGCGCCCGGCAGAGCCCAGCCCAGCCGCTCTCACTTGCCCACAGTACGGTTTCTCTAAAATCTCTGGGTGCGTGTGCGTTTGCCGAGGCCACTTTGATGGGACAGTTCTCTCTGGTGCCATCTTGTCCTTCTTCCTCGGTGAGGGTTGCTGGACGAGTGCCCAGTGGGGCTCCTGTCTCCAAGGCGCGAGCACGGGGCCCCCAGTGTTGGAGAGGCTCCTTACTCCCTGCCCTGTCCCTTTGTTTTCCTGACGTCCTGGCATCTGAGACGGGTCCTGCCTGGCTGGGGGTGGGTATTGTCAGTCTCCGTCCTTCTAAGCAGCCTGTTGCTTGCCAGGTTCTCTGGGCACTCTCCAGGAGCCTCCTTAGTGTTAACGAGGAGCGTGGGCCGTGTCAGGACGAGGCAGATGGAGAACTGGTTTGGATAAAGCTGGGTCATGATGTCAGTCATGGCACGGAGATTTCTCCTTCCTGGTCTCACCCCTTCGCCACTGTGACTTAGCATCCCAGGGTCCTTTAACAAGGCCAGGAGATGGGACATGGGAAATGCTGAGCACTACTGTGTCACCACACAAAAGTCCACAGCCACGCTATTCGCTTTCCTGCTAGAAAAATCCCTCCCTGCGTGCACCACCTTCCTTTCTGCACCCCAGCCTCCTCCCCTTTTGCCCTATTACTAGGAACAGGAAAGGGTGTGTGTGTGTGTGTGTGTGTTTTCATCTCGATTAGAAGTGTGAAAACAAGGATCTTTTAATTCTGTGCACTGAAATCTTTCATCAGGACCTGGTCCCTGGCTGTGTAGACTGTGAGTTCTCAGCAAACACTTGACCGTGGTGACTCCGAGTCTCACCGCAGGGAGGAGGGTGGGAGAGAGCTGCTCATGTAGAACGCAGTTTGTGCTCTATAGGGAATTAGATCCAAGAAGCAGCCAAGTTAAGGGGGCACAGCGATTAGCAGGAAGGAGTCATGGGAAAGCCGAAAGTCCACTTTCCCAAGTGGAGTTAAGAAATCAGAGGAATCAGAGAGGAGATGCCGAATTATCGACGTCGTTTCCTCCTGTGGACGGTGACGAGCTCACCCTGCGCCAGAGGAAGGGGACGTGGCCGTTAGCACTGCAGGCCCGTTACTGAGCTGATCGAGGGGAGGCCGCCGACAGCCCAGAGAGTGGCGTTTCCAAGCTGCCTCTGGCCTTAAGGTGTGCCTGACGCTCCCTGGTGTCCCTGGGTGCCCGCAGCCGGGGACCTCTCCCACCGGGCCGGTTGTCTTGGAATAGAGCCCCCGCCCAGCACCTGCATTCTTTTCCAGACACTACCTAGGTCATACGTGCTGGTTGCCTCCACCTTGTTTTTTTCCCCTTGAAATACACTGTCATGTGTGCGGTTCCTGAGTCTCTCTCCTCCCGGGGAGTTCCCGCCATGCCAGGAGGCTCGGAGACAAAGGCGAGCAGCCGTAGGAGCCATGAGAATGTCAGTTCACCACGCAGAGCAAATGGAGGCTTTCTCGGTTTTCTCTGGGGCCTGTTGTTTAGGTAAAGTTTCTCTTTCCCACTTTATTTCATTGTGTTAATGGCAAGATCACTGGGAGACTGTTGGCTGTTTACTCCGTTACGCTAACTCATGTTGCCAGTTTTTGGCGGCTCCAGCCAAGATCTCTCGTCGCTGACAGCTTCTGCACGCTCTCCTTCCTCCTCTGTTTGCGCAGCCCAATCTGTCACCCGGACAACAGGGGCCCTACCCCGCTGATGGCTTTCCACACAAGGCAATAATGACTTTTGGCAGGCTGGGAAGGCGGCAGCGGCGAATTTGCTGTGTCCCTTCCTCAGAGAGCCGGCAGGGCCTCTCTCCCTGTTCGTAAAAGCACTTTGTGAGGTTCTTGGGTAAATAAATGAGTCATTTTAATCCAACTGACAGGCTGGCACCTGAGCGAGCTGCCTTCCATCTGCACTCCTCGGCCTCATGGAGGCGGCCCGTCGCCAGGCCGGGCCTCACGGCCTCACCACTGCGTGTCTTTCAGAACTGACTTCAGCGGCTCTTCTGCTCTAATTAGGTTAAAGGAGCAGAGCGAGGCTGGGTCTGAGTTCTGAGAGTGGGCGGAACCAAGGCCTGTGGGGCTCTCCGGCGGGTCAGGCCCGGGGCTCTGCTGACGGCTTCCAGGAGGGGCGTCCTCTGCCCCTTGGTCAGTGGGGTGAGCGGGGAGGAGAGCGGGGGCCTTTCACAGCCCTGCGCGACCTCCACCTCTGGGAAAGGAGATGTTTAGCTTTCTAATTCTCTATTCATACACGCTGTCTCCTGTGGTCTTCACAGTAACCTCAGGAGGTAGATAGGTGGGTTTTAGAGCCGTAGTTAGGGGGTAAACTGAGGCTCCGAGAGCCTAGTTGACTGACTTTCCCAGGTCATATGGCTGCTGAAGTGATTGATACTGACGTCCAGCTCTCTCTGTTCTGCATCAGGAAGGTCATTTTTCTCCCACTCTCTGTGGTAGCCTAGGCTCAGAATAGAAAGACGCATCTAAAGAAATAGCTGGATTAAGTCTAAGCAGTGACCGGCGGTGAGGTTCCCCGCCCCAACACAGGAAGGGAGACAGGGAGGATGGTGTGAGCCGGTGTCAGGAGCCAGGCCACCCGGTGGGAGGGAGAACCTTGACCAGTCTCCAGGAGAGGCAGTGGACGTTGCTCCCAACGCCCTTTGCAGCGCGTTCGCACTGGCTGAGTTTCGTGAGTGCCAGTCCGTCTCGGGTCCAGAGCTCGTGGCTGAATGTGCGGAACCAACGAGCACTACGCTTTCTGCAGAGCCTGCTCGTCTGGGCGGCTCGGGCAGCCCGTTGTCAGCCTGCGTCTCCCACCGCAGGGCACATCTGCAAAATGAATCATTTCTTAACGAGAGCGTAGCAGACTGAAGACCCTGTCCGCTTTCTGATGTCGGCTGTGGTCAGTGTGGAAAGCAGTCCCCGTGCCCCTTTCGGTAGAATTCGAAAAGTGTCTTCACAGGTGTGGCTTGGGACGAGGCCTCATCTGAAAACACCTTGTGGGCGCTCAGCACTGCAGAGCATTAACCTTGTGCTTAGCACTTCATAAAGGCAGACCTGGCCGCCGGGGGAAGGCGAGCGGGCAGTTCAGTGTGGTCAGTGACAGCCGACGAAGCCTGTCCCGCCGCAGTGGGCCTGGGGCAGCTCGGTGCTGGGGGCATGGGTCTTCCTTGGTCCTGCCTCAGAGCCTGGGGCGTTTGAGAGCGACCATTTTAAGGTGCTTCATACAGAAACTGCATAGGATTATTGTTTTTTAAAATACTAAATATCCTTAGGAATCCTTTGTGGTGCTTCAGAGGTGGGGGTGGGGGTGGGGAGGGCTGTTCTTACGGAAGAGCATCTGCCCGCAAACAGGAGGGAGCAGCACTAGGCAGCACGTGCCAACAAAAGCCAAAGCCATTAGGGAAACGGATTTGGGAGACAGTCTCAAAGTTTCCCACCCCAGTTTACTTACTGATGACAGAAGGCGAGAGGGGCCCGCAGGTGGCGGGAGCTGGTGACCACCCTCTCTCGGGTGACCGCACACGCATCCCCGGCACAGGCAGACTGATCTGGCGCGTCTTCCACAGTCACGCACGGGATCACGCACGGGCGCGCACACCGCCCTGCTGTTGTATTTGCTGCCCAAGTGCTTCGTGCACAACTCACCGGGAGGAAACAGACAAGTCCAGATTCTGGGTGTTTGAGACACCTGGAGTCTTCAAAATTCATAGTTATTAAAACAAGTGAAGGGCGGGGGTATCGTTGTGGATTAAGGAAGTCTAGAGGGCTGCTGTGGAGACAGTGCGTGATGTGCAGTCCAGTCCTGGGTGGGCAAGGAAAGCAGCGCAGTGGGCGAGACTGGAATGCGGCCCGTTTCCAGGAAGCGCTGTTCCTCCAGGCGGGATGTTTGGGGGGGTAACAGTGCGTGGTTACGTGCAGGAATGTTCTCTGGCTGAGGGGACGCGTGCGGAGTGTTTGGGGTGGAGTGTCTGGGGTGGAGTGTCATGGTAGTTCGATGTACACTCCATGGTTTGGAAAGACGTGTGCATGGAGGAAAAGAGGAAGCAGGTGTCCCACCTTGCAGCAGGTGACAAATCCAGGTGACAGTGGGCAGGTGCTCATGCTACTCTCTCAGCTCTTCTGCAGATTTATGTTTTTTAAATAACAGTTGGAGGGGAAATATGTTCATTGTTACAAGGAAAACAGCCGGAGAAATGCAGAGCGAGTGGTGAAACCCGCCCAGGCCCCCCTGACCCTGACCAGGGAGAGCGGTGGAGTCCGATGACTCGGCTTCCAGGCGTCGGCACTCAGCTTGTCTCCTGAGTGGTCTGCGCTCCCCTCCAGTTGGTGTCGTTCAGTTGGGGTTTGCTCTCGGGATGTCCTTTCTTCCCCTTGACTTTTTTTGGTGGAAGAAACCAGACCTTTTGTCCATGTTTTGTATTTGCCTAGTTGGGTCCTCCTCAGGGTGCGTAACCTGCCCCCCCCCCCATTTCCTGTGCTCCAGTCGTTGGGTGGAGACCCTCAGGGAGGCCCAGGCCCCAGGGTTCACGCGGCCAGAAGGGGCGGCCCTGCGCTCCCTGCTGCCGGCCAGCCCGCCATCTGGAGGCATTTACCTGGACTCAGTTGAGGTCACACGGGAAGTCTGGCTTCCATCCCTCCCCTCCCCTGTTCTCTTCCTTCCCCTCCAGGGAACCCTTTTTAAAAGCGTTTGGGTTTTCTTTGTATTATTTCTTTAAGAAACATGGGCAAGTGTACTTTATTTTCCTCATTTCTTACACCAAAATGTACTATACATGCTCAGGAGTTTTCCTAGGGGGTCTCCATGTTACTCTGTTGGAGTCCTCGTTCCTTCCTGGCTGTGTAGCATGCTGGAACATGGGGTGGGTGTCCCCACTGTCGTCCTCACTGTCTCCTGCCAGATGTTGGGGTCGTGCCAGACCGCTGACACGAACAGCCTTGAGTGTGTATCATTTTGTATTTTTGCCCGTATGTCCTTGGGGTGCTCTGGGTCAGAGGGCAAGCACACACACAGTTTTGTGGGATGGCCCCCAGCCCCCAGCACGGGGGGGGGCTGTGCTGTGTTGTACTCCCACCACAGTGCGGGAGAGGCATGGCATCTCTCTGTTGTCGGAACGGCGCAGCGTCACCTAGTCCTTGCTCCGAGGGCCCGTCAGGGCGCTGCGGGCGGAACGCTCCACAGTGTCTGGTGCGCAGGACGTGCCCAGTGGCTGTGGACCGGGGACGGTCTTGTTACGCACAACTGTGCGTGTGGAGATGAGTGGCGCACGTATATTTGTCATCGACGGCTGGGAGACTCCTGTGCTCTGGTCTCTGCTGGGATGACCAGAGAGTGGAAAGTCTGCTCCACAGGTGGCGACCCCTGAAAAGGAAGAATAAAGCACTGCTTTTCTAGTTTCACCTGCCTGAGCCAAGACTTCACCTGGCTCAGTCTTTGGCCTGTGCTCTGATTTAGCTGCCAGAGAGGCGGGGCATCGCTTGACCCTTGCTCCTCTCTGAGCCTGGTCAGCAAAGGCCACAGGAAATAGGGTGCAGCTCACCTCCAGGAGGGGGTGCCTAGGGGTGATCTTGCAGAAGCCCACCTTCAAGTCACGTCTTCGTCAGTTTTGCGGGTAGGTACAGGATGGGGATAGTAGCCCACGAGTGCATTCGTCATCAAGTGGGTTTTTAAGTGAAACGTTAAAGTAGTAAGACCCGCTGAAGGTTTTCAGAATTCTTCCCAGGCCCCACTGAGAATGACCGTGTAAATTCCCGGGCTCCCCTGCAGGTGGCGCTGAAATGGGGAAGTGGTTGTGCCTCACCAATGGGTTTGAAGCTCTTCACCTGAGTCAGGACTTCAAGCCGCAAATACTTGGGTGGCTTCCTGAGGTTGTGTGCAGATGTATGTGTGTGAGAGCGTGCACATTGGTGCGGGTGATCCCTCAGTGTTTGCACTAGATTATCCATGGATCTGTGACCCCCCGATGGTTCAGAAACGCAGTCCTAAACCATGTTTTTCTGTTTTGAAGGATGTTGCAGCTCGGGGCTTAGATCTCCCTCAAGTCACATGGATTGTTCAGGTAATTTTTTAGTTGTTAAGGCGTGAGCTCGAGACAGGAATATATGATCACGAGTAGATGTGTTGGCTTTAAGTGGAATAATTATTATTATCCTCCTGGGTGTTGCCCTGGTAACCAGGCAGCAACCAGCCTTATCCGCACAGTTCTCCCGACATCTTCCCTTAACCCAGCCCCCCTAACTGCTGCCAGCAAAACCACCAGACTGCAGTTGGGGTGGGGTGGGGTGGGGGGCGGAGGGCGGAGGGTGGGGGAGGGCTCCCAGGCTCCAGAACTAGAGCATGTCACACAGGAGGTTTCAGCCATCTGAAAATAACAGGAATCACCCAGGGCCTCCGGGAGGCCTCACTGTGTCCGGGAGGAGATGGCCCAGCTGTCCTAGAGCTGTGTCCTGTACGTTGACCTGCAGGGGCAGTTAAGTCCCTGACAGCATCTTACGCTCACCTCCAGCCTTAGGTGCTTTGCCAGAGGGTGCAGGTGTTAGCGCTCGAGTCAGGTGGTTTTCATCCTGTTTTGTTTTGTTTTTTTTTCGGTTAGTCTGCAGAGTGGTATTCTTAAGCCTTTCCGTGCGGGGGCCAGGGGACACATGCCCTGTTTACGTGAGTCGTGGTTCTCATTTTAGTGCAATCGCGTGCCTGTCACTGGCTGGGGACTCTGGTCTGCTCCCGCAGGCAGTCACTTCGAGACCGAAGGAGTTGTGTCTTCTTCCCTGCTGGCCACAGAGCCAGTTAAAGACAGGGAGGCAGGGGTGGTTTCAACGTGCAGAAGGCGAGACGCAGAAACTCCGTCCTCTAGCCTTCTTACAGTGTGACTACAATCGGTCACTGTAGTATATTGTATTCATACAATATATTGTATTCAGTATGTTGAATTCATCTTGGCCCTCTGGTTTTTGGTTCCTATAGCAGCAGAGAGGGGGAAAAAGGGGAGAAAGACTATATGGTCAGTTAGTTTTGATGACAACGAAGTTGTTACCATAGACATCATCTAATCCTGTGCATGATCCATTCTGCTGAGTTTTTGAGTCACCCTTTCCCGAGTCAGGGACACCATCCACGGGGGCAGAGGCATGTCCCTGTGTGAAGGCAACTTCACTCCGTGGGGACTGGAGGAGCTGCAGCCAGGTGGTGGGGCTCAGCTCCTGGTGGCCCAGCAGCAGAGCTGACCTCTGGTCAGAGCTTTCGGTCCCTTGCTCCTTACCCTGTCCAGTGTCCTCTGTGGCCTCATCTTCACTGCTTGCCTGCCAGGGAAGTAGGCCAAGGGCGTATGGTCATCTGCAGAAGCTCACCCCCGCCTGCCTACGTTGTCACCTTGCGCAGTCACCGCAGTGGAAAGATGCCAGTAGGAAAATGAAGAGACCTGTGGAGAAGTAAGATTGAACAGGAGGCATTGGGACGGCAGACGCCTCCTTCATCTGAAACTCGGCCACTGTTCACACCGGCGCGTCAGGGCCTTGTTATCTCCAGGGAAGCCAGGAGTTTAGGGTTGAGTGACTTCTTCTTGTGATTGCGCTAGGGTAACCATAGCACCAGGATTTCATTCCGGGATACCTGGAGGCAGGTGAGGGGTATTGCACTTCCAATTAATGGCAGTCCCTTGATCAGTGAATGCCTTCATTTCTGTTACCCTTTTTAGTACAACGCTCCGTCTTCACCAGCTGAGTACATCCACCGCGTCGGGAGAACCGCCCGCATTGGCTGTCGCGGGAGCAGCCTGCTCGTCTTGGCGCCTTCGGAGGCAGAATATGTCAACTCGCTGGCTTCTCACAAAATCAAGTGAGTCAGAAACCTGAACGGGGTTTCAGCTGATCTCACCTAATTAACTTTCTGTCGCTTTTTATACTGGCTGGGCCTTGTAAGCTGACGAAGAGCCATTAACCCTTGTGATCCCTAAATGAGTCCCAGAATAGCCGGTGGCAAAAATGCAAACCCTTAGTGCCATCAGCACTGACAAGTCTCATTGCGGGCGAGACTAAGTCGCAGGACGGTCTGTTGCCACTCGCGCTCTCGGAGACAGGCCGAGTTGTGTCTCGCTGGCAGCCAGCTTCCTGAAGAGCTCTTCTGTTCACGGTTTTTCTTTCCTGCAATTAACGCCTCGTACATTGGAAGTATTTTTGCCTTTGAAAAAAGAATCCTTTTTACTCCTCACGCAGCTCCCCTTCCCTCAGAAGAGCACGCCCAGGAAAGCCACTGGGGCCTGCTGGAGTGCGCCCACACGCCCGGCGGCAGCGCCTCCCGGTCCCCTGCACAGAGCGCCAGGCCAGGGGCCGTTATAGTGCAAGCAGAAAGGAGTCACGGGCCCAGAAGTTAACGCGTTGTGTCGTGTTTTCCATGAACTCTCTGGCACCTGGCGTAACACATTCTGATGGCAGGCTTGTGAAGGCGGCGGTTCACACTGGTCCAGGTTCGAGAACTTCTGCTCAGACAAAACACAGTAGTGCGTAAAATTCTGGGAGGCACTGGAAGAGCCACATCTGCCCCAAGGGCTGCTCAGGTGCCGCCTAGAACCCGCGCTGTGACACTAGCACGTGACCCTGCTGTGTGGCTGAACGTGGGGAGTCACTTCCCTGTACTCCTTGCGCAGGCCTGTGCCTTATGTAAAGTGCCCGGTAGCATCCCTGGGCTCACCTGGAAACTGTCGTATTCTACACCTGAGCCTGCGCTGGGGGCTCCAGGACCTGTGTAGGCCACCCACTGGCAGAGGTGGGCGCAGGCGACTGCCCCAGCAGCACCTGCAGGGCCTTTTCTCGCCCCTCCCGATGCTCTCAGGGCTGCCTGTGTGAACTTGTAGGGACCGCACCTTGTTCAGAAAATGTGCCTGATCTCAAGTTGGGGGCAGGGGTGGCAGGGACCTGCTCCTCATGAGTCTGGTAGGTTTCAAGTGGGTTAAATTTAGGGTGGTCTACATTTCCCTGTTATTTAATGTGCCTCAGCTTAATACAGTTTTTCAGTTGAAAGGATGGTTTTGTTTGTTTCAAGAAGACGTGCGTATTTTATCTTAGTTATGAGAGAAATCGTGTGTTAGTCACTTGTCACTGAGAGCTTCGTCTCTGGCAGGCCTCCCAGCAGCCCTGCCTCTGTCCGGGCCAGTGCCCTGCCAGGTCTTGTCCCCAGAAATCCAGGGGGGTTGACATGGAAACCCAGGGACATAACTCACCACCCCCGTCCCCCCCAGGCGGGGAGCTGTGTGTTGTCTTTGGCAGTGGGTGCTGCCTCCTCCAGGCAAGAAACGCAGCCACTTTATCGAGCAGCCTCGTGCTCACCCCCATGCCCTCCCCGCCTCCGTCCGAGACCTGCAAGTTCACGTTCTCCCCTCCTTCCCGTCCCAGCACTCTGGGCGCTCTCCTGTGCTTATTGGCTCGATGTGCTCCCGGAACAGGGAGTGATAGCAGGGAGTCGGGGGATAACTGCCCAGCGCCAGTTAAGAGCGTAGTTGTCCGCCTCTCTGCTCTTGCAGATTTTCTGAGACACGTTCAAGTTGATTGCTCTGACAGGTCGCCTGCGCACCCAGACTTGGGAGGATAGCGTGCGGACCGGCGCGATCTATTAGTGAGCCGAGCGCATTTTAAAGACACGGAAGCACGGTCGTCCTGTGTGACGGTCTCATCTGGAAGGCAGTGCACCGGCAGCCTCCTGGGGAATTCGGCTTGTTGTTCACATTCCGAGGACAACTTGATGGTGCCGGGGACTTGGGCCTGGAGAGGATGCCCAGAAGGAGGAAGACGGAGAACCGAGAGTTTGTTCTGTGGAGGGAAGGCAGCAGGGGCCTGAGAACGTTTACTGACGGGAGCAGGGGAGTGCCGCAGGGGTCCAGCCTCGCTGCTCTCCACTGCCGGGGTCCGCTGTGGACCTGTCTCTGCCTGGACCGCCGCCTGCTGTCCGGCTCAGTGGGCCCAGCCCAGGTGGGCGTCAGGTCTGAGTCCCCTTGAGATCCAGGTGTTGTGCTTCCGGGGGTCCCTCTGAGGACGTATAAACGTAGACTGTTCTTTGACTTAATGCCCCAAAATTACATCTCGTAAGAACTAATGGCAGAATAAGACTTGAATTGAACATCTGGAATCTAGAAGGTACCCCTAAATTTACAAAAAACTGTGTGTTTGTTGCCTGAATGAACACCTGGGACCCAGGCAGCAGAGTGCTGGGGTGGCCGATGAATCGCAGGGAAGAGCCAGGGCGGCCGCTGGGGCTTTGGACTGCTCGCATTGCACCCGGCCCTGTGCGCCCTGCCGAGCCGGCCAGCCCTGCAGAGAGGGTAGGAGGCAGAGTCTGGGCCACTGCCGCCTCCACGCGAAAGCCCGGAACTCCGTTTCCATGTCCTGACTTCTTTGTACTCGGCAACTCCTCACTTTTGAGTGTGTTTCTAATGAAAGCCTTCAGTGGTTTATTAAAATGTAAATGCTTCATCAGAACGTGTTTCTTAGATCCAGCATAAGACAGCTCCCTGCACTCACTCCTTTATCTCTCCCAGTGAGCTGGGCGGTTCCTGTCTGGGCAGAGCCACCGCTGAGCCAAGTGGGTCCGCTTTGTTCCTTGGAATCCAGGCTTGCTCAGAGCAGGGGTAGGCCCCTCGCAGCTGGAGCTCCCGCTCAGCCCCGTCAGCCCCCGACCACGCGGGGCAGGTGGTCCCGGCCTCGCCCTGTGGACACTGGCCTCTCCGGCGCCTTTAGTTCTTTGTGCCCCTGACTGTGAATGGCATTGTTCTGTCTTCTTCTCCCCGTTCAAGACTTGACCCCAACCAAGCTCTTGTTTCTTTCACTTTCATATTTTTCCTCAAGAAAAGGGTAGATGGAGGCAGGTCAAGGAGATGAAGGAGAGGATGGGACTGGGCTGTATTTCCTCCTCCTCCAGACACCCAGGCGTCAGTAAGGCCAGGCGCACCCAGAGCCGTCGCCCTTCCCTCTCGTAGCAGACACAGATTTCCCCAGGAGCCCCGAGCATCTCCCTGGCGCCTGCCCCCAGCACGAACCCCGCCTTCCCAGTCGGCTCTCACTGCTGCACAGAGGTTCCGGCCCCTGCTGGGCTGGGCGCTGCAGGGAGAGGGGGCTGGGGGCGCACTGGGCCTGGCGACACATCCCAGGTGAATGAGTGGCTGTCAGAGACGTGACGTATTCATTCAGGGCTCCTGCACGGTGACCTTTGGGGAGAGGGGAGAACCGCCTTGTCCCACAAGAGAGGTGGCTGCTCCTGCTGTAACCTGCCGTCACACTTCAACAAACAATGTACACGAAGACCATTTATCTTCCTGTGATCTGTGGTCGGCCCCCGCCCCCGCTCTCTTTTTCCCTGCCCCTCCTCCCTGGGAAGTGTCTCCGCCACTCCCGTCCCATTAGTCTCTGACGCACGCTGCATGCACTCCAGCCATCGAATGCTGTGGCGGCTGAAGGGCAGGCTCCCCGGGTGCCGCTGCAGGCAGGGCAGCGGCTCTGCTTGGCCCCTGCTGGCTCCGGTCACGACCCAGCCCAGACTCTGCTTTCGGCCGCTTGTGCGTGGCTCTGGCTTCAGCAGAGGGTGCTGTCCCCCCACCTTAGGAGCAAAGAAATGAGAGTCATGGACACCCCTTCAGGGTCACCGGAGGAGGGTTCTGGCACGCACAGGGCAGGGGCTGGGCCCCGGTGGGCCTTCCCTGCTGTGCATCCCCTCAGTGCAGGGTCTTGGGTGCCACACCACCCCCAACCTGTTTCTTAAGTCAAAAAGCAAAGGGGGCTGTCTGAAATATTTCCAGTGACATTTCACCATCTCCTGCTCAAGTCAAGATAATAGATCAATAACCAGGCCTACTTACTTAGACTCAAAGTTTATTAAGAAATAACGACACGGTCCCTATAAAGGAGATTATAAGCGCAACACAGTTAACGTTCCTATGGGAGGTGGGAACTGGTCGGGAACGTGGCCCGCCTGCCCCTGGAGGGTTGCAGGAGTCCTCTTCCTCCCAAGTCCCTAACGGCTCAGGCCAACGGTCCCCCTTCCGTAATGTGTAGCTTCCACTTCACGTCTGCTTGGGAACAGGCCAGTTTTACACATCAGGAGCCTGGATGTTTTTGAAAGAACGAGAAGTTTATTTTGCTCTGCCCTTCCTTCTCCAGCGTTTCTGAGATGAAGATGGAAGCTATTTTGTCTGTTCTGACAAGCCACGACTGTCTTAAAGGGAGACGACGGGGAAGCCAGGTGAGTTTATTATTCATCGTGTCTGCCGCTCGCAGCAGCGACGCCCGTCTTGATTTGAGGTAGCGGAGACTTTGTGATAGGACTGTTGTTTCCTCCGTCAAACCAAGTACGTGTTTGAGGATCAGGGACATGAAACGAGGCCAGATCTGGCTGTTTCTCTCTCCGTTGCTCCTGGCTGTGTTTCCTGATCTCATCCAGCGAGTGGGCCACAGTCCATCCCGGGAGTCTGCCGGGTGGCAGCCGGCTTCGCAGGACCAGGCCGGGTCACACGCTCTGGCTGCTGGCTCCTCGCCGGGGTTGTCCGCTCAGGACAGCGAGAGAAAAGTCAGTGCCGCTGCGTCTCTTTCCAGGCGCCCTTTGCTCACCCCTTCTTTCAGCGTGTGCCGTGGACACAGAGCGCGGGTGAGGTGGTTGGAGAGAAGAGGTCTGCCCCCCGTGCTGTCCCCCGTGGAGACCTGGGCCGGGGGGCCCTCCCGGAGGCTCCCCTCCCGTGTGGCAGCCGCTCCCCCACCTGCCCCAGCTCTGCCCTCGGCACACACCACAGGTACATGTGCGCGCGTTGGGGGGTGCCGTCCGCAAAGCGTTCATTACTTGGGTACTTTACATTTCTTTTTTTATGCCTGAAGATAGACTAGAAAGTCGGAGCCAAGCAGGTCAAACTTCGGGGTTTCTTTTCCCCACCAGCCTGTGTCTGTTCGGGTGGACACTCTCCCCGAGGCAGGGACTCGCCGGCACCGACCTGACTCAGGCCCTCTCCGTGCGGAGTCCGTGAGGAGACTGATCTCAGGGTGGGGAGGGCCGCAGCACGTGCCCTCTGGGCCACCGTCCCACTTCACGGAGGGGGGCAGCGAGGCTGCAGAGGTGAAGGAGCATGGACAGGGCACACTTGCCAGCGTCCGTCCTGCTGGGAGGCAAGAGTGGGACCTCAGAGCCCGTGCTCTCACGTGACAGCATGCCCCCCGAGCAGTGACCAATCTGAGACGAGGGAGTGCTGTCCCGTCTGAACGAGGCCAGGTCAGCTGCCGTTGCGTCGTAAGTGAGATTTGGTCAGTGAGTGGCTCCCAGCCAGTTCCCCGGGAGCCACAGAGGTGGGCAAAACCTCCACCGACGGGTGGGTCACTTCACAGGTGTCTGCAGCCACACTCGACTCGGGACCATGCCTTCCTGACAGCGTGCTGTCGGGGCCGACCAGGAACTGAGGGCCTGGGCGCCCCTCTGTCCCTCTGCACTGACGGCCAGTTCCGGTCAGGGCGTTTCACGTGCCCGCAGATCCTTCCTGGAGCCCCAGACAGCTCCGGCGCCATGTGAGGAGGCGTGCAGAGGGGCCGAGAGAGAGTGTGGCCTCAGGCCACTCCTGATCTCGCTTCCCAGCACTGTGACTGGGCACTCTTGGGCCTTCATGGTCCTCGGCTTCTTCATGTGTGAAGTTGTGGTGATAATAGTACTCTTTTCGCACGACCTGGGAGGATGGGGGAAGAAATGACCCAGAAACTGAGCATAGGCACCAAAGGGCGTTTTTGGTTGTTGTTGCTGCTAGTTGTTACCGTTATTGTCACGTTGGCCAGTAGCAGATACGGAGTTCTAGACCACTGAGTGACATGGAGCCTTTCGCTGTGGCACTGAGAGCGAACATGAGCATCTGCCTGCTCCCCGGAGATGGGAGCCAGGCAGTGGACTGTGGCCAAGACAGGGAAGGTGGCCGGTCCGGCCTTCACTGAGACTGCGGGCCCGGCCTTGGTGCAGGCGTTCACCCCGGAGCCCGGTGTGCACTGCGAGTCTGGGGGGGCGGGGCCCGTAAGCCCTCTGGGAGAAGAGTCCCCGGAGGAGGGGCAGAGCAGCTGTGGTCCCCTCTACTCCTCAAGAACAAGCCAGAGCCCTTTCCACCATCGCCCTCTGTGGCCTGGCAGGCTTGCTTTCCTCTTGGAGCCTTGGCCTTGGCCAACCCTGAAGCCTTGCGGGGCCTGGAGGGCAGGCCCAGGGTCACACACACTGGGGTTTGAGTCCTCGCTTCACAGCCGGTAGTGCTGCCCCACGGGCCGGCTCGCCTCTCCTGGCCTCGGTCTCCCCATCTGTAAAATGGGGAGAACCAGAGTTCCCCTCTCAGAGGGTGGTTGGCAGGCGTGAGACGAAGCGTAAAGTGCTCTCTGCACACCGGCTGTGGAAGTCCATCCAGGCCCGGGCCCTGCCTTGGCAGATCATAATAGTAGAGTGTTCTGATATTTTTTAAGTTGGGAGGTCTTTGCTTTTAAAAAGAAAAGTGTTGAGCAAGGGTGGGCTTTCACAGACACCAGAACACCTGGTTCACTCAGAAACCGCACCAGGTTCTAGAGGTCATGCTCGTGAAAGGCTGACTTGTCTGACCCAGTGCAGCTTAAAGGCAGAGGCCAAAGCACAGCTGAACTGAATGGACCGTGTCACTGGTCACCACGTGGTTCACAGCCTGACTGTGCCTGCTGTGCATGACTCACGTGAAGGGCGGAAGGGTTAGGCAGGGCCCCGGCCCACCCTGCCGGTTTCAGTGAAAGTGCAGTATGTCCGTTGGCTGTTCTGACCAGGGCAGACGGGTGGGAGTGGGCCCGGCGGCCAGGCCTCTCCCGCACGTGTCCGGGCAGCTCGTTACACTGCCCCCCCCCAGCCGCTCGGTCGAACTCCGCTGTGAGTGTCCCTTTGGCATGTACGTGTTTGGGCTCCTGTGAAGAGGAAGCAAGCGAGTGAAGTCTCTGTAAAATGTATATTTCATATTTAGGTGTATAAAATATACACAGCTGTGTCTGGGTGTGTGTGCACTCACCCACTACAAAGAGAATACATTTGATCTCCCAACTTTACCGGGAGGCAGTCAGAAGTTTCTAGGGACTTTGGGGGTAAAACTCAGCTTGGCAATAAACTGATTAAAACAAAATACTTTGGAAGTTGATGACATCAAAACTTACTTGTGCTTCCTGCAGAAAAGCCACTCTCCCCTATCACGGCTCCCGCCTAGAAGTTTGTACAACAGAAATAATTGGGCAGAGTTATCTGGAGCTCATCTGTTGCTTCTTGATAGGTGTGGAATTGTTACCTTCCAAGTACACACGCACACGCACACACACATCTGTCCTATAAGTTATTTCATTCTATGAAATATGTCTGTAAATGTATCCTAACAAAAACTGTCACCAGCTTCGGAAGACATTGGCATTGAAATTAAAATAAGATCACTAGCCCCTTGTTTGCCTCTTTCCAAGCATCTGTTCTCCCTGAGATCTGTCAGTTCTTCCAGCAAAAGGGTGTGGAGTGCGGGCAGACTGGGGGGGGCGCTTTCCCAGACTCGTGTGGGCTGCTCGTCGCCAGTGGGCTTCATTAGCCACACCGTGTCCACGCCGCTCTGAGGGTGTGCGAGCCAGGCCTGCGGGGGCTCCCGTGCCGCCTGGGACCTGACCCCCCTCATTACAGGAGCGCACGTCTGTCTGGGGCTGAGCCGGTGCAGTGCAGCTCTGCCCTTCTGTCTTCAGTTTAAATTTAGACTGTCCTCCCCAGAAGGCAACCAAAAAATACCTCCTTCGTTCTCAAGGGGGGCAAGTTTGAAATAATGTATTTCTGGAAGTGGGCTTCGGGGGGGATAAGACACACTTTTTCAGAAGTATATTGTGTTTTCTGCCATTAACTTTTTCTCACATTTACTGAAACTGACCTCATCATTTCAGACATGTGAACCTAGTTTTAATGCCTTTTCCTCATATTCCACTTGTACGCACACTCACATTTTTTATGCGTGTGTGTGTATATGTAATTTTTTTTTTTTGGTTGGGAAGAAAAGATGCCTCATTTTGAAACCTAAAGGGGGGAATAAGAAAAGCCCTTTGTAATATATTGCCACATTATCACTAAATCCCCTGACAGTTGTGTCACAGAAGCAAGTCACCTGTCACTTAAGCTTGAGGTCTCTTTAATTTTCTCCTGGAATTCGCACCAGGCTGTCTTTAATTTGAGGCCTTTATTGGAATTCTGAACCCTCCCTGCCTCCCCGGCTCTCAGATCTATTCTGAGAGCTGTTACAGAGTGTATACAATAACCGACAGAGGGATCCGAGAGGGCTGCCGCTCTGTTTATTTAACACTCTGGAGGGATTTTTGTGCTTACTCGGTCCTGGCTGCCCGGCTTTCAATATCGCTCTGACAGCCACTCTGCCCTTCTCATTAATTTTAAACAGTTAAAACACAGGAAAAAGAGGAAAAAGTTTTCATTATTAAAGTGCTTTACTTTTTAATAACAGAGGATTCTGGCCGCCAGGGGAAAGGGCATCCTCGCTAATTTCACATTCTTTTTTTTTTTTTTTTTTTTACGCGAGGAAGGTGACAGTTGCGCTGCGGAGGCGGCTTAACGAGAGGAGGGCAGCTCGGGAAAGTTTGCGTTTCCCGTCAGTTGAAAGAGTGAGAAAACCCTTGTCAATGACAGCAGCAAATGTCCACTTTCGTAACACGCTCCAGAGTGACTCTTCTCCTGACACGTGCGTGGAGAGAGCCCCCGGGGGGACCGTGCACGTGGGAGCAGCCAGACAGCCGTCAGCAAGCAGGGAGCAGGAGCGATGTGACTAAACTAAAAACATTTCTGGCTGTTCCCAGTCTCTCCCAATACGGAGATGAATGTCGGTTCCGGAGAATGAGGCTTTTCCTTCTCTCCCTTTGTTCTCCTCTGGCAGCTTTCAAAGTGGAAGGGACTCGGAGTCTAGGTCAGGCGGGGCAGGCTCCCTGGGCTCACCCCGGTGACTCCTGTGGCGGGGCGGGGGGGGGGGGGCCAGGCAGCAGCACTCAGAGGGCCGGCCTGTCCGCCACATGGGGTTGAGACCGTGTTCTTTGGCGTCTCAGTTTCCTTCTCAACATCCACGTGTAAGATGGAAACAAAGACCACTCACTCGTTTTGGGGGGGCTACAAACAAAGGAAATCTTTTCTGTGAGATTTCAAGGATGAAAAGAGGTTTCACCTATATCCAGTCGCATCCAGATGTGACTTCCTACAGACGGGCGGTTGGTTGGGACAGCCCACACCTCCCCGGGTTCCCAGGAACCCAGCGTAGTGTCCCCAGTGATGAGTCAGGAGCACTGAAAGGCCGCCCCACCCCTGGAAGGAGGAACGGCACTTGGCACTCCGAGCCTCGGGGGAGCCTGGGCCCCGGGCTCCGAGGCCCAAGGAGGAGGTGCCAGAGTCCTTGGAAAGAGACTCAGGTTCAGTGATGTTTCAAACGGCTGAATTGGACCTGGAAGGTTCCAAAGTGCCCCCAGTGGACTGTCACTGTACACAGGAGTGACAAGATGCTGGGGAGAAAAGTAAGTAAATAAGTAAACAGACAAGCAGCCCGGCCCGCCTCGTCACACCGCCACCCTCGTCTTGGCCGGCTTGCACGTCTCTGGCGCTGCCTTTTTCTCCAGCAATATTGCAGGGATTACCCCAGTCGGCCCCGAGGTGGTTACTGTGTGGCTTCACTGTTATTAAATCCATCATAAACTGCTTCATTATTCCCGACTCTGATCTGCCTCTCCTTTAATCCTTCCGCACCCCCCCCCAGAAATCCCAGGCCGTTGGCCCCCAGGAAATCCAGGAGCGAGCCACGGTCCTGCAGACAGTGTTTGAAGATTACGTGCACTCCAGCGAGAAGACGGTCTCCTGGGCGAAGAGAGGTCAGTCATGTCCCTGGTGACGGGCAGCGGCTGGCCCGAGCCTCCACCCACACACTCCCAGGCGGGCCGAGAGGCTGGACGGGCGTCCTTGCTCACCAGCCAGAGCCTCCCATCCCCTAATTCTTCGGGGTTCGGAAGCAGGCACGGGGTTCGAAGGGACACTCAGTGCTGACTTCATCCTTCCCCACGTCCTGCACCAACGAGGCTTAACCTCGGCCTACGTGAGGACCAGAGCCCCGGCCTGGCCACGGGGGTCCTAGGGACCCATTTTTCTCCTTTGACAACGGAGTGGGGGGGGGTGACGTGTCAGTGGCGGTGGCTGTGGAGATGGAGACTGGGGGTGCAGGGAGGGGCTGGCGGGCCACCCCTGAGCAGGTCCTCTTTGAAAGCACAGAGAAGAATGGGCAAGAGAGGTGCTGGGGAGGGGCCGAGGGGTGGAGCTGGTTCGAATCCGTGAGGCTGCGGCAGAGCCGGTGAGTGAGGACTTCTGTGTGTGAACACCCCAGCGTCCTTTTCTTCCTTCCATGAACTGAGGTTTTGTAAAAACTCGTGAAACAAACACGTGTGAGTTGGGTGCTGTTTGAGCTGCTTGGGGCATGTGGGGGGTGAACGCGGGCAGAAAGCCTCAGCTTTCCAAGATTCCACTGGGGGTGGAGACAATGAGCGTAATAAATATAACAAATACATTGTGTGTAAATTACTCTATCGAAAGATCAGAACTATGGCCCTGGCTGGTGTGGTTCAGTGGATTGAGTTGCTGGCCTGTGAACCAGTGGGTCGCCGGTTTGATTCCCAGTCAGGGCACACGCCTGGGTTGTGGGCCAGGTCCCTAGTTAGGGATGCATGAGAGGCAACCACCCATGATGTTTCTCTCCCTCTCTCTGAAAATAAATAAAAGTTAAGCAATTTTCTAAAGATCTGAGAAGCTTTAAAAAGAGGATCAGAACTATGGAAAAATGGAGCAGAAAATGGGGCTATGAAGAGGATAACAGGGCAGAGAATGCTTTAAAAATATTTGTCTGTTTTTTAGAGAGGTGAAGGGAGGGGGAAGAAGGAGGGAAACTTCGACCGGTGGCCTCTCGTACACACCCCAACCAGGGACTGGACTGGGAATCGAACCAGCGATCTTTCAGTTTGTGGGGAACCACTCAACCAGCCAAGCCACACTGGTCAGGGCGACGGTGCAACTTAAATAGAGGATTGGAGTGAGGTTACACTGGAGCAAGACCCCGAGGGGTCAGGTCCATGGCCTGGACAGCGGGCATTCGAGGCGGCGGGAGCAGAGGTGCCAGGAACTCAGGAAGGCAACTTGGTGGGGGGAGCGGAGGGTGGGCCGAGGGGCAGAGGCTCGTCTTCCGGGTCACCTCTGGCTTGGAGGCTGTCTGAGGGCCTGAGGTCGCCTGAGTGAGATGGGGGCTGTCGGAGGGTCAGAGGTGGGGGTGGGTTGTGGGCGACCGTGGACTTCAGGGAGGAGACGGTGAACGCGGGCTAGTGCGCCGCGTTGCTGAGCGTCTCCCGCGCACCTCGGGTGGGCCTGCCCCCGAACCGCTCGGAGCTGCACTAGGTGGAAGGTGAAGGCCTGGCGGTGGCCCCGGGACCCCTGACACGTGTGTGACCGGGCGCCTCGTCCCCACCCGGGGCCCGATGACAGTCTCAGTGAAATCAGCACGTTTCCCTAAGAGCCTCCCCAGGGACGGACGAGGGGAGCGTTTGTCCCGGTGCCGCTTTGCCCTGCGGAGTCGCAGGGTTCCTGACGAAGCTGCAGTGAAAAGAAAGCAGACTCGCACCAGCACCTTCGACCTGGGTGCCAGGCGCACTTCTGACATTCTTGGGAGACCGTGGCTGTGTTCAGGCGTCTGGGTCACGGGGGGAAAGTCACAGTGACGGCCCTGAGAGACTGGTTTTGTGGTTTCTTGTTGTTACCTCGGGGTTCGTTACCGCCACGACCAGACAGAGGTGCTTGTCTTCCTTTGAGGGCCTGTTGGCGTGAGGCCAGTCCCTCTCGGTTTCCTACCAGGAAGGAGTGAAAGGTGTCGTCGTTCTCGTGCTGATTGATTCCTGGGGTGCACTGTCTTGGTCCCCCACTTCAGACAGGAAGCTCTTTGCTCTTGGCTTTTCTCCAGACTTCGGACTCAGTTCCGGCGGGATGGGGAGACATGCACGTGGCCCCACTGGGACGGCACCGGACAGCCCACACCCCACGAGTGGTGCCGGCTTTTGCATATGCAGATTCTGCACTCCCAGCTGTGCTGCTTCAGAGCCGCCTTGGGAATCGCTCACAAGGCCACCGGCTTTGCCTTCTTGGCAGAGAAGTGGCTGGAAGTGGGGTCACGTGCACACGTGCCTTCCGCCCACCTTTCTGACCTTGTCCTTGTTCATGACCAGCATTCACTGTTGTCAGTCACCACCCCCCTCCTTTCCTGCGTCTCTTTAGCTAGAGATTCAGGTGGTGAAATTTGTGGTGATAAAAGCTTGGTCTTCAGGCTCCTGGGGGAGGCCTTTCCCTGCCAGTCACCCTGCTCCCGTGGCTCACCCCGCCCACCTCTTCTCAGAGCCCCCAGGACAAGTCAGCCGCCCCCCTCCGTGTGTCAGGCAGGCAGGGTCCTGGGCTTGAGTCCTCGTCTCTTAAAGAATGGTGACTGTGCCCCTTCCCGTGGGCAGTGGTGGCTGTGGATGCGGGTCAAGATGCGAGCATCCCAACCTGGGGCGGTGTGCACCCCTCGGGCCGTGCGGGCAGGCTGGGTGGGGCCGGGAGGAGCGGGCCCTCTGCACCTGCTGGCACTTCCTGGCTGCCGTCGGCTCTGCCCGCCCTTCTGGACCCTCAGTGTCTTTCGTGAGACACCACCACCCTGATCAGATGCCCAGGAGTAAACTCGATTCTATGAAAAAGGGCAAAATGTCTGTGTAGGGTATTTTAAAATAGATTTCCCTTAAAAATCATCGGGCTCTGAAGTAGGAGTCAGTGGCCACGGAGCGCTCACGCTCCGGCTGCAGCTCTGTCCCTCGTCCCAAAGAGACGGCTGCTGCTTCCCTCCAGCCTGGGCCCGCAGCCGGTTCCTTGTGCACGGGGCCGGCCGGCGTGAGCCTGCACTCAGCTGCGGACTTATCCCAGACCCCCACCTCTCTGGATTTCCCATGCGTGGGGGTCTGTGTGAGGGTGTGAGGATGGCCACACGTCACTGCCCAGTGAGGCAGGAGTCTGCAGACAAGGAGGGTACGAGAAAATGGGCGGTGGTCCAGGGAGAAAGTGCTTCCTGCCATTTTGTGGAAGACTTGTTGTGTCCGTGAAGCTGTGGGTGGGGCCCCCTCGTATCCTGGGACAGGTGTTTCCAGACCCGGCTATCAGGATTGGTGTGGAGATGAGGCAGACGTGGGGCGTGGTCCGTCTGCTTTAGCAGAGGAGGGGGAGGGGCTTGGTCAGCATTTGGGTAGCAACTTGGAAAGCAGCACCAAGTCTTGGGTGGGGTTGGCTTGGTGTGGATGGTTTCGGTCTGATTGCCCAGGGGAGGGAATATCAGGGCTGGAGGAAGCCGGGCGCGGAGAAGAGGCCCAGGCCCCGGGCCCTGGCGGCTGTGCAGCCTCCCTCTCCGAGGGTGGGCACATGCAGTGCCGTGCCTGGACCCTGGCGTCGGACCCGCCGAGTAGCCTGGGCCATCTGCGTTGTTAAAGATTTCCTTTGAAAGGCAGTAACTGGTTAGTCCCCAGTTAATTAAAAAGGGGAGGACACCCGGGTTTAAGAGAGGGGTGCAGAAGAGCTGCCTGGGTTTTCATTTCTCATCGATTGGGAAAAGGAGTTCACTTTGCTCAGTAAACAGAGCTTTGGTGGGTTCCCAGGGTCCTTTTCGGAGTTGATCTGCTAAAATGACACTTTTTATTACTGTTCATAAACGCCAATCTCAAGGTGCTGCTGGGATATTGCATTTAAGCTGTGGGCAAACTTGCCAGTCCAGTGGCTCAACAGAGTGAGGGTGAGAGGGGCTGCTGTTCAGTGCCTGCCTGCCTCCGTCAGATGTGGCGGCGCCGGGCTCTGCTGGTCGGGCCTCAGGCCAGGCTTGGGGTGCAGTGCTCAGTGATGGGGTGGGGGCGCTCCTGCCCTGCCACTGGGTGAGAAGGGGCAGGCACTTGGTTTTCATTCGTGCTACAAGATACTCAGGGAACAAGCTACAGGAAGACCTTTCCTTGAAGGAGCAGGAGTGGATATGGCCAGAGCTCCACCCTCCTGGGAACGGAGTCTGGCTGTCCCCCATTAGGGGCGTGGAACGGGGACCATCTCAACTTCAGAACAAGCCCGCAACTCTCACGGTCCGCTGTCCGGTGGACTTCTGTAAACTGTTAGTGGTTCTCAAGGGGTGGACTGTTCTGTCAACTATTTTGGAAATCTAATCATTTTGTTTTCCTTTAAAAATCCTGTTTCATTTTCTCTCACACGTTCCTTGAATGGGTAAGAAGCCTGTACCAGTGAGCCCCAGATACCTGAGCCTGAGGTTGGTTTTAAAGCCCCAGGAGCACTCAGTGAAGTGGCCCCGGGGTCCTCAGAATCGGGTGGGGGGGCCGGCCGCCATTTGCAGTAATGTCATTCATTCTTGATAAACACGAGGACAGTCCCAGAGCCTGTGAACCTTCTGAGTTCCATAACATTTGCAATCACTGACTATTGGAGAGTAAATCAAATTTACCAAGGAAGTTTTTTCCTGGCCCGAAAGTCTGACAGTCTCATTTTTCCGGAAGAAGGTGATAGCCTATGTTGATCACTCTTGCTTCCCTCACCCCTTCCTTTGCTTCCCTCTGTGCCAGGGTGGGGCCCCTGCCCCCAGGTTATTAGAAGCTGCGTAGTCAGGTCTGAGTGATACTGGGCGTATTCAAACGATCATTAGTTGGGGCCTGTAGGGCTCGGGGGTTGTTTTTTCCTTTTGAGGAATCAGACGCGTGAGTGCAGCTGTGAGTCTCAGCGAGCGCTGCCTGCCGGCCGCGCGCCCTGCCTGACGGCCGCCCCCGTCTCCCCACAGCCCTGCAGTCCTTCATCCGTGCCTACACCACCTACCCGCAGGAGCTGAAGCACATCTTCCACGTCCGCGCGCTGCACCTCGGCCACGTGGCCAAGAGCTTTGGGCTGAGGGACGCCCCCAGAAAGCTCAGCGGCCCGGCGGTGAAGAAGAGGAAAGCAGCCGTGAGAAGGTGAGACCGCCAGGCTTGTCTCGAGACAGGCGGATGCCGTCCGGTGGGCGTGGGGAGCTCCGTCCAGGCTGCCAGGTGCCCGGTGTCCGCTCTCCTCCCTCAGGTTTTGCAGTCAGTCGTCACCAGGACCTGCCCTTCCCTCCACACAGTAAGTGCCCGGAATCGGGAGTGGGAGCCTGGTCATCGGGTGTCCGGGCTGCCAGCACATTCGCTGGTGTCCTGTCGGGCCCAGACATGGCGGCTGTCTTCACTGCCAGGGTCTGACCTCCTGCCTGCAAAGCCCCCAGGACCTGCCTGAAGACTTCTGGGGGCTCCCTGAAGCCCGCTGGGGGTGCGCCCCACCTGCAGGCTGGGCTGGCACACTCAGGGCGGGCCCAGGGCTCTCCCTCCACCAGAGAGCGACTGGGCCCAGAGAGCCTGGTCAGAGGGAGGACCGCTGCCCCGCGGGCTGGCTGCTGGGCTCTGAGTCCGTCTTCAGATTTCAGGAGGTTCCGACTTGATTTCTGTCTAGTTGTGAAAGTCCCTTCTCTCCCAAAGACAGTGTCCCGTTAGGCGGGGCTCCAGTCTCTCGGACCACGGTGCATGAGAGCCCCGCGGCAGGGAGCTGGGGTGGTCAGCGTTTTGGCCTTGTTCGCGTGGCCAGGAGGATGGTGGGACAGACGGGTGGGGCACTGGGCCGGGGGGTGCTGGGGCGGGTCCTCTCACTGGGTAGCCTTCCTTCCGCATGTGTCCCCGTGACAAGTACCAGAACACACGCGCCCTCCATGCCTGTAGATGGCCTGAGGCCACACCCCCCTCCTGCAGGCTGCAGCGCTGGGTCTGTCCTGTGTGGTCCCCAAGGAGGGCCAGGGGCGTCCTCGGGCTGGCCAGGGCCCTGTGTTTGTGGTGTGGGAGGACTGCCGGCATTGGGAGCAACCACCGGTCTGGGGGTCTCGGCCGTGGCCTTCACTTCCAGCCCCGTCTGCTGTAGCCGTGAGCTCCGGACCCCGTGTCTGCCCGGCCTCCCGGAGCCCCCACCTCCTCAGCAGCAGAGCTGGGCAGTCTGCGAGCGGCGGCTCCCCGAGGCCGCTCTGCCCACCAGCGTGAGGTGTCTGCGGGCCAGTGCAGGCCATGCAGGGAGCCCGGCGAGGTGGCTTCCAGCGTCCCCAGCATGATCCGCTCGGGGACTTGGTGTCCATGAGGCTCTTTACATAAACCGGATAAGAGTTTGCCCGGCACCAGTTCCTGTTTTGGGGTTTCTCATCCGCGTGGCTGCTCCCTCACCGTGGGAGCTCTCGGGGATCTCTGTGAGGTGGGCACCTCTCCCACGCCGCTGCTCCCGGCGGCCCCGGGCCGGGGGGACTGGGACACAACCTAGGTTTCCGCCAGGCTGGCTACACATGCAGGGCACCGCCTGCTGCCGCCCTGCCCCGTCCTGGGCCCCGCCCTGCCCCAGCCTCGGCTCTGCGCCCAGGTGGATACTCTGCGGGGCTCCGGTGCAGTGCGCCAGAGGCAGCTTCCGTCCCTGGCTGGCTGACACCTGCACCTGCTAACTTTGGCTTTGAGCATGTGACAGACCGTGAGGCCTGCCACGAGGTCCGAGAGTGACTGTCCTGCCACCATCTCTCACATTCGGACACTTTGAGAAGGTGAGCAGAGACCCGACAGGCAGATACTGGTCAGGAACCTATTTTGTTTATTTCTCTCCCTACACATCTGAGCAACCGGTCCTTGTCACAGGTGATCTGCTTCGCCAACTGGGGTCCCATTAGCGAGCGTTAATCCAGGCAGCAGCTCCCCCCCAGATCTGAGAGCGAAGCCCAGGCAGGGGAGCAGTGGGGGGGGGGTCCTCAAGCCAGCATTGTCCTTACCTTGAGAAGCCACTAGGGAGAGAGCAAGCCGCCGCCTGCCTCTGCTGCCCCTCGCCAGCAGATGGGCACCAGGACGACGGTGCCCCCGTGAGCGGGGGATTGAGCGGGGCTTTCTTCAGGGAAGAATGGGCTGATTAGCCAGTCGAGGGCATGTAAGATGGGTCGGGCGGCCTTTGATGTCTGGCTGGCGCGGCAGGGCGCCGGCGGGAGCGACGGCAGCGTGTCACAGGATTACTCCGCCGTGACAGTGCCGCACTCTGTTCCTGCCGTGTCACCACTGTCCCTGCCACTGCTACCGTTGTCATGCCCTTCTTTTAAAGGCATTCCCCCTCCCTCCTCCTGCCCTCCTGCCCCAGCCCTGCCCTGCCCTGCCAACGCAGACGGCCACTCGGGTACAGTAGGCGCCGCCGTGTGTTCGGGGAAGTCTCGTCACTCCTGGTGGAAGAATGACTTGCAGCTAATCTGCACATGGACCGTGTAATTGCGGTCAGGGTGCGACAGAGCCTGACAGACGCCCGCACCTCAGCGGAGCCCAAGCCAGTGCCAGTTGCTACTTGCTGAGGGCCGGGGAGAGAAGGCGTTAAACCCCGGAGCGAGGTGCCTGTGCTGTGGCCACAAAGCCTGTTGTGAGCTGGGGCGGCCCCTCTGAGGTCCGTCTGTCCAGAAGGAGAATGGGTTCCTTCTGTGCGGCGTGGGGTAAAATGGCAGCGCTCCGTCCTCTCAGCTATTCCATGTTCTGTTTTACAGTGTGTGCTGCCCAGAGTAAGGGTGTGTTCTCTGCAAACCTCTGATTCCGGCCTGCGGCAGCCAAGGCCTCCGTGGGATGCACTGGTGGGTTAGGTCGGGGCTGCCGGGCGTGTCTGTACAGTGACAAAGGGCGTTTTTGTCCCACGCTGGGCCTTTACCGCTTCGTGGACCAGTTTCCGGGAAACGAAATGAAGTAGTTAACGTCCCCAGATGAGACCTTAACGACCAGGTCCGTTCCCTGCTGCTTAGGTCTGAGATAGGCCACTAAGTCTTCCCTGCACGCAGAAATAAGTCATCACAGAACCTTTTCTGACGCCGACAGGCACACCGGTCAGAGCAGCCCCCGCCTGAGACCCCCCCCCCGCACACCCCCACGGGGGGGGCTGGCACAGGCGCCCCACTGGGAAACGGCGCAGCCATCCTGGACACAGCGTTGCCCTCCTGTGAGAGGAAGTTCTGGCTTGAACCTGGATGAACCCGGCAGGTCCTGAGAAGCAAGCACAGCTAGTACACCTTCTAGAACTTCTATCTACCATGAGCGGCAGAGCGGGGTTGTTTGCCAGAAGTCAGTCAGTCAGTCAGTCTGTCTGTCTCACCAGAGCATGGCGGGAGCAGAACCTGTTCAGGAACAGTGAGCAGGCTCCGCGCCCCCCCCCCGGCTGTCCAGCGCCCCAGAGGTGGTTCAGGAACATGGGAAGGAACTAGCGGGCCTGGGGGTCTCAGTGTTACTGTGACTACGTGTAAGAGCGTGTCTCCTGGGTGCCACCCTGCAGCAAGTGAGTTACGTGTGACAACTACGAAACACCTTTTTCCCCAGGGGACTCGGCTCGTAGCCACCTGAACTCGCCCGTGTCCTTGGATGCTCTTGGCGCCTGGAAGCATCAGGTGTTTTCCTTCTCGGTCCCTCGGTCATTTTGCTCCCCGTGCTCACCCTCTTCCTTGTGAAACGGGCAGTGTGAAAGTCCGACTTGTTGACTGTTCTGAAAAGAAGGGTTTTGTTTTTGTGAATCTTCTCAAGCCAGCCTAGCTAACCTGTTACCTGGTAGTTCCCGGTGTTGTCAGACAGGTAAACGGCCTAAAGTTAGGGCTGTCTTCCGTCCCCCAGTCCCTGCTGACGCTGGCGTGCGTGGGCGGGGTCACGCTCCACCCCCACACCACGAGCCTGTTTCTTCCGGAGTTCTGGGTGGGGTGCGGCCTCTGAGAGAAGTGACGTCCTCTTGGGGCCTCACTCGCCAGACTTGGCTTGTCTGAATTACGACAGCTGCTTGTCACTGAACTTCAAACGAGAGGTTTTGCAAGGGAGGTTTTGCAAGTGCCACTTCTAGGGTTTCTCTGATCTTTAAAGCTTATTGGATATTTGTTAAGTAACTAGTAAGGGTTACTACGTTGCACACTCTAGTTTGAGAAGTAGGTACCTCTTAGATCGGCTCTGGGAGTCTGGGTTGAGTTACTCATGGTCTGTGTGCCTCACCCCCTCACCTCTCCAACGGGGCGCTCGGGCCTCCCAGGGTTGCCGTGGGGCTCAGGGCAGAGGCGGAGGAGTAGGCCACATCACGTGTCGGGAGCACATGGCGGCAGTGGCGGCGGCGACGGTGTTGTCAGGTCCCTGGGCCTCCACTGCACCTGAGCGCAGTTAGCAGTCGACCCCTCGACTGTGGACGCTGGAGCAGCCTCGAAAACGCTGCTGCTCGCCCAGGGCCCCGTCCTGCGGAGCTGCAGTGGCACCTCCCCGCCAGCCTGCGTGTTTCTGGGGGCAGCTGCCGGCCAGTTTTCATGTGGCGCTTACTGCCTCCCTCATGCCGCTCACCCAGCTGCCCCTTGCCGGCCGGAACCCAGCCCGCAGTGGAAACCTCCTCGGTTTCCTTGAGCTGGTTATTCTGTGAACCTGAGGTCAGAGGCTGGAAGGGGCCCTGCTGGGGAACCCACCGCGCGTTCACCACCATCGAACGTCCTGGCCTTGTGACTGGCAGTGCCTGGCCCCGCAGCATCACCCGGACTTTCGAGTAGCCTGCTGCTGGGTCCTTGGTGGCCACTGTGCTACGTGGGCAGCCGGGCCTCCACCCTGCACCCCTCGACTACTCTGTGATCGAGACACATGGCGACAGCCCCGGTTCGTACCCAGTGCGGCCTGGCCCTTCTGCCCTCAAGGTCCTCATCCGGGTGAGCCATGGAGCTCAATCATTCCTGCAGGGACATCATCTCTTGGCATCAAAGCAGAGGCCCCGAGAGGGAGCAGCCCACAGGATGTGGAGGTGAACAGAGTCGGGGCCGCTCAGCTCCCTCCGGAGGAGCAGAGAGAGAGCCAGGGCCTCTGCTGGGCAGCGGCTGTGAGCAGGGCGGGCGCTTCTCGCAGTCTCGGCCCAGGAGGCCTCGGCTCCGTCAGGTCTGAAGTCACAGCACAGCGGACATGACCCAGTTCTCAAAGATCCAGGCGTGGGTTCCACCCCTGGCAGCCGCAGCAGCGTGGTGCTCTGAGCAGGCAGCGACCGGGCGTCTTCCTCGGCCCCAGTGGCTGCTGGACGCTGGCCACGTGCATCTGGTTCCAGTGAGTCAGGGTTGGGCGGGGGCCTGGGGGGGCCACATGGGTGTGAGAAGAGCACGTTCTGCTGGACACATGGGGAGACCAGAAGTTCCTGCTGGATCGTCTCTGGGGCAACTGGCCTTCGAAGTGTCCAGGCAGATGGGACAGGTTGAGTGCCCTGGGAGGTGTCTGGGTCTTTCTGGGTGTGAGCACCTGGCACAGAGGAGCCACTCCAGGCTTTTCGTCAGGGGGCCTGGCTGCCTGCCTGTTCACACAGCCGAGTGGGCACCACTGGCAGTGAGGGGCACATCCCTTTTCCCTCAGTGCACTGGTGCCAGCTCAGTTTCCCTGCTGTGTGGTCAGGACTGTGGGCCCCGCCCTTTGGGGCTCTGGTTTGATCACAGCTGTGCGCATGCAGCTTCCACCTTCGGCCGCTTGTCTGACTTTCTCCTCTCAGACACCGTGAGGTTACCAGCTTTCCGCCACCTCCAGCAGACACCCTTCTCCCCGCCCGGCCAACCAGGCGATCAGAAGGTCTCGCGCGACCCTGTGCTTCCCACACACCTGGGTCACCTGAGGATGGCGGGAGTCCAGGGTGCTCTTTCCATCAGGCATTCGGCAGACAACGAAGACCAGGACCCAGCCAGCCTCTCCGAGGCTGAGGGGGTCACTGGAGACAGCACGTTAGCCGTTGGTGCCTCAGGGGCACAGGGACTGGGAGGTGGGCTGGCCCGATGCACCGTGGGCACTAGGGCGGCATGCACCAAGGCCATGAGCCGCCTTCCGTGACGAGTCCTGCAGTCGGTGCCATTTCAGAGATGGGCAGACGCCACGGTCCCCCCGCTGTGCCCCTGCTGCTCGGTTCCCTTTCGTCCCACACTCCGCCTCTCAGAGCAGGCCGCTCCCTCTCCCCCCCAGTCTGCCCCACGTTCCTGAGGCTCCTCTCTGAATAGGGCGTCCCCAGTCCCCTACAGCCTGCCTCGGCGGAGCTGGGGTCTTCCCACCGGTTCGGACCTGTGCGAAGTGACCTCAGGTCTTCCCACGCCACCTCCCCTCCACGGTCCTGGTGTCCAAGGTGCAGAGGACTGTTACAGCCACTTAACTGACAGTCAAGACGAGGGGTGCTGTTTGAGACCCCGTGTCCCGAGTGAGTGGCAGAAGTGATACCTGTTTTAAGGTCTTTGGTGGTGGCGGCAGCGTCTCTCATGGGGTCTGGTGTGCACCCTCAGCTGTGCTAAGTTCACGTGCATGATCTCATTGAGACCTCGTGAGGTCCCCATGACCAGGGAGGGTCCCCAGTGACTGCCGATGAGACGATCTCAGAGACCCAGGGCCCACTCGCCTAGCACTTGTCTGCTTCCTTCCCTATCCCTTTCCGAAGCTTCTGGTTTCTAGAATTAGTATTAAGCAAAGTAACAAGTAAGTGAACCCTGTTAAGGGTGTTTTTGTACATGCACAGGTAATTCTCGATGTCGCTGGAGACATCGACTTAAAGTAGGGGACAGTGTGTGTGGAAGAGTTGGATTGGAGACCACGGAGCAGCTGGTCCTGGAGTGGGCCAGGGCGTCACGTCCAGGGGCATTGTCTCAGGGCCTGTTTGAGAGGAGACGGTTGCAGGCAGTGCCCGGATGGGACCACTTCTCCACTTTCTCCCACATCTGGAGGCAGAGGGTGCAGTGGAGGAAGGCTGGCCTGGGGCCAGTGCTTTCAGCGCCGTCCAGCCCTGGCTGCGTGGTGGGCCTCTGGGTGGGGAGGGGGCAGGGGACAACGAACGCGGAGCACTGGGCACCGCAGTGGGTCAGTAAACGCCATTGCCTCCGCCCGGTCCCACTTCCCCTTCAGGGTCTGTGGTGAGCGAAGGCTTCATGGGATCCCCGGAGTGTTCCCCTGCCTGACCCTTGTCCCACCAGCCATACTGGCTCTTGGTGGGTCATCTGTGGTTCTCTGCTTCAGGCCTCCCAGCAGCACGGGGCAGGGGCCACTGCTCCCAGAACAGACCCTCTCTGCCAGAGCCCCTGAGAAGGAGCTGGAGTGATGGGCCACTCGCCCATTCCACGCTCAGTCTTGCTTCCGTCCTGGTGTCTGAGACTCGCGTGCTGGGACCACTTCTCCACTGCGAACAGCAGTGGAGGTGATGCTGCCTTTGGTGAAAGTGGTCCCAGTCCACGTGACAGCGTGTCAGCTGTGCGACGTCCGCCTGTCCCCGTTAAGGGCAGCCAGCGCTCCGTGGGCACCCTTGCAGCAGGCACCGTGGTAAGTGCTTTGATTCGCTGGTTCACTTAGTCCTTTTGTGAGAGAGTCAGCTGGACGGAGAAACAGGCCCCGCCACACCGGGAGACCTCATGGGACAGTGCCCGGACCCTCGCCTGGGCCAGCTCTGCACGGCGAGCCTGAGCCCGGCCATACGTCCCCCACTGCTCCTGGTTCACCGTCTGTCGGCAGAAGCATTGTCTCTCAGACCAGGCTTTTTTCAAAATCAGGCTCATTAAACTACCCACACTTGGGCAGGGACCGCCCAGCAGAGAGTCTCACAGCTGATGGTGACGGCAGGGCTCAGGGCCACCACTGATGTGTGTGCGCACTGGCCGGGCGCTCGGCCGTGCAGAGCTGCGCCACCTCCCGTCCTCCGCCATCATGGCGGCATCCCCATGGCAGGCTGGGCTCGCACCCGGCCCCAGGTCGCAGCTGCTCGCCTGGTTGCCCCTGGGTCCTCCCCTGGCTCGGGGCGACACTCACCGTCTAAATACCCATTTGCACACCTGGTGATCCAAACCACTCGCCTGCTGGGGCCCGAGGGCAAGACCTGTGCATGCCCCAGGTCAGTTCCATCTTGTAGCCGAGGCCCAGACAGAGGTCACCCAGCATGTCAGCTGTCCCAGCAGGCTTTCCATCTGCAGATGTGGTGGTTGATAATCCCAGCGGGCAGGGCAGGCTGGGGGCTGAGCACTGGGGCTTGGTGCTGGAATTCATTCGCAGCCCACCAGTCTCATTTGCCTTCCTAGGGTGTGGCCAGCCAGGTTACAAACACACCAAGTTGTTTCCACGGGCCCCTGGACTCCCCCCGCCTGACGGCATTCCGTAGTGTACTCACACTACAAACGCACATTCCGGTTGGTTTACCTTTACAGGAGCCTGCACTTGTGAGGGGACAAGGCCCCCAGTGGGGTAGGGCGGGGCAGAGCTGGGATTCCAGCCAGGCGCTTCCAAGTTCCTTCTCTGCCCTTCCCAGCTCGGCCATCTGCTGTTGACGTCCATGCCCGAGTCCCCACAGAACTTCTGGGGAAGTCTCGGCACTTGGGCCACGTGATCTCAAAGTCCTAGCTGAGGCTGGAATCCCCCCCCCCCCCCCAGCCCTCGGCCCCCTGAGTGCACGCCCTGGAGCAGCAGACTCACGCGCTGCGGCTGTCACAGGCCCATTCTGGGCACAAGGCGGACCCTGCTCCTTGCTGGTCTCCGTCCACCGGCCTCTCCTGGGCGTTGTGCCGTGGCTTCCTCCCCAGAGCGGGGTGTGTTCTGGGGCTCTGCCAGTTTTTCAAAAGCTGCACTTGGTTTGATCCTAAGAAATCACCAGAAGGCGTCCCTAAAGCAGCTGGCCTGCCTGCCACATCCCTGCCAAACAGAGTCCAGAGCCTGTGAAGCGGTGTCCATCCAGTCGCTCCCCTTCAGTGACCAGAAGGCGCTGTAGCCGCCACCCTTTGGTGGCTGAGTTACCTTCGCACGCTGGCTGACCCCGCACCTCAGCTGCATGGTCACACCAGGGGGACTGCTTGTCAGCTTCTCCCTGGAGCCGTTGGCCGCTCTGAGGCCCACCAAAGCCTTGCACAGACGCTGCTGCCTCCTCTCCGCCTGAAAGCGCGGGGCAGGAGCTCCGGGGCCAGGGCAGAGCCGCCCTGGCTGCAGGGGTGAAGGCCCTTTCCCAGGCCGCCTCCTGTTTGTCTGTTGTGCTCACACCACAAGGAAAAGAACCCCTCACAAGGTCTAATAAACTGGAAGGTAAAAGCAAAGAGGTTTTGATAAGTAAATATTAAAATGCTTCATCATTGCAGCATAAAGCAAAAGTCTACCTTTTAATTCTATTTTCCTAAATGAATATACTGTTTTCTGATTATGAAAATAACACATTTGTTGCAAAAACTCAGAAAATAGAGAAAAGGCTTAAAGATCACTCAGAAGCCCACCATCCAAGCCGACCCCGGCGCACGCTCCCCGCGCCCTCGGACGCGGTGTGTGTGCGCGTGCACGGGTCTCCGTGCGTGTGTGTGGAGAGCGGACGGGTCGTGGTCTCTACGGCTGGTTTTTACATTTTGTTGTTATAGTTGTTGTTTTTATTTCTCCAACTATTACAGTTAAGACACACTTTCTCAGGGGTCCCAAAACTGACATTCAAGATGACGTGAACATTGTCTTTGTGTTAAAAATACTTCACGCAAGGAGCTCGCTCCTTGCTGCGATGAGAACTTGCAGCTCAGTGGTGAGGTAGGCAAGCTGTGGGCTCACATCCCAGCTCCTCTGTGACCGTGTGCAACCCCGCACGTGCCACCTGGCCCCTCTGAGCCCATCCCTGCCACAGCGGGGTGGGGACGCTGGTGGCACCTGCCCCCGGCTTGGGGAAGGAGAAGGGTTGAGCGCCTGTCGAGTCCTCATAGCAGGTCCTGACGTGCACTAAGTTATTGGAGTCGCGCAGCCAGTTCGAATGGCTTTGCTCTGACCTGTTTTCTATCCACGTTGGTTTCAGTGCTGTTCTACTGTGTTTGGTGGGGCCCTTCCACGTTGGCCGTCGGGAGTCCTCCCAGCCTCTGCCCGCAGGGGGCGCTGGGAGTCTGAAGGGCTGTCCGTAGGTGCATATGGAGTCCTTGGGGGAGACCTACTGCTCGGTGACTGTCTGAGTAACTTTCGGGAAGAAATAGTGAAATTCCCCACATCCTGCTGTAAACTAAAATAGAATGCAGGTGAAATTAAAGCAATAGCAGACTCGATTATTTTCTAAGTGCTCCAGGGCGCAGGTGGCAAACACAGTGCCCGTGGGCTGAATCCAGCCGGGCGCCTTGTTTCCACCCGGCGGCAGCGCCGAGCTCTTGCTCAACTCTTTACAGAGTAGCTACATGTGGACAGTCCTAAGTCACCTTTGGCCCTTTGAAGGCAGCCGCCAGGCTGATGGGCCGCCAGTGAAAATGAGTTTGATACCCCTTCTCTACAATGTGGGAGACGCTTCTAAATATGACCCTAAAACATAAAAAGATACCCTTAGACTTAACAATACGTAAATAAGACAAGACAAAATAAAACATTTTGTCCTGCCAAAGAATGCCATTACCCTGAGCCCATACTGGAATGCCTTTCTGCCGGGCACCCCAAATCTATCGGCGATGTTGCAGGGAGGCCCTGTCTCCAGCGGCTGTCCCGGTGGGCACATGAATGTGCTAACCAGGCTGCGAGCCCCCTCCCCCGGCGGTGGGAGCGTCTGCCTGCCCAGCTGGGTGACCCGGCACGCCAGCTGAGGGGTGCTCCGCCTTGCTGCCAGGGACTCCCTGTGGCTGGGTAAGCCGGGCTGCTGCCTGGGGACTCCGGGCGGGTGCGTGCTCAGAAAGCCCGCTGGACAGGGTCTGGGTGTTCAGAGGGTGAGGAGGGCAGGGAAGCCGGCAGGTTCCCGGGAGAACCACAGCCTGGCGGGAGGCGTTGCGCCCACACACACCCATCGTGTGCTTGGGTTTAGAGCGTTTCATCTTCCATCTGGACTTGGCCTTCTCAGCACTGGGCCTGAGAACAAAGGAGAGGAGGCAGTGTGCTGGCCGAGGGAAGGCAAGTCCCGTGGGGTGGCTGCCACGCCAGCAGGGTTGACCCCGAGGCTTGCCCCCGAAAGGGTCTGGGTCCCGCATTGAAAGTACTGTTGACCTTGAACAACCCAGGCTGGGACGGCAGGGCTGTGTTTTCCATCCACAGCTGGGAACTGGCGAATGTGGTGGCCAGCGTCCGAGCCCCGCGCTCTTCAAGGGCCGACTGCATCGACTAGAATGAAGTTACACGCTGCTCTGGGGCTTCGAGGTCATAACCTCCAGGCAAGCAGGGCCGTCTCCGAGACCTGCTGTCTGACACATCTGCTACCAATGTGGACCGAAAGGTCCTCACGAGCCATTCCTGGGCACTGCTGGTCCACCTCCGACCACCGTCCCACCCAGCAGAAGTGGGGGGCATGTGTGACAATCTGTCCGTCTCCGGGACCCCCCAGTCTGAGCCAGCCTCTGCCTGCTCTGTGCACAATCTCTGTTTCAGCCTTCACCCCCCGTGAGATTCTGGGGACTGACTCTGGGTTGGCTGTGACAGGAGCAGTCGCTGAAGTGAGTGGCGGAGCTCATGCCGGGGAGGCTATTTTGACTGAAATTTTGCATATTTTGAAACTGGTTGTTACATGTAAAATTATATGCATTGTGAGTACCGGGTTCAAATGAGGGGGAAGAAAAGCGCTCCTTCCTGTCACAGCCCCTTCACTCAGTCTGTCATGTAATCTGACTAAAAATAAACCACGAGGCAGAACTGGCAGCCTGCAGTTCGGGACAAGTTCAGCACTCAGCTGGCGGCCCGTCTCCTGCCACTGCCGCTGCCAAACCACCCAGCTACCCCCGGAGGCGGGGCCTTCGCCCGGGACACGGGCACAGCCCTGCGGGGCAGGTCCTGGTCCTGGGATTTAGAGCCATGGCCCTGCGGGAACAGGTGATGGATCAAGACGGGCCTCGGAGCCAGTCTGGTCCCCGAGTGGCCTCGGGAGCATCGCGTGGCATCTCTGAACCTCAGTTCCCTTCGTTTTGACTGAGACCGACCGCCGTCCACTGGCCAGCCGCCAGCCAACCCCTGTGTCTGTCTGTACTGAACCCTGCCAAGGCCTGTGAGCAGTGTGGTGAGCACCGCCCCGTTTTTCCACGGGGCCACTGAAAAGACGGGCACGTGCTCAGTGTGAGCTCTTGTCCGACAGCCAGGTTCCAATCCCCACATCTGTGTCACCACCTTCCCCTGTCATCCATCCCCTGTCCCGCCAGAACAGTCCAGTGTGACCACAGATGCCCCTCCGTGTCACCAAAGGTGTGCTGGGCCTCGCTGTCATGCCCGGCCGTCTGAGCTGCCCTGGCGTGGCCGCAGGCGGGACCGAGGTCTCTGAGCCTGTCTGACTTGTTCACATCTTGGCCCTTGCACTTGCCGTGCCCGCATCAGGCCTCAGTTTCTCTGACGTGCGAGTGCCCGCCTGCCCGCCTCGGGGGGCACAGATCATGTGAGACATTGCAGGGCCCAAAGGTGCCTCCAGGCCCTGCCAGCCTTGCCGAGTCCGGCCCGCGCACACGCGTGGTTCAGGTTCCTGGACCTTCCGTGTTGGGTCCTGATCATCCCTCCGCTTCCGCGTCCCTCTTCCCCCAGGCGGGGTGGCTGCGCAGGCCTCCCTGTGTGTGGTGGCGATGGGAACCATTGTCCGGCTGGTGCAGGTCTCATGTGGAGTGTGGCTGAGACCAGGCGGGCCCGTCCAACCTGGTGTCAGTGCCGTCACGGCGTGGTGCAGCCTCCGTTTTGTCCCAGTGGTCCATCTGTCTGTGATTTGGAGGTTTTAAGGGAGTTCTGTTACATTTGTGTTGACCACTGTTTTAGTCTGACTTCACCTCCGATTATTATGGCAAAGAAAACGTTGCAGGTACATACCTGGCCAAAGGCCGACATCTGCCTCCTGCAAGAACCCCAAGAGGCTGTCACCCGAAGACACTGCCACCTTGTTGCTGAGGAGGTGGCAGTGTTGCTGCACGGGTTTGGTGGCCGTGGCGCTGCGGCCACTTTGGTTGAAATCCTGTCTTTGAAACGTTGCTCTCCAATTTGCATAATAATTCCTCCTGTGTCTGACTGAACTAGAAATGTCCCCTCTGACCTTGTGATCAAATGGTAAGGTCTTTTGAAGACAGTTGCAGGCACACCTTGTGTGACTGGGCTGGGCCTCAAGGAGCTTCGCAGATGCGTGTCTTCCATGTTGAAGGCCAGACCCTCAGGCGGCAACAGACTGAGACTCATTTTGTTGCAGTGACCTGGAACCAAGCCCAAAATACCCTGGTCTGCGGGCCCCGGGGCCGTCTGCTGCCCACACCCCGGGTTCAGGCGTTCTGGGTCAGAGTTATTTCTGAGAGTCTCTTCAGTCAGTCGAGAGGTGTCTGTGCCTGGGACAGGTCCCCCAGCCCTTGCTCTCCGGCCCCTGCTGGCAGGCCATGGCTCAGTCCCTAGGAGGTGGCCCTGCGCTTTGAACTGCGAGAGGCGGGAGTGCTGCCAGCCGCTTTCCCTGCGGGACATGCTTGGGTTTCAGGGTGGGTTCCCCCCGTCCTTCAGCGAACGGCTGCATCACACACCTCATTTGCCATCAGTGGTGTGTATGTCGTTCCTTTTTCCGGTGAAAACAACATAGAACAAAGCCTCACTTTTAAAAATGCCATGGTATTTTGCCACCATTATGAAAATCTGTCATTGCCGTATCTAATCTTCTGGTGCATAGAATATCAAAACAAGCACCATCGAAGGGATTGTACTTCTTGCACAAAAATGTCAGTCCCGCAGTCTCGGCACCAGCTGCTCTCAGCCTCTTTCCAAGCGCAAAAGAAAAATAATAGTGTCTCTCCCCTCTGCCGTTCCGTTCCCAGGCCTGACCTCCGCAGGAAGCCCCAGAGGAAGTGCCGCCTCGCGGAAATGTTGCGTTCGGAGTACTCCAGTGGGGCGGAGGCCGGCGTGGCCCCGGGCGGAACTCGGAGCAAGCGCTCCGGGCCAGCCGCCAGCCCCGGTCCGGAGGAAGAGGAGGAATGCTCCCCGTGAAGCAGAGGGAAGCCCAGGAAGGCCACCGAGGACGTCCCTCGCAGTCTGTTCAGACTCTGCCTTTCAGGCCCTGTCTCCACCGGCCTGGGCCTGGGCCCGGGGGTCCGGGGGGCACCGGTGGCACCGGTGGCACCGGGCGGAGGTCCTGTGTTTGTCGGTCCCCGCGGCCGAGAAGCACAGCCCTTCTCCCCGGGGCGGAGTCCAGGGGGCAGGGAGTGTAGATTAGCCAGTTAACCTGTATCTCATATACTGCATCTGTTTTTTTGTACTCATTCCACCGCTGCCCGCACTTAGCCGCACCGCAGATGTAATGGTGACCGGCCCGCGCCACCCTGAGAGCACCTGCCCTCGGCACCGGTCAGGGCCCTGGCCTGAGGAGTTTCAGTTTTACGCCTATGCTGGCAGGGATTTTTGCAAAATGAGTTAAAATCTAGGTTTAAATTTGTAAAAGAACAAAAAATATCAGATCACTTTGTCGATGTCCAGATGCTTCACGAGAGAGACCAGAGGGTCCTGCTGTGGGTCAGAGAGACTCGAGTCCCTGTCCCCAGGCTATTCCTGACTCCAAGTCCTGAGTCACGTTCTCACTCTCCATGTCCCTCCATGTCCTCGGAAAACTGACTCTCTCAGGCTAATTGATTTACTGGTGCCTTTCTAGTATTTGCCTTTGAATTCAAAAGGCACCGGGTCCTGACCTTTTTCTGCCATTGAATTCCATCTTGTCTCCAAGAGTCTGGGGTCTTTGTATCTCGGCCCAGGCCACAAACGCCCCTCCCCCATTGTGTTTCCTGGGAGGTTTGAAAGAGGACCCCCAGGGCGTATTGATTTCTCAATAAATGTAAGATTTAGACACGGCAGCTCCAGAGGGGTCCAGAGGAGAGGGGCAAAGCCGCAGCAGTGCCAATGCCGTCCCACCCCCTGCTCTGCCTTTATCCCCCACTCTCCCTTCCCATTTTCCCCCAATTTCCAGGGGGAGTGCAGGTGCCCCCCTCTAGTGGGCCTTCCGGACAGAAGAGCTTTGGTGGGGGTAAGGGAGGCGCTGTGGGCACTGGGAAGTGTCCTCACCTCCGCCTGTCTGGTTATGCTGGGCAGAGCCTGTGCAGGACAGAAAAGGTGCATTTTGCAGAGTGGCTGTCGCAGATTTTAGGGCCAATTGGTGCAACTCATGATAGTAGTAAAACCTGTAGCACACGCCATGCTGACTTTGGGCAAACCTGCCCGTTCTTTACTCTGACGTAGGACGGCTCACGCAGTTTGGACGAGACCAGGAGGGTCAGACTGTGGATAAAACCCAGCTGTGCGAGAAACAGGACTGGTGCCCGTGATTGGGGGGGTCGGAGAGTGGCCCCCTTTCCCCATTAGAGGGTGGGTCGGGCGTGCGGGCGGGGAAGGCGTAGAGATATGCCAAGTGTGTGGCTGTGATTCTGAGATCGAAACTTCCACTTAATTTGCTGACACAGAGTCAGGGTTTCTCGTCACAGTAGAGTCAGTCTGTTACCCCCAGTTAATAAAGAAACACGGATTTAGCAGATTTAGGGTTGATATTATCGAAGTTTAAATAACCTTAAAATAAACCTCTTTTTCTCTTATTATGGCTCTTGTCAGATTATGTATTTCAGGCACCAGTTAGGCGAAGCTTTTGCCTAATTCCACGGCACACACTCTAATTCCGTGCGTTCCCCCCATTTTCCCAAACTGCCCTGATCCTTGTCTTTCAAGTCACAGAGAATTTGGACATTTCACAGTGTCGCAGGCCCAAAGCCTTTTCCCCACGTGGGCCCGCGGGGAAATGGCGGGGTGCCCCGGGGAACGCTCTTAGCTGGCCGCATGGACAGGGCCTGGTGCCCCGGCGCCGAAGCAGGTGGACCAGACCCTCTCAGGGAGAGAAGACTCGGGCAACGACCCTCGGCGGGGGGAGGGGCGGGCGTTTGGGCAAAGCCCGCTGGGTTCCTTTGGTTTTCTTTCTCACCCTAGTGGGGGCGGAGGGATGCATAAATGGGGAGGCGCGCACCTTCCCCACCGGGCACACGGCTCGTGGCCTTGCTGTTGGGCACTTCAGCCCTCCCCCAAAAGCAGATAACGAGGCTTTTCCCACTGAAGCCGCCCCACTCAAAAAGAGCCCTTAAGTGATCTTGTCAGATGGTCCGCTTGGCCGTCACACCGTCTCCCAATTTGTGCCACCCTAGGGCGCTCAGAGGGGCACTGGGGCCCCCTTAAAATCAGCCCACTTCCCGAAAAATCCCCCTGTAGAGTTGAGAGTGGTGGGGGGTGGGGAGGCAGGGGCTGAGGAGCGGAAACCCAGGGAAAGCCGTCTGGGTGCCTCTCCTGTTGTTATCGCTGGGGGGGGGGTCTGACTTTGGGGGGTTCCCTTCTATTTTAAACAGGGCCCACCCAGCGCCAGGGTCGGGAACAGAAACTAAATTCCCCTTCTTCCACCGGAAAGCACCCCCCTCCCCGTAAGGGTTGTCAGGTTATTATTACAGATGGGAAGTGCAGGGCAGTTTGAAATATCATAATTAGAAAGTTGTCGGGGAGGCTTGTTCTTCATTAGTGTAAGATGTGAAGTCGCCGCCGAGGTACAAGGACGGCGACATCCTGGAGAAGGTGCCTGCGGTTTACACTGCGCTGTGTAAACGCCAGAGCGCAGCGCGGCCCGCCTCCTGCACGTCCACGGAATGAAAAGCACACCGGTGCAAGTTGTCCTTTGATAGATTTTTAATATGATTTTAAAGAGTTTTGTTTGGTCTCATTCTTATTCAATGAGATTAATTTAAAGCACTTATCCCCTGGGTTTAAGTCAATCCATGTAGGATTTGGGCCGGGTTTGTTGTATGGGGGGTTTTGTTTGCAGGAGGCTATGGGAGACTCCTTTCCCACTTCATTAACCCTGGGTTGGGGACAGTCCCCCCTTGCCCCCGCCACAGTCAGAGCCGAGGATTTACCAACCCCCATTCACATGCAAAAGAACCCGAAAGCCGAAGGGCTCCTTGACTTAATTAGCTGCTGTGCATTTTGCAAAATCAGGATAATACCCTCACCGTCCCAGAAAGGGAAAGCGGGGGGTTGGGGCCGAAACGGAGCAGGGCCGGTGGGGGGTGCGGTTTAAACATGCCGCGGCCTCTTGCTCTCCCGGAGCCATCCTGCCGCCACGCGAGGGGCTGGCCTGCGGAGCCCCCAGACTTGCCCACCCTGGGCGTGTCTTCAGTGCGGGGCCTTTGGGCTGCAGGTGGTGAGGTGGGGGAGCCGGGGCACCTGCACCACGGCCCCCGTGGAGAGCGCGGCTTCAGGGGCCACCTCGGCCTGGACGGTGAACCGGTAGCCTGGAGTCGGGCTCCAGGTTTCAGCCCCTTCCCCGAGATCCCGGACCTCCGGGCCGGGCCTGGGGCGGACGCCGGGGTTCGGCCTGCTCTGCGTCTCGTTTCCCACATACTCGGGGGGGGGGGGGGGACGGGTTCGGAGGCTGGAGACCCGGGAGTGGGGCCACCCAGTGCGGCATCCGGTTCCCAGCGAAGTCTCGTTGCGTCCGCCCAGCGCGGGCCCCGAGCCACGCCGGCGCCGGCGAGCGGCCGTGGCGCGGGCGGAGGGGCTGACGGGGGAGTCGCCTCGGAGCCCATCTGTCGGCCCCGCGCGCGGCGGGCCGGTCACCAGCTGCCGGAGCCCTTGTTGCGGCCAGATGAGCCGGCTCAGCGAGGGCATCGCAGCCCGGCCCGCAGCCGAGCGGGCCCGGCCGCTGACCCCCACCCGGCCCCCGGGACCGGCTGCGAGCGGCAGGGGACCAGCTGGAGAGGCCGGGGGCGGGGCAGGCGGGCAGCGGCGGGCTGGCCTCATTGTGGAGAGAGGAAGACGGGGGCCCCTGCCCACGGCCACAGCGCCAAAGGGGAGAGGGGCGCGCGAATGTCCTGACTATGGGCGGAAGGAGACTGAACCCCAGGAGGGACAGTGGCAAAGAAGGACTGAGCGCGGACGGGCGCCTGGTCATTTGTAAGAAGTTTATTTCGACATTTAGAAAAGAGAGAGAGAGAGAGCCCGAGGGGCCCGGCTGCCTCCCGACAGAGGCCTGGGGTCGCGGTGGGAGTCAGGCCCCTGGGCCCCTTCCCGCCCTGCCTGGGAGGGGCGCGGGCACAGGCCACAGACTCACTGATTCACGGACACAGTCACGGGCTCATGGGTCACGAATAAATAACTTCATGTGCACTTTGCACACCGTATGTACAGCTCTGCGGGGGCGCCGCACTCCCGCTCCCGGGCCAGGGGTGCGGGGAGGGGTTCGGTGCGCAGCCGGGACGTGGAGGGGAGGGAGAGTGCAGCCTGGGGCCGCCCCGCCTGCTCCCGGGAGGGGCGAGGGGGTGCCCGCGGGAGCCGGCAGTGGGGTGTCCAGTATGTACATCCGCGGTTGAAGTGGCTCCGGGTGGACTGGCCGGAGGGAGGACGCGGAGGGCCGTTAGGGAGACGCAGTCTGGGGTCCGGGCCTTGTGTGGACACCGGGCCGGAGAGCCGGACAGCGGCCCCGGGAATGGGCGTCCACCCTGTGCCCTCCGGGAAGCAGGCCGCCCGGGCGAGCGCGCAGCCCCGCGAGGCGGCGGGCGCTTCACCGGGGCTGCGCGGCGCGCGGCAGGACGCCGGCCAGCGGGGGCAGCGGCGGGGGCGGCTCGCTGGCGCCCTGGAGTCCGTGGATGAGGATGCGGGGCACCAGGGGTCTCTGCAGGGCGGGCGGCGGCGCGCTGGGCCCGCGATACAGATAGAGCGCGGCGCCGGGGTCCAGGTTGGAAACGAGACTCTGCGGGTAGAAATAAGGCGACGGGAACATCCGCTGGAGTGCCGAGTAATTGCCTGCCTCCGCCAGCAGCTCCAGCCCGACGGCCGTCTGTCGCTTCCACTTGGTCCTGGGGAACCGAGATAAATGCGCAGGGTGGGGTCAGAGCTGTGACGCTCGGAGACCCCGGACCCTCCGAGCGCTGGGCACCTTCGGGAGGCCCAGCGGATCGCGCCAGTGCGCCGATAGCAGGGGCAGGTATTGCCTCGTTCAAACTTCCACCGCCTTCCACAGCCATTCCTCCCCATTTGACAGATAAGGAAACTGAGGCGTGGGCCATTTTTCCAGATGGTCTCTCCCACATGGTAGAGCAGGGGTTCTAAGCCAGCTTTCTGACCCCAATACCCTGACCCTAACCTGAAACACACTCTGTTTAGGGGCCCGCAGGCAGGGTCCTTGGACCTGCTGTTGGAGCTTGGCCCACCTATCTGTCCCCTGGGAGGGGGGCGAGATTGCCCTGGAGAGGACACTGTGGCAGCGGGGGCGCGGGGGGTGCGACGAGGAGTCAGTCAGTCCCAGAAGGGGGCTCTGCTGCCTCTCCCAGCGGCACCACTTGCGGGGGCTGCACCATCCAGGGTCCCAGTTAGTGGCCCGTCAGTGGAGGCGGCAAATAGAGAAGACACACCCGGACCAAGCCCCCTCCGCAGTCACCCCGGCCCTGCAGCCTGTCCGGCACCGAGGTCCGGGGGCACAGGCACAGTGTCAGTGGGGGCTGGGGGAGGCGAGGAGGTCAAGGCCCACCCGTCGCCAGAGCTGTGGCTGGCGCCCCTGGGTGTAGCTGGTCTGTGGGGCTGGGCCAGGCCCACCAAGCCGGGCTCGGGCACACCAACCCGGTTCCCTCTCTGAATTATTCATCATCATCATAATTGTGTAATTACTGCAACGGGCCTTAATTATTGATGCCCGGAGCAGTAATCGATATTTATTATTAATGGGTCAATGTGTTCTGAGGCTTGTTTATGGAAGGCACCATTCCGGCCTCCATGAAGGACATCGGAGTGACTGTGGGCGCAAGTGTTTCTGTGGGTGTGAGTTGTGTCGGTGCGAGCGTGCGTGTCTGTCTGTGTGACTATGGGTGGAGTGTGTGGACGTGTTTGCGTTCGTGTGTTTGTGTCCATTGAATGTGTTAGGGAGGGAGGTGGGAAAACAGCAGGTTCAAGATCAGTGAGTGCTCTGCACCGACTTCCCAGTCCTCCGACTCGCAGTCCCAGACGGGCTGGGCGGGCCCCTGCCCTCCTCCAAGTGTCACTACAGGGAAGGCCAAGGGGGCCCGGAGGGACCAGGTAGCACTGAGAGCCCTCCCCACCCCCAGCAGCTGTCTGGTCTGGGCTATGACTACTACACTCCCCCCTCACTGGCTGCCCTCCCCAGAGACACAGGCCCCACCCCTCCCCTGGCCGGGGCTTCCGTTGGGAGAACTCAGCGGCCCCACACTGGAGCTAGGGCTGGTCCAGCTGGGGGGGGGGGGAGGACCTGGCTGGGATAGGGCAGGCCTTGGGCGGACCGCCCATGGCCCACACGTCTGTCTGTCCACCAGTCCTCGGGGGGCGTAAGTGAGTACTAGAGACAGAGTCCAGGGCCGTCTTTCTCCCTCATCGAGATCTTTGGGCAAAGCCTTCTCTCCTGGGGCCTCAGTTTCCCCACTTTTACAGGATGGAGAAAACTCAGGGGCCCTCCCTGAGCGCCAGGCCGTGGACAGATTCCCACACAGAGCAGACAGCACAGGAGAGGCGGCCCTTTCGCCCTTCCCACCCTGAAGCGGGGCCTCACCTGCGGTTCTGGTACCAGGTCTTGACCTGCGTGTCTGTGAGGTTGAGCGAGGCAGCGAGCTCCATCCGGTCCTGCACACTCAGGTACTTCTGTCGCTCAAAGCTGCGCTCCAGCTGCGCCAGCTGATGGTCTGTGAAGGCGGTACGCGCCTTGCGTGGCTTCTTCAGGCGCACCGGGGGACTGTCCCGAGAGCTGGAGATCTCGCGGTCGCCCTCCTCCTTCACTGAGGAGACACAGCGGCCCGTCAGCTCCCGGCCTCGCCGCCCTCCCACCCCAGCGGCTGCCAGCCCATCGAGGTCGGGCACACTCGGCTCCCGACAACGGCGGCTCCGGCAGCAGTGGTCCCACCACACTCGGGGGCTGCAGGAAAACTGCCAGGAGCACGGACCGCAGGGCCCCCGGACCGAGAGGGACTGACACCTCCGGGAGAAATAACCCGAAGCCGAGAGATCTCAACCCACCTTCCCTACTCCGCACGCACTCCCCGGAGGCATAAACTGGGCAGCTGGCTGAACGCACAGGGGGGAGAGGACCCAGGGGTCCCAGCCGGGGCGGGCTGTGCGGTGCGTGCTCAGGGGTGCAGATCTGTGCTCTGCATCTGCGCCGGATTCTCTGGCTGCGTGTGGGCCGGGGAAGGAGGAGGCCGAGAGCCGGAGTCCAGGGAGAAATACCCGCGTGGAGAGACAAAAAGCTGAGCTCCCCAGACGAATCGTTGTCCTGAAGAACAATGTGCTCACGTCTCTCCTGGCCCCTCTATAGACGCAAATCTATGAGGGTGATTGGCCCCGGTTCTTAACTCACCACAGAGCCCAGCACCAGAAGGCCGGCGCGAGGGTGAATCAGGATCTGGGAGCGGCACGTCTGCCCCGCGATGCGTACGCCGCCGGGGTCCGTTTTCCTGTGGACGCGGTGGCTCCTGCTAACTCCCCCTGTGGTCGCGTGGTCCCACTAGGTCCCTACTCCTCAGGCCCGAGGATCAGGCCCGATGGGGCAGTTTCCTCTTACCAAACACTTTGGATTGGGATTGACGGCACGGGAGCCCAGACAGGATCAAACAGGCTCAGTAATCTCCCCGCTTCCTCCCCCTAAAGCAACGATAGAACCAAAGAGACCCCTTTCCCCAAATTGGCGCCTGGCTGGGGCCTCCCCCACTCTTATTCTCTCGGTGTTTTCCTTTCTGGTGAGTTTCATTGTGCGTGGCGTTTGCAGCTGACAGGGTTCAGCTGAATGTGGGTTGATTTCTCTCTGTAGGAAACAATAATCCGGTTAATTGAGCCACTAGGGAGTGAGACTTTTCAACCGGAAAGGCAGGGGCTTGCAGCCGGGAGGGCGTGGGCACTGTGTGCACCGAGGCAGGCTGGCCGGGAGGTCGCCCCTGGGGAGAGACCACCTCCTCCACGCCGGCACCCCGAGCCCTGCCAGCCAGGCTCGGGCCACGTACGGTCTGGCCACCTCGGCAGGTGTGTTGGGGTGGAGGGGCCGTCCTGTCTGTGCTGGCGGGGAAAGTTTAATCGAGTTCGAGGAAACGATGACCCGCACTCCAGACTTGATATAACGGAGACCTTGCTTGGTGACCTAATGGTTCCGCTGACTGTAAAAATCCCCGCTTCTCGGGGCTGCGGCCAGAGGTGGGGGTGGGTGGGTTGAATGGTGGTGTCCGGAAGGTGGGGGCTTTTCCCTGATCCCTCTCTGGCGCTGCCTGGAGCCTCCGAATGTGCCCTCAGGGCCACTACCGCTGGTCGAGAACAAGGCTCCAGAGGTGGAGACGCCCTGACCTGCCTGCTTGGAGCAAGGTGCCAGTTCGGCTTCTTAGCGGACGGGCGTTGGCTCGAGCCTCCACAGCCAGGGCGGACACCGTACTTCTCTGGTTCTAGCTTCTCTACGTGTCCTAGGAAAGGAGCCTCTGATACCGGGCCCTCGGGGTGGACCGCCTCCCTCGGAGGAAATGACTCAGCACGGGAGGTGGGTGGGAAGATGCCCACCGGCCCGCCAGCCTTCCTAACTCGGCCCTGAAACGTCACCTCCACGTTTGAGGAGTGCTCCCGACATTGACTCCGTGGCGGATGTCCCCACTCCCTTTTCACCCGAGGCTTTGTAGAGCAAAGTGGGCACCGCCTCCGGGTGGGTGTGAGGGAGACCTTCCACCCCCCCACTCCGAACCTATTTAAGCGATATGCGGACAGCTACCCCTCCTCCCCTCCCCATCAGATACCAGCAGGGGCAGGAGAAGGAAATGGATATTCCAATTATCTTAAACGAAACCTCTCCTCAAAATCCCGAATAAAAGGAGACAAGAGCCAGCTTCTCTTGCCGAGAACCGCACCACCGGTAGCATGCAACTGCGGGGACTCTGGCCCCCCACTGTAGCCACAAAGCTGGGGTGCCGTTGAGAATACACACAATAAAGCCGTGTTACAGATACAGGTTGGTGCTGCTTCCCGCCCTCCCCTACACCTGTCTTCCTGCTGGGCAAGTTTTCTTTGCCTCTGTGAACGGCCCCTGGAGAGAAGCAGGCGTTTCTGGGCCGGGTGCCGCTGGCCCTCCTTCCTGGGCACCCGCGCTCAACCTGCCCATGTTCTGGGTGTCCCGGCACAGCCCGGCTGAGGCGGCTGGGGAAGCGTGGGCAGCGACGGGTGTAGAGGGGCCCCAGGCGGGTCTCACGGTTGAGGCCAGGGCATGTCCACACTCGAATTCTTGGTTGGAAGGAGAGGCTTAAGTGCACCTCCCTGGGTTTTCATGAGGACTGAGCGCAAACAGGGGCCGGAAGGTGAGGGCTCCAAGACGGGAAAGCCGGTGCCTTACAGGGAAGTTCTGTCTGGTGAACAGGGTTTGGGAATTCATTAGGAGACTGGATAAGCTCTGAAGAGCCCCTGCCAGCCCCGTTTTCGGCTGGATGGGGACACCGGGCTCCCTCCCTCGGAGCCCTGACGCGGCTCCCGCTCCGGCCTCGGGGCTACTTCCTAGAAAGAGCTCTGCCCCTTTGGCCCCGCCAATGAGCTCAAGTCCAGGCGGTTCCCAGGGACCAGAAATAAAATTAGGGTGCTCCTTCCTTTCGCCCCTTCTTCCTTTTTCTCCTTCTTCCTCCCTCCACCCCACACCACCCTCTGAATCTCGGTCTCAGCTCCCTGGTTAAAACGGAGGAGAAGCAAACAACAAGGAAAAGGCTCACAGAGGTGACAGGCAAGCGAGGGGCCAGTGACCCCAACACAGGGGACTGGGGCCGTCTCCTCGGGTCCCACAATACCAGAAATCGATTGCTCGATTCTCTGAAAAATCAAATTCAGCGAGAGCTCTTGGGTGGGTGCAGGGTCCCCTCCCGACCAGACAGCTGCCTGCCTGCTGTTCCTACTGCGCAGCGAGTGCTCCTTCCGCAGGACTCCCAGGCACCCGTCGCCCTGGGCCCAACACGCGGCAGAGCCCAGGTCTTCTTCCCCTCCGGATATTCAGATTAAAGGGCGGAAAATTCTGACTGTTCTCAGTGCTCGTGCTGAAATTTCCTGCTAGGTTTTCACTCTTATAAAAAAAAGGTGGGGGGATGTAGGGGGGAGGCCTTCCAGCAGAGCCCTTCGGGCCCTCTGTTGCCTCCGAGAGGTCTTTTCTCAGCCACAGGCTCAGCCAGATAGGAGCCTGCTCCTGCCCACCGGCACCCCTGGAAGGGGAGACCCAGCCGAAGTTTGGAAAGTTTGCTTTGTGCATTTTGGGGGCTCTCCCTGGGGCACAGAGCATTCCTCTCCCCACTCTCTCCGCTGGACTCTTTGTTGCTCAAAGGCATAGCCGCGGGCGGTTGGCCGAGAGGTTCAGACGAGACCAGCGGCTCAGCTGGGCCTGGAGGGAGCTCTGAGCCGCATGCGCTTCGCTTGTCCCCGAGTTGCGTGCACTTGAGTTTTACTGCCAGTTTTTGGAGATACAGTGTCCCCCAAGTTTCCATGTCCCATTTTCTTACCTTTGTACTCGGAGTCTGATGAGGCGTTGCTGCCACTTTTGTCCAGCTTGTCTCTAAAGTCCTCCCCGGCCTTGGCCGCCAGACGGCCCCCTGGCTCGGGGGCCGCCGGCTGCCCACTGCTGGTGTAGGGCGCACAGGCTGCCAGGGGTTTGCAGTCGGCAAGGATGTCCCTGATCAGGAAGGAGGAGGTCACAGTGCGTGACTGGGCTGGGGCCGAGAGCTGCCCGGGCTGCAGGTGGGAGTCCAAAGCGGGGCCCGGCGCCCCACCAGGCCGCGGGGCGCCTGCGTCCAGACAGTCCCTTCCTGGTGAGGCTGGCGAAGAGCAGTCGCTGCTGCTTTCAGAGCGTGGACTCAGCTCCAGGGGCGATCGGCAGTCCCCAAGCAAGGGGTCCCCCTTGGGAAGGGCGGGGCTGCCCGCTCGGTGGGAGAGGATGGAGTCGATCCCAAAGCCATTGGAGCCTTCCATAGCCAAGCTGCGACCTGTCCTCTCCACCAGCTCCCCACCCACCCCCAACCCCAGCCGCCGCTGCCCCTGCCCCTAGCTGCGGGCTGGCATGGGGAAGGCGGGCAGGGAGCCTGCGGGCACCTTGGATAGAGTTCAGCCTTGGGGGAGCCCAGCAGCTCTGGGCCAACCTCCTCTGCGCATTAGATCCAAAAGGGCTCAGCGCGTCTTCTGCTGCATCGCGCCGAGTCGCCGAGCCGAGGGGGGGTGGTGGGAGTGTCAGGGAGGGATGGGAGGGAGGGTGCGCCAAGTTGGGGAGAGCAAAGGAGGAGACGGACGGCCTGAGCTCTCCTTTGGCACCGAAGAGACGCGAGGATGTTGGAATCTAAATACAGAACGGCTTTTAAAGATCCAAACCGCACGCTTCCTCCAGGCAAGCGGTGGCCGAAGGCAGAGGGGTCAGCACAGCGGAGAGCAGCGGGCTACCAGCGGACGGAACGAAGCGCACCTGGTGGCGTCAGCACCGCGGATAGCGGCAGCGGCGGCGGCGGCGGCCCGCGGCGCATGACGCTTCACCTGGCCGGGGAGGTCCTCGCTCCGCGCTCCCTGCGCTCCGGGGACCCGTCAGCACCGCGGACAGCGCCTCCCGGCTCCGCGGCTGCCGCCGGTCCTCGGCGCGCGCCTTCGCCTCCCCCCCTTCCTTTAAAAAATGAACTTGTGTCACTTTTACTTTGGGGCTGGGTTTTTTTGTTTGTTTCTTTTTTTTTTCGTTATGTTGTGTGTGCGTGCGTGCGTGTGTGTGTGTGTGTGTGTGTGTTTAAAGGGGACTCGCCCACGTGTCCCCGGAGTGATGACGCTGATTGGCTCTGGACGATTTTGGGGGGTGATGTCACGGCTCCGCAAGCCGCTGCCCGATTCCCTTTCAGTTTGATTAGAAGAGACACTGAATTAATTACCGCACAGACCCAACTGTTTACCGGCGATTTCCACACGGTTTGCTTTCATTAGGCCGGCGATGAGGCTCCTAATGAGGGTGATTAGCTGAGGGGGGACGGGCTGGCAGGGAGGGGTCCGGCGCCGGCTGCCGCTGCCGGTGGCTCGGGATGCGAGGTGTTCAAAGTTTCCCGGACCCTCTCCCACAATTACTCAGGTTATTCGCCCGCGGGGCCGTCCCAGATCCGTTTTCTCGCCCCCCTCCCGGGCTTTCCTCCTCCAGCAACAGAACGGGGCTAAACTCGGGGCAGAAAGAAGTGCGTGTGCGTGGGTGGAGAAGCCCTGTCCCGGCGTGGGGAGGAGATTTTAATTTAAGTTCATTGTTTGCCGGCGTTTCCGTTCGGTCCTAGATGGTTCCCACGCAGCGCAGTGCGCGGCCCTCTCCACTCTCTCAGGGCCCCGCGGCCTGGGCAGCAGGTGCGGAAGCCTGGCGTCCGCCCCAGGAGGGACCGGGCGGTGGCTTCGCTTTGGGGCGGGGGCCCAGGAATTGGGCAGATCGTGTCTGGGACGTTGCGGGGGACCCCGAGAAATCCGTGCGGCCCGAGGGAAGGCGGCAGGGACCCCCACCCAGCCGACCGCGCTCCGGTGGCTCGTCCGGGGCCGGCGTTTCTGTACCTCTGAACGGGCCGGTGGAGACGCCTGCGACGCGCCTCTGGTTCCGCGCAGAGCCGGAGCTCGCCTGCCCCGGGGTGTATTGTCAAGGCAGCGCTGGAAGTGCTGTCTTTTCCTTGTGAATAACGCGCCCCCAGCCCGCCCGACCCCTCCGGGGTCCAGTTCCGAGCCTTTCAGGGTCGGCCTCCGGTTCCGGGCGCCCGGCGCAGCCGCGGATCTGAAGCGCCGCCTCGGGCCCCGGGGTCGCGATCGGGTCTGTGGTTAAAGGGCCGAAGGCGAGGAGCCCGCGGGCCTGCAGTGCGGCCCGAGCGGCCTGTGCGCCGGAGGCGTCCTTCCGCGCCCCACGCCCAGAACCTAGGCCTCCCAAAGCCGGCCGGAGCGCTGTCCCCTCCCCACCCGTCCTCGGAATCCACTCGGGCCCGCGTCGGACTCCGCGTCGCAGGCTGAAGCGGAAGAGCGAGGCGCCCGCAACCCCCCAAACCCGACACCTCGCCCGGGGAAGTCCGGCGCAACCGGCTGAGCAGAAACTTGCTTCTCCCTCGGGTGAGGTCGGCGGTGGCCTCCCACCGGCTCCCCGCGTGCTCCCCCTGCGCCCGCCGGCAGATTGGAAGCGGCCTGCCGCCGGCCGAGCTGGGGGCGAGGACGGGTGAGTCCCCGGGGACGGCGGTCCCCGCTCGGCTGCAAGCTGTCGAGGAGGCGGGAGGGCGGGCGCTGAGGGGCCACGAGCGGACAGACCCCCGCCCTGACGCGGTGGCCGCTGCTGTGGGCGCCTGCGGAGGTGGGGCTGAGCCCTGCGGTCATTCTTTCTCCTTCGGTGGAAGGGGCGGGGTCATCAGTCGTGGGACCCTTCCGGGCCAGACCCCAGTTCGGGGCCAGTTCCCAGCTCTGGGCGCCTCTGGAGACCCCGCGCCCCCAACTCTTTCACCGCACCCCCTGCTTCTCCGGCCTGCACCCGCATCTCCAGAGGAACCTCATCTCCTCCGGAGCACTCAAGGTCCCAACTCGAGTCAACAGGACTCCCCTCCTGAGCCTGTTCTAGGCCCTGTGGCTCCCAGGCCAGGCTCCGCGGGGCTGGCCAGGCCGCAGGAAAGTCCGCCTCCTGCGGCCGGCTGCCTGACAGGCATCGGACAGCGCAGAGGCCTCCTTCTGGCCTGCGGGGTTTTAGGCTTGTGTGTAGATCCCGGACCCGGCGAAGGCGACGCCTTGGGCCGTGAGGGCGCTGCAGGGACCGAAGCGCAGCTGGTGTGTGCGCACCCTGTGCAAGGATCCGGGAGGAAGCGAACCTCCTGTGGTTGAAAGGAACTGCCTGAACCGAAACCCCTGCCGCCTTAGCCGGCTTCTCGAGCATCTTCGGACCCCGGCGTATTTAACAGGTTGTTAGAGAACCATCATTAGTACTGAATTATCACCTCCATCAGAATATAAAACATTCTATGCGATTTGTTTCATTCGGAATTTCCTGGAGGATTCTGCCCTCTCTCACATTTTATTCCCGTTTGGGGACTCCCAGCTCCACCACCCGCCTCCTCCTTCCTCTCTTCTTCATCACCTGGGTAGTTCTTGCATCTCAGCTTGCCCACAGCCTGAGGGTTTTGTGTGTGCTCTCCTGGGCTCTTGCGTAGCTGAGAGGAGCCCAGGACTCGGCATTTTACTAGGCATCCGGGGAATCCGGAGGTGATCTGTCCCTCCCTGACCGGTGAGTCCTGGAGGGGCAGAAGGGCCGTGAGGTCCTCGCAGCTGGTCCGCAGCTGGTCCCCAAGGCTGGTAGGTTACCCAGCCTCTCAGAGCTCCGTGTAGGCAGCAGGAGGGGGATGTCTCTCTTCCTCCCCAGCCTCAGGCCCCTGCCCTTGGCCCTCTTGGCTCCGGTGGGGGGTTGGGGGCCTCAGGGGAAGGAAAGGTTATCAGTGCGAGGAGGGCGTTTTCAGGACCGACCAGGCTGCCAGGACCAGCGAGTGCCCTTTTCCAGGATGCTCACCCCTTCTCCCAAGCCTCCGACTTCCTTTGCACACCACTAGCCCAGATTCCGGCCCCTGCCCATCATCCTTTGCAATCGCTCTTTTAAACCTTCAGCTTCTCAGGGACTGAGGGCCCTAGAAGGCTCCACTCCCAGACACACCCTCAGAATGGATGGAGCAGAGGCCCTTCCCCAGGGACCGGGAGGTCACTGCACTGAGGAGCCCTGGGGAGGCCCGGGCCCCCCGTCCTTCCCTCCACAACCAGTGTCTCTTGCCCAGACCTCAGCTTTCCCTTTAGGACGAAGATGTTAACATCAGAGGGTGGTAGCCAGGGGCCAGGGTGGGAGAGGCCCATGGATTTGGAGGAAGCGGCCCAGCTGTGGAATCACATCCTTGGCACCTGGGGCTCTTTCTTGGCTTGGGTCAGGCTCCGGGTCAGGAGTGGGCCTGGGCCTCTGGCTGACTCTGCTTCCTTCCAGCCCCGTCTCCCTCCCCGAGGGGTTCCCTGGAGCGTGGACGCAGCTGCTTTGGCCAGTGTGCTCACCTGGCTCAGAGCCAGTGGGAGGATGTGCTCCAAGGTTTCTGAGAATGACCCCCAGATCCCCTCTGCTCACAGGTGGCTTGTGTGCCACCCTTCCCAGTCCTGAGCAGCTGCGGCGGCAGAGGCGCAGGCTCCAGTATCGGAGACTGGAAGTGGGTTCCCGCCTCGGGGTCCAGGGCTGAGACGCAGGTGGTCGAGTCCCCCAAGTCTTTATGGAAACTGTTAGTTACTATGTTGTCCTTCAGGGCGTTTAAAATTTTGATTTACGCAATACCTTGTTTGTCTTGGTTACTGAGTTGGCGGCAGCCCCGTAAACGGTGCCGCCGGCCCTGCTCCGTGACCTGGAGCGAACGTTTCCCAGCTGCCCACGCGGTAGTGTTTCCCACTTCACACGGCCACCGTGCGGACCCTGCGCAGCAGCGATTGTGCCTGTCACGTGAAGGACTGGCAGTGACAGCCAGAGCACCTTCTCTGGCAGGTGAGAGCGCCCCTGCTTGTCTCCCTAGCCCCCCCGTGGAGAGGTCAGCTCCCCCCTTTGCCCACGGCCTTCCAACCAAAACCGGCTATGCGTGGGGAGAGGGATGGGGCGGTGGCTGATCTCGGTCAGGCCCGGGTGCGCAGTTTTTGGCTCTGCAAGCAGATGGGCTGGAGCAAGGATCTGGACGGTTTGTGAGCTTCAAGGTCATGCTGTTCTCAGCCATTTTTGTTGGTTTGGCCTGAGCCCCATGAGCTCCTGCAACCAGAAAGAGAGCATGTTCTTGCCGTCCCCCCCGCCTCCCTCCCTCGCCCGCCTGCCGGCCAGCTCCCGGACAAGCAGCCGGTCCCACGCACGGTGCACCACCCAGGTGCTGGCAACGTGGAGGCAAGGGCAACACGGAGATCACGGAGGGCCCCGGTGCCCGTCGGTATAAATCCCCTTCGTAGATCATTTCCCATCTGTGGATTCAAGTTTATAATTTACCTGCATTCGGTTCTCAGAACCTGGAGAATAAGCCAACAGAGTTTTTTTTTTTATTATTCTTTTAATGATTTCAAGCATCAAAGATTTTCTGAGTAAAAAGAAACGAAGCAAAAAGGCAGGCCGGGTCTGCCAGGGCCGCTGCGCCCGAAGAAGGTGTGTGATCAGAGACACAGGCCCCTCGGGCTGTCCGGCAGGTGGCCCCTGAGCTGCAACTGCTGGCTGCCGTGGGGTGTGCTCTCCCTGAACCCCGAAACCTGTGCTTGCTACACCAGCACTAGCTGAGGAGCTGCGATGGGCGGACCAGCAAGCCAAACCACCTCCATCTGGACCCGGGGACCGCCTGTGGGGACTGGACGGTGGCCTGTGAGCAGGGCTTCCTCCTGCGCTTCCCGGAGCCCTGCCCTGGGAGATGGCTTGAGTCTGGTTCCTTGTAACCACAGCTGCCGAAACTCCTGGACAACAGCTGGACTCCAGACTCGCCCCCCTATTCTTCTTAGCAGAAAATTAGGAAGTATCTGGTTCTATGGAACAGACAGAGAGGGAGGGAAGGAGGGAGAAAGAAACAGAGAGAGCCGTTGCGGGAGAGAGGGAAAGAATGGATGAGGCTTGGGGTTTTGGCTGAAAAATCTGGAAACAGGTGGATTTCGGCTGGGATGCAGCCTGACAAGAAACCGGCCGAGCAGGCCCGGCCGCAGCCTCCTCTAGTCTGGCAGGACTGCCTGTCCCCCACGCTGTGCCCCAGCTTCAAGAGTGCTATTTCCAGAGGTCCCTGCAACGCTCCTGCCCCAGGCCGGCTCTCGCTCTCCTCCCCACCCCTTCGCCCCCCAGTGCACACACCTAACTTGCTGGCCAAGCTCCTGCCTCCTTGGACGTCTCTCTTCCATCTGTGACAGGGACGGTGATGCCAGGAGGCTAACACAGGGTCCCCAAAGCCCCTCCTGGCTGGGACCTTCTGGGACACTACCCTGGGTCACAGGGGACATCAGAGGGACCCCAGTTGTGTGGGGGGACCTCTCCACCAGGGTCAGCACGAATGAAGACAGGCATTTGCATTTGGCCGATGCCACAGGACACCTAAGAAGGTGGAATGAGACCGGAATCCGACCTGGGGCTTTGTGCAGGGCACAAATAATTAACGAGGAGGGACGGGCCAGGCCAGGGGAGGGAAAGGCCAGGAGCCTCCTCAGCCTTGGAGTTGGACTTGCCAGCGGGTGGCACTGTAGGACAAGGAGCTGAGGGACCCTCCGTGGCCAGTGGCTTCTGGCCCAGGCAGGGAGCACCCAGGCCTGGATCTCCAGGAAAGGGAGGGGGTACTGCCCCAGGGCACGTGTCTCAGCCCCAGCAGGTGCCACGGCGTGTGGTTTGCCGACTGGGGCAAGAAGCGCCAGTCAGATCTACCCGGACACAAGAGGTTTCCTCTGTTGTTTTTCTGGTCAAGTCCACCCCGTCTCCCGGGCCCAGGTCCTTGGAAAAGCAAGTGTGCAGGGGCATCTCTCTCGTTGCCGTAACAGAGCCTGCCCACCCGTGGGCAGGCGATCCTAACGCCAGGTCCTTCAGAAAGTCCCAATGCTGCCTCCCCCACCCCTTTCCACGGGGATTTCAGAGCAAAAAGGTGTGTTGAGTTAAACATATCTTTACCTTTTTTTTTAAAAAATAAAGATTTTATTTATTTCTTTGTAGCGAGAGGGGAAGGGGAGGAAGAAAGAGAGGGAGGGAAACGCTGATCGGTGGCCTCGTCCAGGGACCTGGCCTACAACCCAGGCAAGGGCCCTGACTGGGAATCAAACCGGCGACCTTTGCTTTGTGGGATGAGACCCAACCCACAGAACCACGTCGGTCAGAGCAAAATATCTTCACCTTCCTGATGTGCCCGGACACAGAGGCCTTCATTCCTTTGAACATCCTGCCCTTGCCCTCGATCGTGCATGGGGTCTGGTCGCCCTTTTCAGCTTTACTAACAGAAAAGGATAATCTCACGTATCTGCTGCTTCAAAGCGCCAGGCCTGTGCTCCCCACGTTGTGTGCATTCACTCTCCACCGTGGCCTCTACCTCCTTCAGCGGCAGTGGGGCCCTGTACTGCGCCCCATCTCTCAGATGAGGCACAGAGAGGTTAGGACACTTGCTGGAGGTCACACAGACATTACAAGGTGGAGCTGGGCTTCACCCTCTTGACCCAAGGAATGGCTGCCGGGCTGGCTCAGGGGCCGGGTCTCTGGGGCCCAGCACTTCCTGCTCTCACACAAGGGTCCCTGCTCGCTGCGGGTCAGGTGGCTTCAGGTGGCTTTAGCCAAGACGAGTGGGGGCACTTTTTCCCTCTGGCTCCCCAGGTGGAAGGAGGGGTGGGCTGGGGTCTGGGGAGGCCCTGGCTGAGCCAGGTCCTTGAGGGGGTTAGCGTATGTGGCATTTTCCAAAAAAGGCCTTTGAGGCAGCTGGCGCTCGTGCGTGCGTGCGTGTGTGCGTGTGTTTGTGTGTGTGGCTGGGGCCGCTGGGAAACTCAGATCTCCAATCACCAGACTCTGGGCCTGTAGGGGGCATGACTCACAGCCGACATTCATGCAGGGCTGGGGGGGCGTCACCCCACAGAGATCACTGGGCACTTCTGGGCCCTGGGCCCTGGAGCTGAGATTCCTGATCCCATGCACTTCCCTTCTGGAGAAGGCAGGCGAGGAATAAGATCATTGCAGAGACCAAAACGGATTGGTGTGAATTTAAGGGGAGGCTGTCTCAGGGATGGCCTTTTGAGTTGGGGACTTGACTTTTGAGCTAAGATCCGAATGACAAGGGGCAGGCAGGTGACAATCTGGGGCCCAGTTGTCTCAGGCAGGGGGAAAGAGAGCAGAAGACCCAGGGCATGAATGAGGGGCTGTGGGCGGTGGGGGCAGGCAGCAGAGGCGGGGCAGGAAGCCTGAGAGATGCCCCCCCTGTCCCACCTGGGGTCCCGGGGAGTGTGGGTCTCACTTCAGGAAGGAGGGGAGCCCCCAAAGTGTTGAGGGGCTGCTCTGTGGAGATGGGCGTGAGGGCGAGGCTGGGAGCTGGTTAAAGAACCTACTGCAATCCCCAGAGACGAGATGGGGGTGGGGGGGTCCCAGAGAGGAGGTGGGACCACGGGCTTGCTGGTGGGTCAGATGTCAGAGGCGAGGGAGAGTGAAGGTTTTGGCCTCAACAGCTGGGTCCACGGTGGTCTCATTCATGGGAAAGGGAGGGGGAAGCAGGTTTGGTGGGAGAAGTCGAGGGTCCGTATTGGGCGTGTGTGAGGCGGTTGCCAGAGCGACAATGTCACGTGAGCAGTCAGTTGTAAGCGGGTCTGGAGTTCGGGGAGGGGTCCTCGGACTAGAAAGGGGTTTGGAAATGCTGCGGGAGGCCGGGCTCCAGGCGGTGCTGTCGGGTGCCCGGAGGAGACCACCCACCTGGGAGTCTCGGCGTGGCCGCGGCGTCAGCCTCACATCAGTCGTGACCTTGCTGGTTCTCAGATAAAGACACGAGAGGAGGGTGACAAATCGCATTTTAATCTACAGTAGATGGGTAGAGAATCTGTGGGAAGAAGCCAAAGAACACGCAGAGAGGTTGAGGTGAGAACCCCCGCCAGGCTGGCGGACACGCTGCCCGGCCGGGCCCTTCCAGCCCCCTGCTCGCCCTGAAGGCTCTCTTCCTAAGGGTCGGCCTGCACGGTCAGCGTTGGTGAAGCCCTGGTGGCCCGCCTGACCGATGGGGCGGCCCTCGGAGGGGGTCCTGGGGAGGTGATACTGCACCGGGAGACGCCAGGCATCCCAAGGAGAGCAGTTAAAGCTGACATTTGCAGTGTGAACTATGGGCTTTTGTCACGTGCAGGAAGTACACGGGTGTTCTTAATGCTTCACGGGCGGAGCCTGGGGGACAACCCCTGGCCTAGAGTCTAAATTCTGCCTTGTAACTTGGTGTGGTCCTATTGGGTGAGGGGTGGGGAAGAGCGGGTGGGTGGCCTGGGTAGAGGGGGGCCGGGCATCGGTAAACTAGTGCTGGCGATCCTAAAGGGGGCGCTCTTAGCAAGAGTAGTTACCCTGAGACTGGGATCTGAGGTCCTTGTGGGAGCAGAATCCACGTAAAAGTAGGAGAGTGTCTTATGTGGGTTGGGGCAAGAAAGGTGAGTCCTTCTGGAATTTTCTACTGCATCTGGGAGACTTCAGGGGTGGGTGTAGTTGCCCATGCGCAGGGTCCCCTGGCGCACGGCCCGCTCTTGCCGGTGGGCTTTGAAAGCGTTCTGGCGATCGGCCTCGGTGGGGAAGGTGTCCAGGTGGGGGCCCACCTGTGGATAGGGGGCAGCGAGTCAGTGGGCGTGGGTGCCCCGGGGCCCTGCACCCTGGGGTGCCCTCCCCTTCTCTCGCCTGCCTGCCCACCCAACCTGCCCCTTACGGCCGTGACGAGAGAGCTGTAAGAGGGAAGGAGTGAGGCCTGGGAGCTGGCAGTGTCCTGGGCCGGGCGGTGACAGGCTGCAGGACGGGAGGCGGTCGGGGCGGGGCTGCCCAGGGCCAGCGCAGCATGTTGTCCTTTGTCCAGCTCACGGCAGGACTTGTGTAGGGGGCCTCGTGCCCACTCAGGAGACACCAGCAATGCCCCCAACAGCCAGTATCACCTTCCCGTGCTGACATCCGCCATTGAAACTCCCGACAAGCCACTCCCACCCAGAGGACTGCCTGGCGCTGCCCCTCATGCTCCTTCAGGGAGGGTGACCCTGCTGCCTTCCCCTCCGGGGGGCAGCTGCCCAGGAGGCCCGGACACAGGCCGGTGAGGGAGCAGACCCAGGTGACATTTTGTACAGTCAGTGTCTCAGCTGAACCTCCTTCTCAGGAAGCTCCTCCATCTTCTGGGTTTGTTACGTCACCTCCGGGGGCGTGAGAGCACCCCCTGCCAGGCTGAGTCCTTTAGGGTAACCTGCGGGGGAGGGCGGGGGGAGGAAGGGCTTGGGCCCCTGTTTATTCACCCCTGCCTCCGCCCTGCCTCCTGCCCTCGCCCCTCCGGCACTGGGGACACAGCAGCAGCATGAGAGCCCCCTGTCCCCACAGAGCCGCAGAGCCGTGACCTCGAAGGGCAGCCACTTCGTCGCCATTGTCAGAGTGGCCGGGGTGGCAGTGCAGTGAAAACAAGTGGCCTCAGCTCCACCTCCCAGAGCAGGAGTCCATTCTGGGGCAGACCCTTCGGGGGACACTTCTGGCTTGAGGGACGGGCAGGGCCTAAGGGGGTAGCGGGGTGTTGGCCAGGGGCAGTCAGAGCCATTGACCCCGGGGCCCAGGGGGCGGGCTGGTAGGCAGGGTTCTTTTGGGTTTGCCCTGCTGTGTCTTCGGGATAAAGCAGGACCCATGTTCCGGGACGGCCGCAGCCCCTTGCCTAGAATTCAGGGGGCTCAGCCCCCGGGGGTTATCGAGGCCCAGGGGGGCTGCGGGCAGCTTTGGGTGAGGGCCGGTGAGGGAAGGGGGAAATGGAAGAGGAGGAAGTAGGAGCAGGAGTAGAGGAAGGGCTCGGGGCGGCCCGCCAGGAAAGCGTCCGCGCTCAGTGCACGAAATCGGGTCCATCACACAGCATGGGGACCTGGGCACCTCCCCTTGAGGAGGGGCAATGACCTTGAACCAGAGCCCGCAGCCCAGTGGTGGCTTCCTGGAGGCCGAGAACTGGGCACGTGCTTGCTGAGGGCAGGGGCAGAGCTGATGGGACCTCTGGGTTCCTCCGAGGCCTTGCTCTGGGACACTGTCCCCCTCCACTCCCAGGTGTGGGCCACTGCTGAGGGTCAAGGAGACCCATGCCTCAGGTCCTGACCCCAGATCCCGGGGGCTGGGCTCAGCATTGGGGGCAGCAGGACCATCAGGGGGCAGGAGGGCCCGGTAGAGTCTGGCTTGATTGATCGCCACTTTGCAGGTGAGAAACTGAGGCCCAGAGAGGGCTCGGTCTGGGCGTGGCCCCACAGGGAGTCCGTGGCAGACAAACTCTGTTTGAGTCCTGCCCCCTTAACCTCTGGGCACGAAGTTCTGGATTCTTTCTAGAATATTCTCCTGCAGCTGCTGCTCATGCTGAGGCTGGATAGTTATTCCAGAATGTAAAACAGGGTCTTCATCTCTGTGGGATGCGGACACTTGCAAGACTCTGTAGAGAGTCACCGACCGTCTCCTCTGGGAGAAAACACACTGGACCAGCGCTGATGCAGAAAACGGCGGGGGCCAACTCTGAAGGCCCTGGGACCCTTTGTGGGGCCCTTCACAGACCCTCAGTGGCAGCGTTTCCGGGAGCCATCGGAGCCCCCGCCGCAGGTTCCAGATTCCCTGGGATGTGTCTGGGTCTCCCTGGGCTGTGGCCGCCCACGGCGCCGGGACCCAGGGCTCTGCGGGTGTGAGCAAGCCGCGATCTTGTTCTCAGCTTCAGAAAAGTTCCCAGCGGCCTCACGGATGTGGCTGAGAGGAGAGGAAAACAACCAGAAAACAAAGCACTTCCCGAGCACACCTCTGTGTCCCTCTGGCAAGGTGGCTTGATTTTTGCAACATGGTTTTCCTGACACCTGTGGCTCCCAGGAGGCAGCTGTGTTCTCTCCGTAAGGCTGGCACGCCAGTCCCAGGGGGCCTTGTGGGCACCCTGCCTGCCTCCAGTGCCCAGCTGGCTGGGACTCCCCGGTTGCCAGGGTCCTCTGTAGTGTTCGGAGTGGCAACAGCTCCGTGCCTGGGGGCAGTCGCCAGTGGCTCTTGGCAGGGCAGTATAGCTGCGCAGTCCACGTGTCTGCCGCCCCCACACACGTCGGCCCTTGTAGCCCAGTGTCTTAGCCCCCAGGACCTGTGACTGTGACCTTCTTTGGAAAAGGGTCTTTGAAGAGGTATTTAAGGATGTAGAAACGAGAACATCGTGAATTATCCAGATGGACCCCCTGACGACAAGCTTCCTCGTAAGAGCCAGAGGGCACAGAGGCGGAGGGGCGGCCACAGCCCAGGAGCCACCGGCAGCCACCAGGAGCTTCGAGAGGCGGGGCGGTGGTGGGTGCTGGTGAGTGGTGTTGGTTTGGTGCAGACTCAAACAACAGCTTACCCCCGTGTGGGAGGGGTCTTTCTGGACCCACGACACCCTGATGCCTGAGCAGGACACGGGAGCCCACGGAGAGCGGGCTCAGCGTGTGCCCTGGGCAGGCCTGTCCTGCGGCCGTGGCTGGGGCCCCTGGCAGCTCCCATGGACAGCCGTGTTGCAACAGCGGCCTTGGGATTTGCTGGGTGCACTTCACGCAAGCCTCAGAGCACCCACTGTTGTTCCCACTTCACAGAGGGGGAGACAGGGGCCCCAGGTCTCACACGGTGAACTCCGAGCGGCAGGGCTCACTGTGCTGCCTCCTAATACATGCTTACGAAACCAGGCGAGAGGAAGCCGTGGCCAGGAGCCTGTGGCTCCGATCCCACACGCTCGCTCTCTGCTCCGAAAATAGCAGCTCAGCCGGAGACGAGGATCCTAATTACAAGTCAGGCCTCAAGCTGTGCGTGGTCACGACCCTGTGGACCCCCGGAGTCAAAGGATGAGAGCTGCGGAGCAAGGAATTCCTTCGGAGACGCTTCTAAATTAAGCCGTCTGCGGTCTGTCTCCGCCTGGAGCTAAGAAATTGTAACGGCTCTGGCAGGAGACAGCTTTGCTGAATGGAGCTGAGTCGCTCTGAGGTCAACGCAGGTAAATAAGAGGCGAACGCCAGGGTTGCCCGCAGCTCTAGGGGCCAGGTGGGGCGTGGGGGTGGGGGGCTGCCCAGGTCGGCCAAGGCACCGGGCCGGTTCAAGTGGGCGCATGAGATAAGGACCAGGCGCGTCCACCCCCAAGGTGAGTGAGACAGGCCGGGGCACTTGCCCTCGTGGACGGCACATGGGGGCGTGGGAGGCCGCCGCTAAACGCACCCCACACGCAATTAATTGTTTCGTGACAATTCAGTGAAATTGTGGGAACTCAACCTCCACCTGGGGGCAGGAAGGTCTTTCCAGAGACGATGAGGTTCCCAGCCAGGGGGAGAGGGTGGGTAGAGTGTCCTAGGTGGCGGGACCAGCCGAAGGCCTGCCATGGGAAGAACGAGAAGAAATACAAGCGAGGAGATGGGCGGGGGGTGGGGGGGGCACGAGAGGAGGCAAGGAAGGTGAGTAGCGTCAGCTCACAAGAGATCGCAGGGCCGTAATTCCCTCCCGGATACCAGGTTGGAATGCAAGACTCAGACGGCCAGGGTCGGAAAGACCCTGCGGATCACTGAGTCCGCGCTCCCATTCTACAGATGGGAAGTCTGAGGCCCGGAGGTAGGAATCGACCTCCCAGGGTCTCCGGGAGTCCGAGGCAGAGCTGAGTCCCGCAGCCAGCTTGCCGCCTTTCCTCTGGTCCACTCCCTGCCCACCCACCATGGTCCCCACTCCACCCGGACCTAGATTCTTGGGGTCCCCTTCCCAATTCATTTGAAAGCACCCACACTTTTCTGATCCACTTTCAATGAGCCAACTTTTCATTTAATTGCCACCCTTCCTTGTCACGATTTGCTGTGGACTTCATTATTTCCTCCTTTCAGTCCACTGTTCTTTCTCTTCTAGAATCTAGAGTTGTCTGCTCAGCTAATTACCTTTTAATCTTTCTTTTTCCTAATCTTAACATTTATGTAACATGGCATCAGTAACTATGTGCCTTCTAAATTTTCTTTTATCTCGCCTCACAAGTCTTTAGTATATTTATTTCTTTGGTTCTCTTTTCATCTAATTTCTCTTGAATTTTGTCTGGATTTCATCTTTGGTCCATAAGTTACTTATAAATATGCTTTTAAATTTCCAGGCACTTTTGTTAGTCACGTTTTATGACCGAGTTCTAATTTAATTTCTCTGGTGCCAAAGTAATCTGTGGAATTGGATGTTTTGTTAATACTGGCTGAGGTTTTGCTATTTATGCTTGTGGGGAAAGTCCGATCTCCTTTCAACGGGGCACCCGTGTGTGGAACAAACTGGCACGGTGAGAGAGAGGGCGCCCCGTGGTCTGGGCTAGGGGAAGGCACGGCTGGGATCCTTTCCTTCATGCGTGAATTATTTCACTCCACTCGTGTGCCCTCCTGGGCCGGGTTCTGGGCCAGGCGTAGGGGCACAGGGGGAATTCAGAAAGCCTCCCCTGCCCCGGAGCCACAAAACCAGCAATAAAATACAATTCCACAACTAACCCTTCACTTCCACTCGAGCTAAGCATTAAAAGAAGTAGCAGATTCTGTAAGACTTTATAATATGCAGGTGTCAGACTCATCCTGCGGGGCCAGAGAAGGCTTCCTGGGAGGAGTCATGG